TGTCCAACTTGAACCTTAAAATTCTGATGTAAATTCAACCCAATCTCCTTTTAATATACAACCTGAACCATTTCCATCTTCTGGATCCAATAATATATAAGGAGAAACACAAGCTGTACAATCTTCAGCACTTGGTCCAGTACATGTTGCACAGTTACTTGAACATTATGCAACATAAAGTTGGAATTATCTTATACCCCAAGATGCTTATTTTGATGATTTTTTGGTTGTGGCAGTCCATTTTACAAGTGCAGCACCATAATTATGAGGAGATTCAAAGTTTACATTAATAATCTTTTCTGTTGCATCAACACCTCCTGGAGTAATCTTATCACAAATGAAGAATTCTTTATCTTCTACTTAAGCTACATTTTATTTCCATTTTTCTTAATTATCAATATACAAAACTGCATTATCATTATCCCAATTATCAATCTTCCAAAATTATGCTATCACTTTAATTCTATAATGTGGTACAAGCTTATCAAAGATTTTTTAAATTGACACATTATTACCAAAATTACCAGGACCACCAACAATTGGAATTCCTGCACAAGTGCTTGTTTTAATAACATTTGAAGATCCTTTAACATTCCATCCATCAGCTTCTACATTCTTTATCCAACTTGATGATACAGGTACCCACATTTAACAAACAATAGCATCTGGTCCAAGACATGTACCACATTCTGTTGGACATGCCAAATAAGATAATTTCAAGTTTCTAAAACCCCAAGACATCTAAAGATTATTAAAAAAATTATACTTTATCTGCTGTCTTATCAGCTGAAGATGCAAATGCAATAAATAATGCTGCATGATTATGAGTTATTGTTTAATCAACTTAGAAAGAATTTACATTACCACCTGCTGGAGTTGCACATCTCTTTGTTCCATCACTTCCAGTCCACATAGTTTCCCAGAGGTAATTATCCAAATAAAAGAACTATCTCTATGTGTCCCATGCATCAAATCTAAAATTTTTAGATTGTTATATACTTCCAAACTTCAACTGATATTTTAATCTAAAAATGAGGAGGTAATTAAAATTGTTTCGTAACTATTGCATTTTTACCAAATGCCTTGGGTCCTCCAAAGACAGTGGCATCTGAACAAGTAAAGAAATTATCAGGTTAAGCTTTTGACAAAGATCCTTGAATTGTCCATCCCTCCAATTAAGCTACATCTGCATTTGAAAAAGCAGAGTAAAATTCTACGAATTCTTGTGATGTTGCTAACATCACTAACATCGCTAGTGCAATGAATTTCATTATATATTTATATTCAAAAACGTATAATTTTTTTATATTAATTCATAATTCTCTTTATTGATTCTAATATTAGATCTTCATAAAAACTCTTAGATCATTTGAACCTGTTTGTATAACTATTATTTCTTGAATTCTACCTTTATAAGTAATAAAAAACTGTTCGTTTTAGGTGATCTAAGTGTAATATTAATGGTTTTTTCATAACTAATCTTAATATGAATTTTTTTCACTTATTTAATCGATAATATTCTCTAAATAATAATAGTTAAACTATAATAATTATATAATATCCAATAAAATAATTTAGATTTTTGAAGATAAATAAATGAGATATTAAGTTATTTATATAAATAATAATTAAATTCATTTTCTAAAAATCTTTCTTATAGAATGATATTAATTTTTCACTTTTCCTATGAGATCTTGCAATTCCCTTTTTTTCTCATTTGTCTCTTATATTTATGTATTCTTATTATTTTCCTATATATTTTAAGATGTATTTTATTGTTCTCTCTCAATTGATGAACTGATATTTCGAATAAGATGAGATTTATTTAAAATTTGAAGCTATTTTACCATATTATAATTTTTTCTTAGTTCAAATGAATTAGGATGAATAAATTAAATTTTTTACTTTTATAATAATTTTTATGTTTAATTTATATTATAATTGATCTATTGGCTATCACCTATTTCTAAAATCTTTTATATAGATAATTTTCTCTATTAAAGCATCTATTTCTGATTCAAATCTAATAAATTTTATTATATATATATTTATTATTTTTAACCTTGCTTTATTTTAGATTATTAGTTTTCATATGGATATTAATTATACTTGATTCTTTGTCTTTCTTAATATTACTTAATAAATTCTTATTTCTTTGTTGTTCCTAATTAATTAATCATATAATCCCTTAAATATAATTCATCCTCCTAGTCTGTAAGATCTTCCTCCAATAACAATTTTCTAGGGTCAAAATCTTAATTGTTATCCTCAAATTTAACTGAATAGCCCTTATTTCTATTTGATTGTATTTTAGAGTGGTTTTGCATTAATTAAATATAATTGTTTTTAGTTTTTGGTTAATTAACAATTTATGGAAGTATGACTTTAAGTTCTTATTTAATATTTATATTTGTTTAATCTTACATTCTAGATTAATTCATATCTTAAATTTTTATTAATTTTTTGGAGTAGATTTCTGGATCATGAATATCTAAATACGAATATAATGCTTTTAAAGAATTTGAAACTGGAAATGCTATATCTGCTATTTTAATTAATGAGTATAAAAACTCTTAAAAACTTAATTATTAAATAGTAGAACATTTAAAAAAAACTTCTTCTAGAATTTATTTTGTAATTACAAATGAACCCCCTACTCTATTCTTATATTTTATTTTATATAAAGGTTTTAGGTTGTTATGGCCAGCATATCTTTAAATAAATTAATTAGTAACCAATAAATCTATTAATTGGAAATTTTTACAAAAATGTAAAAATTATTGCAAATTTAATACTTATTTTTGTTATATAATTTAATCCTTTGTGTTTTATTTAATAGGAGTTTAGAATTATTTGGTATAAAATAAAAAGATTTCTTTTAAATTAGATTCGATCATCTAATTAAATTGTTTCTCATCTTTATTTTATATTAATATTTATTCTTTTTGAAACGAATTCTTAACTTAAGAATGATCTCTTGATTTAATATTAGAAGTACCAGATTTTGATTTTGGAGACTTTATTATTGATTTTGGTTTTTCTATATGTTAGATACTTTTTTATATATTATCTTTAAGGCTTTATTATTAAAATTTTAAATCTGAATTTTATTTTGGATTCTAATCAATTAAAGGATTGATTGATACTTATTTAATATCTTTATTTTGTGAATAATTGTTATTTATTGAATAATTTTAGACAACTCTATCATCTTTTATTTATTCTTTCTTTTTAACTCTTAAATTTTAAGCAATATTTGATTGATTATAAACAAAATCATCTCCTTTTAAATAAAAAGAGATTTATTATTGATTTTATTGGTTTTCAATACTATTTTTTTAATTATTTTCTTGTATAATCAAATTGTAATCATCATCATGATTCTCTTATCCTAAAATACTCTATTATTCAGATAGAACTTAAATAGATGATGAGCTTAAATTCTAAAAATGTAAATTATTGTTTTATTAAATTTCATCTTCTTCATTTCTAAATATTTTTTATGAACTTTATGGATTTTAACATTCAAAGTTAATAATTTAAGATTTTTCAATCAAATAATTATTTTCCATTGAAAGCAAATATTTTTTATCTATTAAATTTTATCAAATAATCAAAAATATATGACTAAAAAGCAAACGATTCAATTAAATTGTGTTTAATTTGTTATTCAATGATTTTTAATCAAATTAATGTCAAATTATTAACTAAATATATTAGCTTCTAAAATTAGATAATATTGATTTATAAAAATTATATATATAAATATATTGTATCTATACTAAAATATAAGATAATCTTTAGAATCAGAATTTATATATGATAAATCTAAAAAAGTATCGATAGCATGAAAATAATGGATTACATTGATAACATTCTAAATTTAAGTAATATAAAAATAACTTTAATTAGAATATTAAATTATCCACTTAAAATTATTAGATAATTCATTAATATTAATAATTTATTCATTTATATAAAAAGATTAGATTTAAATTATTATGTTAATGATGATTTAATATAATAATTAAACTGTAATTAAATAAATTGAACATAATTAATATATTATAAATAAAACATACATGAATATCAAAAACTTATTATTTATATTAATGATAAAATAAATTATTAATTGTTCAAACAATCAATGATCTCAATTCATTATTTAGTTATAAAGATTGATTCTACTTTTTTAAAGTGTCTAATAAAATGTTCCTTATTTAATTTTATGGGTCTTACTTTTACCAAAATGTGATTTCATCATTACATTAAGAACTTGATAATAACTTTTAACAATAAAATTATATCACTTCTTCTTATTTTTAATAATAATATTTTGCTATTTCACTAATTATGAATAGACATTCTAATTCAATTATTTAATAAAAATCTTCTTTCACTTACTCAAAATTGAATTCCTTAGATATAATTTATTTATATATGTTATCATAATTTTAAATTGATTTATTACTTTCTATACATTAATAAATGAAAGATCGAATTAAATATTTCTCTTTAATAGTGAATCCATAAATATCTTCATAAATAATAAAATGATATCTTAAATCTATTTATATATTAATTATTTCAGGATTACGTTTGATTTAATTTTTCACATAACTTGTCAAACTTTATTCTTGATTTTTATAATATTATCTCAAATTGGTTTATTATATTCTTTTTATAAAATTTTGTATCTTTAATTCTTTAATATTTAAATCTTTAAAATATAACAATTCTGGTATAATATTATCCAATTCTAATGTATCTAATCTTTCCATAATTTAATTTAATCTTTCATTTTTATTGAAAATGCATCTTTTATCAAAAATTTATTTATGTTAACTAATGACAAGAGCTTAAGCTAATTCTTCAAGTTCCTTATCATCTCCCTATAATAAATTAATTACATTAAAAGGTTTTACAAAAGTTTGAATATAATAATTTAATATTTTTTCTGAATTCAATAATTGACTTTAGACTAATTTTTGTATTAATAATTTTGTGTTTTATGATTATTTAATTGACAGTAAAAAGAAAGCCTCTTAAGGATCTTTTAATAAAGTATCTAAAAATACTACATCAATTAAATTCTCAGAATAAAATTTTTTATATTCTTATTCAAATTTTGCTATACTAATTGAATTATCTAAAGATGCTTCTATCAATTCTTTAGATATTATTTCAATTTTTTAAGGCATTAATTATATTTATTTAGTTTGCTTTTATTAAAATTTTAATAAAGTCTATACTGTATCTGCAGATGATGATTATTTTAAGACCTTCCAATATTGTTCTCTTTTCTAATTTTCATCTTTTGAAAATTATAATAAAATTATTGATACTTCAGATTAAATTATTTCATCTCCATTTTTAGAAAGATCATCTAAAATTAATTAAGCCTTTTATGGTTTAATATTAAAATTTTTTTATGCTAAATCTATCATAAATTTACAAAATTCTCTATCATATATTGCTAAATTATTAGCTTTTGCTAATTTCTTTTTTAATCTTAAATATGGTAAATCTAAATTTTATGTTCTTCTATAAATTTGAAATAAAATCTGATTACATTTAAATAAATCTAAATCTTTATAATTCCCAACTTCTTTTGATTCTATAATAAACTTATAAAGACTCATTGTCTTCTTGGTTTAGACTAATTTTTCTTTTTTAATTTTTTGTATTTCATTTACAATTTCTAAAAACTTCTTTCTTTCATCTTCAATATAATCAATTTTCTTTTGAAGTTATAAATATCTATACATAGCATCTGATATTGCCTCATCAAATTAATTAATACTTAGATTAAAGGTTTAACAAAGAAGCTTAACATCTCTATATTTACCAAATTCAAGATTCTTTTTAAATATAGATAATTCTATTTTTTTTTCATCTTTTATATAATTTTTAAATCCAAATGAAAAACATTATTTCAATTCATTTTAGTTTTATAAATTGAATATTTTATCTTAAATTTTAAATTACATTTATTTAACTCTATTTACATGATAATTTTCAAGTAATTGTTCTATGCATTTTTAAGATTCTTCTGGATTCTACATAATCTTATTAATAATTGTATTTAATTAATAAACGACATTAAAATTTGAAATAATTTGTGATAGAATTGTTGATTATTACAATAAAGAAATAAGATTCTACAATTAATCATATTCATCTTAATCAAATGAATTTCTGATAAATATAAAAGAGTCTAATAATTATTAAAATAATTAATAATTATCTGTAGAAAAAGTTAATAGTCTTTCAAATGCCAGATTTACTGGAACAAGATATTCTTTAGTAGTTAGATTAGGACAATAATCTAAAATTGATTAGAAAATCTAAACAGGATATTATGTTTTTCTTAATTAATTTAACATTTCATCAAACCAATTTAAATTATGTTCTTAATAATATTAATTTAATTATCCAAAAAGGGATTCTATTTTAGAACTATATGTAAAAAGAGTATGTAATTTATCTTATTCTTACATAAATTGTTTAAGCGTTAATCTTGATTATCCACCTTTAATCAATAAAGTATACAGGAAAAAAGTAAAATCTTCTTATTAAATAGGTAGATAATATATGCCATGACATTAAATTAAGAATTATGTTGCAATTTTTTAATAATTGGTTTAAATTTAGGGAACATTATAAGTACCAAGAAAACTTAAATCATTAAGTTTATTTTATTTAGAAAGTGTTCCTAATTCAAGAGGTTCAAAATTTAGAAATAAAGTTCCATTAGGTAAAACTTCATCAAGAAATTAGGGTTTATGTTTAATTATTAAATTCAAGAAATGAATATAATTGTATATGATGTGATTCTAAAACAATTTAATAATTTATTATAGATCGCAAGTTTCAGATGAAATACAATTTAAAAAAGATAGATTATCTAAATTTTCAGTTTCATAACATTATATTAAATTTAATTTTCCTCTTAATTTATTTGACCTTTTCATTCCAACTAATACATTATATATTTCAATTAATTGAGTTTTATTAATGCTTTTTTATTTCCATAATTTTTTAACTGTTTCTTTAATAAACTTTTAATCATTAATTTTAACTAAGTAATCGGGTATCTCTTAAGGTGGTATTTAATTTTCTTCTAACATCATTTTCAATTTTAAAGATTTAGTAATTATTTAAATTTTAAGTAAGACTCCTGTAACTTTAATAGTAAAATCTATTGTATTTTTAACAAGTTATTCATCTATTGAAATATCTCTTAATATAAAGATTTCAGATCCATCTAAGTAACATTATCCATGTAATGTTTCTTCATATTCAATTCCATTTTAATTAATCATTTATAATTTTTCATTATTATATAATAGAAAATAGCCATTAATATATGATAATTATCCTTCTAGATAAAGTACATCATTATAGAATGGAATCTATTTATCTTAATGTATTAAAATATTTAAACACTATTCCTTATTTATTTATTATATACAATAAGTTTCTTCTGATAATTTGATACATCTTATTTTAGAGTATTTAATTAAAGGTTCAATTTTTATTCCAATTGGTATTAGTTGATTCTAATTTATTGCACAATTCATCTCTTCTATATAATATGAATTTTAAGTAATTAATTTATTAGGTTAACCATTTAAAGTTCCTTCATGATAGTTAATATAATTTTCTTCATTTAACTAAATTCTATGAGTAGCATTTTTTCTAATTCTTAAAGTAATAAAGTTCTCTGATATCACTCTAATGATGTCTAATGAATTTCTTAGAACAATATGACATCCTCTTTTGTGAAATGAATAATCTTCTATCTCTTCATCAAAACACGTAATGTCCTAAATCCAAGTTTTTCCAATTACTCTCCCATTTCTAAATGAAATCGATTTGTCTCTATAGATATCTAATTTAGGATTGATATTCTTAAATAATAATCCCTTATATTATTAAATGCTCTTTTTGAAGGTTATTTTGATTTCTTATTTATGATAATGAAATTGCATTTTTATTTATGTAATATTATTCATTAAATAAGACAAAATAATGTAATAATCAATACTTTTTATTTTTACATTAAGATTATAATAGTCAATCTATCATCATTATTCCATAATATCCTTATATATAATATATTATCATTTTTCATAAATAATTATAAAATCTTGTTGTATTTTTAAAAATGTTGAAAACATAAAATGTAAATATAAAAATGAATTAAAAAGTAATACCATTAATATTTTCATATAATCAATTAAAATAAACTTAAGAAATAATATAACATTTAATTTATTATCTAAATTATTTAACATCGTTAATGAAGAAGCTTAGTCAGTAGATGAAAAAGATTGCTGGTAGAAATAGTTTTTAAGAATCTCCATAAAGACAAGAAAAGAAAAATATTAAATCAAGTCTTGGAACAGTAAAAACAGAAAGGCCTGTAGAAAAAGGAAAAGCAAAATTACTTGATTATTTTAAGAGGGAACGAAATTCCTTAGCTTAAGCTGTTAATACAATGAGATCTAAATTAAAAGGTAGCAAAAGTATTGATAATGTGTTTTTGCAAACATTAAAAAGTGATCGAGTAAAAACTTCATAACCCAATGTAATTAATATGATTATTAAAATTTTATAGATAGCAGAATTAAGAGTTCATACTGATGAAGGTAATAATTCTAAAAGACCAACTTTGAAAAACAAGAATCTTTCATTAGCTACAGTGTCCTTAGAAGTAATCATTTAATTAATATTATTTTAGAAAAAAGAATTTTTTAAGCATCCTTTAACAACTAAAACATCATATAATTAAACACCTACAGGATAAAGTAAACCATAATTAAAAAAATAAAAGTAGAAAGATTAATACTTATTCGATATGGTAAAAATATATTTAATATATATAAGTTGAAAAATGCTTAAATGATATAAAACTAATATCAAAAATACTTTAATTAAAAATTAAATAAACAGTCTATTCTTTCAGATACTTCCACTAATCATAGATAATCAATTGAAGATATCTTAATTTATTAAAAAGGTCATAAAGTATCTTCATAAATAATCTAATAAAAACCTATTAAAAAAACAGATAATGAATCAAAATCTATGAATTAAGGACATTCAAAAACTGAATAAACTCCTTAACCAAAACAAATAAACAAAACAAAAAATGATGAAATATTAGATTATGATCCTAAATAGAAACTTTAAATAATTTTATACTATAAAAACTCAAAGTATTATTATATCTTATTTTTTAAATAGATATTATTACTTATTTGATTTTGCTAATTAATCAACATGCAATCTATATAATTATTTAATCCAATAAATAGCAAGTATTGAAAAAAACCATGTACAATAAAATGGATCTACTGATGATGACTAAATTCAAGCTGGTAAGATTTCCTGAATACTTTAGAGATCAAAACTATTTGTTAATTTTGCACAATTCAAAAAAAAGTTCCATTTGATTATTATTTATCACTTCCTGATTTGAGTTTGTCAGTATTTTAGGGTATTACACTATCTTTAGAACCTTTGTATTCATAACCTTAAACTACTAAAAAAGTTGGCTTAAAAGATTTTCAATTAATAAAATGCATAGGTGTTGGAGGATTTTCAAGAGTATACTTAGTTAGAAAGAAAGATAATGGAATATTTTATGCTTTAAAATTGATTGATAAAAAATTTATTATTGATAATAAGAAAGAAATAATAGTATAAAATGAAAGGGATATCATGATTAAAATGGACAATTAATATATTATACCACTTCATTATGCATTTGAATCAAAATTTTATATTGCATTTGTTTTAGAATATTGTGCAGGAGGTGAGTTATTTTATCATTTAAGAAAATTGAAAAAATTAAATGAATAAGATGCTAAATATTATTTTGTTGAAATATGTATAGGAATGGCTTATCTACATTCTTAAAATATTGTTTATAGAGATATAAAACCAGAAAATATTTTATTAGATTTGTAAGGTCATTTAATGTTAAGTGATTTTGGACTCTCTAAACCTGATATGGCAGCAGAAGATTTTGCTTATTCATTTTGTGGTTCTCCTGAATATATGGCTCCTGAAATGCTTATGAAAACAGGTCACAATTATTTAGTAGATTGTTATTGTTTAGGAGCATTGTTATATGAATTAGTTTCAGGTTTACCTCCTTTTTATTCTCATAATACCCAAGAAATTTATAGTTCAATTTTAACAGAAAATGTTTAATTTCCTGATTATGTTTAAATTTCAAATTAACTAAAAGATTTGATTATTGCTCTTCTTTAAAAGGATCCTACAGAAAGATTAGGATAAAAAGAAGGTGTTATTGAAATTCTAACTCATCCATGGTTTAGTGATGTTGATTTTGAAAAGGTTGTGAATTGTAAATTACCTACTCCTTATAAACCAGAACCTTTAAAATATAATTTTGATGAAGAGGAGTTCAATAAAGGGGATGCTGAATTCAGGAAATAATTTGCCATAAATATGTTGAATGAATTTCAAGTAATTATTATATTAAATATTTCTTTAGAATGTTGACACAGCAAAATATCAATTATCAAATTTTTATTATTAAAAAGTTAAACAAGATGAATATATAAATAGAACTAATATAGTGAATATTAATAAGTTAAGTTCTGAATTTTTATAAAAAGAACCATTATCTCCATCAAGATAAATATTAAATAAAACTAAAGTAATATATATATATAATATATATTATAGCATTCTCCTTATGAAAGTAAAAAGTCATTAAAATCAAATACAAAAAGTGAATGTAATGATTATTTCAAGAAGCATAATCTTTTGACTAAGTCTTCTTAAATAATGTAAGAATCTCTAAAATTTGGTCATGGTTATTCAAAAACATAATAACAATCTCAAATTTCGAATTAAGAATTAAAAGTAACTTAAGTCTTAATATATTTAAGAAATTGAAACTTATGTTTGATTAATCAAAATAATTATTAAGTTCAGATAGATTAACTACAATCCCTGATTAAAATTAAAAGAATTAAATTGAAAGGATTAAGACGGAGCAATTTGGTAATTTGCCATCTCCTAAAACAACCACTCATAGTACTTTGAACAAATTAACTAAATATCAAAAGTTATTTGGATCAGAAAAGAGAAAAAAATGATATCAATTTAAATATCTTAATTTAAATTGTGTTTATGAAATACAATATTTTCTAGGATGTACTATTATTATGCAATTTAATGTATTGATGATGAAATCATTTCTTCTTCTATTCAATTTTCTTAATGTAAAATTCTAATTCCTTTCCTTCCAAGATATAGCCATCTGCTCTTCCTGATTATCCTGGTCTTGATGTAATTCTGACTAACAATCTTTGATTGGCAAATTATTCTTAGACGAATTAATCAATAACATTTTCCTTAATTCTTTTCTCTTACTTTGAACTTAATTTCTTAGGTTAATCTCCTGTTGTTTCCTATTATTATAATAATAATTAATTACCTTCTTTTTCTTTGATCCCAATTCAACATTGTATTTCTTAGCATACCATTATTTAAATGGAGTAGCATCAACTTATACAATGACACCTCTTGTTAAAGTTTTGGTTCTGACCAATTCATTATTGGATGGATGATAAACCACCTCAACAATTTTAGCTTTTTTAGCAACACCTTGGCTTCCCCAAGAGAAATTGCCTTCTGATAAACGAAGTGCTCTGAATTTGAAATTTCCTCCTCTCACTCTTAATCTTCTTACTCTCTTTTCTCCAGATACTAATTTAGTCATTGCAGCTTATCTTCCTTTCTCAAAGGCTCTTTTCTTCTTATGGATTGGCATACGACCTCCTGTAAGTCTTCTTTTGTGTCTGCTATCTCTTGAAATTCCCATAATTTATGCTTGCTTAAATAAAAAAAGATTTTATTTAATTTTAAAATGTGCTTATATCAATCTTAATATATTCTTATGTTTCTATATTCTAGACTAATATTTGATAATTGAGTTTAATATAACTCAAAACTCTATAATTAAAATGTGAATAAATTGAAAATGCCATCAAAATAACACAGAATATTTAATTGTAGAATTTTATATAGAGATAATAAATAAATAACATTTCAAAAGAAAATAAAATAGTAGATATAAAAATAAAATTAATTTTGATATATAAAAAAAGAACAATGTGTGAATAAGCAATTTTGGAATGTTAAATTATTATGATTAGATGAATTTCTAAAAAATTATATAAAATATATAAATTTATTATAATCAATTAGTATAATGGGTTCCTAACCTTAGAAGTCTAGAAATTAAATTGCCAATAGGTACTAATAATAAAGAATACAGACTAACTAAATGCAATAACAAATACAAATGTAATATCATTAACCTAATTAATAAATGAACATTCCATTGCAATATTCTTAAACATTCTAATACAATCATTCATCTACATACTTATATAACTAATCAATGATTTAATAAGCCCCAGCATCACATGTAATTAGAAATTAATTATTTAATAGAGATAACCAAATGTAAACTCTTAACCTTAAGTTCTCAAAAATGATTTTTGTATAGAAAAGGCAAAAATTGTAGGAAATGAAAATTCAAAAATAGAATTTGTTTTGTTTGCATTAACTCCTTGCAAAATTTAAGTAGATTTTTTAATAAAATTAGATATATGTACAATGTTAAGAGATATTTAATCCTGTTAATAACATCTTTTAAGAAATAAGGGATTAATAATTTTATGATGAATTTTAAATAGTTGAACCTTAAACTATGAATGTTTAAATTTCTAGTAAAATAACAATTCCTAGAAGCTGTTTAAAATAGAAAAAATCTAGTTTTGGTTAAGTTTATTAGAAACTTATAATAATAATATAAAACAAAATAATGATGATGATATATTATTATGATTATGAAGATGATCAATTAAAATTAGTGAAATAAAAGTTCTAACATAATAATAAAGGAGCATTTGATGTTTAAGAAATTTATGGAATAAATGATTCTAATTTAGTTGGATCTATGAAACATGATTAAAATGATGGAGAATGCATAATATGTTTAAGTGAAACAATTGATACAATTATAATGCCTTGTAGACACATGTGTTTATGTGGTAATTGTGCAAAATAGATAATGGATAAAAAAATGCAATTAAAAAATGAATCTGTAGAAAGATAATAACATGCTCCCGATTTTAATCTCTGTCCTCAATGTAGAATGGGTAATTATTTTATATATTATTTATAGAAATTGATTCCTTTATTAAATTACAAAAAATTTCTTGATTAAATATCATATCCTAAATTTAAATAAGGAATAGTCATTTATGAATATAAATTTTGAAATTCTTTCTATTAGAATTTGAATTCTTAATTACTCGATCTTCTTAATAAGAATTGTTATAATTATTATTGTAATTTCTCTTTAAATTAAAGAAATTATTTATTAATTTAAATTATGTTATTCAATAATTATTATTTATATAATAATGAATCAATTAAGAAATCAAAGAGGAACAGAAACAGATGAAGTATACATTGATCCAGAAAGAGGAATAGCCATTAATGCTAGATAAATGACAACAGAATAGCATTTCAAATATTATAAATCATCCTTTAGCACATTAAGACCTGATTTGACTGAATATGAATATGAAGCATTTGCTAAGAGATTAAGAGTGGGTATTATATAAATTTATGAATAGGTGAATCATTTTTAAATCATATGAGAGTATTTCTTAATCATGAATCAGGTAGAGTAACTAATCTCTATTCTATTAGTGCAAGATTTGATAAAATGCTTGTAATTTGTTCTTTTAATTTTAGAACTATTAAAATCAATATTTTCATCTTAGAACACCTTTCATTCTTGGACATAGATCGAATGCAAATAGAAATTGGGCTGATGCTTCTAAAGTTGTAAATTATGTTGAGAAACAATTACTAAAAATTACAAAATATGGTAATTTTATATATTAAACTTACAAGGATTGGATTATCCAAATTATTATGCTCCATAAAATGAGAATGAACTTAAATAAAGAGAAGATGAAATTTATGAGCGCTTTATTAAAGAAATGAGAAAACCTCCAGTTGTTGCAGCTTAATGAATTATAAGTATAAATCATAATAAGATATATTTATAATTATTATTTTACATATATTTCTTATAATTATATACCTATTCAAAACTAAAAGATTGATAATATTAATATTCTAATAAAATATGTTTATGTAATTATTTGTGCATCTGAAGATATTCTTTTTAATTAAAATTCAATTAAAAATAAATTATGAAATAATTCATTATCATTATCATTGTTATTTATATTATTAATATCTTAAACCTTTTAATTCATATGAGCCAACCAATATCTCATCAATAATACCAAGATTTAAATTCTAGCACCTAGAGCTCTGAAGGTGAAGATTATATTCCAAAAAGAATTGTTTCTAAGTCAAATACAAGGAAAATCCACAAAATACCTATCGAATAATAGAAACAATTATTTAGATAAGTATTTTAAGAAGGAAAATAGATAAAGGAGGTAATTTATATCATTCTAATTTTTAGGTTGCCAAAACCTTAGATCTCAATTATTCTAGTGCTAAATCTCTCATTCATTATTACAAAAGCAACAAACGCTCTGTTCCTGTTGCTATTCTTGATGTACTAAATACAAAAAAAACAACTGGATATAGGGTTTCTAAAACAATACCCTAAACTAATAAGAATCTAAAAATAGAAGTAAGGGAAAATAATGAACTCATTCATTCTTATTGCTTCTATGAACATCTAGCAACCATCAGTTGATTATTATATATAACCTTATTCATTTCAAGATCTTTATTTTTTCTTTTTAATAACAATATTTCAAGGATAGTTTTAAATAACATATAACATCATTATAATCATTTTTTTTATTTCTATAGTGTTCTATTTCTTGAGTTATCATAATGCTATGATAATTCATTCAAATATTCTTGTTTCATAGAAATATTGGTGCTAATTATCCTTATTATATCTAGAATAACAAATTTAATTTGAATATATTTAATTCTTTATTTTATAGAAATATTTATATTAGAATAAATTATAAAAAATCTAATTATTATTTTCTATAATTCTTTAATACTAATATGTCAAATTTACAAGGTAGAAGGTAACAAATAAATTATTTTACTAGATTTCTAAGTTGTTTTTGCAAAAGATTTTAATACATCTTTTAAATGTTTCTATTATTTAGATTATCTAATACATCTGAAACATCTTGGAATTTATAACATTATTTTATTTCTTGAATATTTGCTCCCTTTTCACCTGTAGTTCTCAAAAATTCAATTAAATTTAACTTTAAAGTTTATTTATCATAAACTTCTGCAGGTTTTTTCTCTTTCACTTATTATGGTTATTTAATTTCTAAATTAATATAATTTAAATTACCTAAATGAGATAATTAGAGTTAATCATAAATTTAATATTCCCAATATTCCTTTTCACTTTCGCTTTGCTCTATTTCTGAACTATAAGAATAATTTTTGTTTTCTGAACTATTAGAGTAATTTTAGTTATCTCTACAATAAAAGTAAAAAATTTATTTACAAATTTCGAACATCTTTTTTATTATTTTCAATTTTTGCTTTCGTTTTGTATGGTAAAATACCTGTGAATTAAATATCTCTTGTTTCATTATAAGGAGGTGATGGTATTAATAAGTTGCATTTATTCATAGGTTATTTTAATTCACTTATATTCATTCTAATTGATTATTTTTCATCTTCTAAAATTAAATAATATTCATTGTTTTTTATTTCTAAACTAGCCTTCAATTTCTCTTAATATTTATCTTACTTTTCTAATTTTTTTGTCCATTTCAAGAATTAATGTCTCCATTCAGTTGGTAATTCAATTTCAGCCAAACAGGTTTCTTAATCAAAAAATGACTTATTTTAGTTTTACATTTAAATAAATAATAGATGAGAATATATACACTTATTTTAATTTGCTTAATAAATATTGGATATTCTCTATCTATTTAGATAAATCATAACCCAACCTGCTTTTATGTATAATCTACTGAAAATAATTGTTAATTGATAGTGAATTTTCAAGTTTCAGGAATGGATGAGAATAAAACTGAAATTATCATTAAATCTGAAAATAATGATTAATTGCTATAAAAAGTAAATGGAAAAGAAGGGTCTTTAAAATAAACATTAAAAGAAATAGGAACATATTTTATTTGTTTCAAAAGTCTGAATAGAAGCTTTAAAACTGTTAGCTTTGATTTTGATATAGATGGAGATGATAAAGAGTATGCTTAATCAGAATAATTTAATTAAATGTCTAAAGAATTATCTAGAACAAATAGAAACTTTTAATCTATTTATAGAAATCAAAATTGGATTACTGATAGAGAAAACTCTCATAAGATTAGTAAAATTTTTAAATATTATTTTAATTAGTTTTAGAAAATACTTAAAAATCAATTTATTGGTGTTCAATTACAAAAATAGGAGTTTTAATATTAATTACAATATTACAAACCATATTTGTGTACAAATTTTTTAAAGGAATAGATGTTAATTCACAAACCTATTGAAATTATTATTAGTTGTTCATTTATTATTTATGTAATTATTTCATAGTTAAAACATATAAAATATTATTGATAATATATGAATTATAGATGTGATTATATAATATTTGTATTTAAATTAATTTAGTTAATAAATTATTTATTAATCTATCCATAAAAATAAGTTTATATGGATTTGGAGAACCAATTTTTGATTCTAAAAAGATTGTTCTTTGTAATCGAAAAATTTATTGGTAATGATTTCACTTTTATCTAACATATTATATCTTCAATTCTTACTTTTTTTATATCAATTTTTCATTTAGTGCATGCAATATTTTATTCTACTTATTTCAATTTGACATCTATATCAACACTCTAGTTATGCCTTTTCGAAAACATTTATTCTTTTAATATTTAACCTTCATTTGATTTCACTTTTTTTTAATTAAATAAATTCGATTGTCATCAATTTTTTATCTTACTTTATATACCTTATAAATCTTGAATAATTGTTATGTTTAAAGAAATTCTATTAAATATCTTTTTCCAACACAATTTAATTGTAAACTATAAATGCAGTTCCTTAAGAAGTCCAATTAATAATATTTGTATTCTTTTGATCTTAAAATATGATAATGCATATCATAATTCCAACATTTGATATGTTTTTAGAAGGAAGGAATAGATGTATTTGTATTCATTATAATCTTTAATAGATAATATTTATAAACAATTAATTTATGCTATAAATTTCATTATTAATATTTTACTCTTCAAACATATTATATCTTATTCTTTTATTTTTTTTTATTACTTGAAAGAATAGAAAATAATTTATAATAGTATAATAATTTAGTTATAATATTTATCAAAAATTATTCACAAATCACACTACAATATCAAACTTTTGCCATATTTTTACATACTTAATATATTTTAAGAAAATTGTTGGCTTTTCGAGGATCCTTTGGAAGTTTATTATTTAATTCATTTGTTTCAAAGTAATCAAAATATTTGTATAATTAAGTTTAACTTTTTATTTTAAAGCAAAATTAACTTATTTCATTCAAACATTTTTGATGTATATGAAAATACTTTTTTAAATTATCACATTAAGGATAATTTTTAATCATTTTTAAATAGTTTATTATATCTACATCTTTTTAATAGTTTATTTTTAAAGATTCACAATTTAACCAACATATTTCTGATATTGTATTTAATATTTCATCTTCAACTAATTAGGTATTTTGTGGTTTAATTCCAAATATTATTGCATATTTCTAAATTATTGTTGATTTTTCTATTATTTTTTAGGATTATCTCATTTATTCCCAACTTTCAAATGAAGTTTTTCTTAATTCTAAAATTGATATTTATTTTAATAGTAATTATACTATGTATTAAATAAATAGTATTAATCCATTTTCATATGAATTTTCATGGCTTAAATGTGTATTCAGATTTTAATATTAAGCTAAATCTTCATATTTAGGTTATCTTTATAAAAATGAATAGTAATTTCCTATTTCAATGGCTTAATTTAATGATTAAAAATACTTAATTTTATTTTACTCTTAATAATCATTCATAAGCATATTAAATAAGTGCTTATAAATTGCAGATTAAGTAAAATTAATAATTAGGTGTTTTTATTGTTAAAATTAATTTTCTTCAAATTTATCTTAACATTAAAAAAACATTTCTTTTCTTAATTTATCTTTTGCCATTTCTTTTGGAATAAAAAATTATATCAAATTACTTAAAAATTATCCATAGAATAATTTTGTATAAAAATAATCATTTTCATCTAAATATCTTCTTATATTACCATTTATATCATCAAAATCTATTTTTTAATAATTTAAATTTAAAGAATCAAAAAATTTACCTATACCAGTCTATCCTTCATCATTTAATTAAAAAGATCCTAAATTTTATATTTTTGGCCATATAAACTCATTATAAATTTCTTCTGGTGTAATTTCATTTTTCTTAAACAAACAAAACACATTTAATAATTAATACTATGAAGTTTTAAATTCTTAATTTTAAATTGAATATTTATAGATGCCTTCTCCAATAAACACTTATTCACAAACTTCGAATATTTCTTATATCATTTCTTATTGCCATTATGAATTATTATTCACTTTTATTAAATATTTCAGAGTACTTTAAATTAAATTAATATATGAATTTTTGTCATAAAATTCATGATTTTATGTAATTAAGTATGACATTTTTTTCCTAAATAATTAGCATTTCAATAATTCTTCATTTTTTTCTTCTTTTTTTAATAATGGTAATATACAATTTGGCCTGTCTCTTGTCAAATTTTTTTTATCCAATTATATAGTTGTCAAATCTATAATCTTTTCTACTTGCGAAATCGAATTAACCTTAATTTTCAATATATTTAACTGTTGTTTAAATGTAATTTATAACCCATAACCTACAATTGGGAATAGATTAATCATTTAATTTTAATCATTGCATTTTTTCAAATTTTCTCTAAAGTCAGGGTTCTTTAATTAATCAACCCAATTTTCTAAAGTTATACAGGATGGGACCTATTAACTCTATTTAAGTGTTATTTATAAAAAAATTTAATTCATAAATCCATTTGTTTGTTTAAGCGTATTTGAAGAAAAATCAAATTCTATTAAAATTATGTTTTATTAAAACAATTATATTTTAATCTATTTTTATAGTTCTCTTGTTTTAGGTTTTTTAAATTCAAATAATGTAATTATGTATTCTGGATAACATTTGTTTATTATATACTTGTTTATTTTTAATTATTTGATGCTCATCAGAAGTTATTGAATTTCACCTTAATATCAATTTATATTATACTTGATTATAGATGTTATTTATATATTAATTTCTTCTAAATCGGATTCAGTTTATGAATATATAATCATTTTATGATTCTTGCAGAAGTAATTTAGTTTTTAGTATTTTATTATAAATTCAAATAAAATAAAATTTAAACATCTATTAATAAATTTTTCTTATTAGTAATTGATACATAATTTATAGGCTATCTAAAATTCTAGAGAGTAATGTAATTCTCATATTCCTTTAAATCCAAAAATTATGAGATTCTTGTTCTTTAAAATATAATTAATTGATTAGGATGAAATATTTATATGATAAATAAGTATGAAAATATTGAAATTAGGATTGATTTGTAATTTTTGTGACATAAAAAAAATTATGTTTTAATATTTTTTATTTAATATTGTGTCAATGACTATCGTGATGAATGTTTACTATATAGAATGCTGTTTCAATACTTGAAACCAAGAAGGCTCTGTCCTTGATTTCAATTCCAAATTCTTTTTCAAGAGCATCATGAATATGAATACATGTAGCTACATCTACATATCCTGCAGCATCATTCCAATTTGTATTAAATGTAATTGGGGTTGATTCCCACTAAAAAGTTTAATGATTTAATTATATACTCTTTCAGGATCGATTTTTCTTAATCTTTCTCCAACCACTTTAATTATTCTCTTGGCTGTCACAGCTGGCTAAATTTAATGTTATTTGAATACATTATTATAAACAGATCCATTAGGAAAATGATATGAATAAAGAGGAACTTGAGTTTACATAGTCTTTGCAAATGTAGATACTAATTTATTCATATTATTTTAAATTATTATTTATTGTATTAATATACTCATTGTTTCTTAGCTTATTATTTTTTTGCTTATGGTTTCTTAGTTTCCTTTTCTTTTGTTTATTCCTTCTATTATTCCTTTGGTTATTATTTCTTTTATTCCTTCTTCTCATCCTTGACTTCAACTTCAGCATCTTCCTTCAATTTCTTGATTCTCAACATACCTTATTTTGCAGATAATCCAGCAGGAGTACTACAATTATAATTAATATTACTTGACTTCCCAAGCACCACCAGCAATTTATAAACCAGTTTATGTGCATCTCCAAATACCAATAGCTTATCTTTTAAGTGAATGCTATATTATTTGATGAAATTTATACGGCTCCAGTAAATGTATTGAAATATCTTTAGTGCTATGAAATTTCGAACTTCTTTATAATCTTTCTTAAAGATGCACCATATCTTGTACCATATTTTCCTGTAATTCCAACCTTCTTAGTCTTTTTGGTCATTTCAAATAATAATTAAAATCTTTAATTTATTTTTAAATTATTATCCAATCCACTTATTCCCATATCATTCTAATCTATTCATATCCTTATACTTCAATTTCAATCTTTCTATCTTAATAAATCAACTATTACAACTGTATATTATAATTTTCATCATTCTATTCCAATATTTCCCTTTAAAAGGAATTATTTAACTCTTGAATCTCTTTTAATTAATTATAAATGAAACACTAAAAAAAATAGAAACAAGAGTATTAATTATTTAATGTCGAAAAAGTCGTTGGCAAGAGATATGATCCTGAAACTAATGAATTATAATATTGTATCAAATGGGAAGGCTATCCTGATGAAGAAAATACTTGGGAACCTGTAGAAAACCTTTAAAATGTTCTATCCTTCATATAAGAATATGAAGCTACTCAAAATAATACAAGAAAAAAGCAAAAAATACAATTGGATGATAAAAAACTCAAACAATTGCTCCTCATCAAACTAAATCAATTTCTAGAATAAATGGCCCCTAAATATGAATTATAAGAAATCAACCTAAGTGATTTTGACAGCTCTGAAGAAATCAAAGAATAATAACAGTAATAAGAAACATAACCAAAAACTACACAAGAGCCATATGAACCAAAATCTCATATATTACAACAAGGCTTTCATTGGTGTCCTTAAAATTATGAATCTAATATAGATTATTGAAAATATCATGCCAAAATTTTGTGCTTATATGACTATTTTAATTAAATTCTTCCTAACTTTTTTTATAAATAGATAATGAATCTAAAGTCTAGTATTAATTATTATTTGTTAAATCAACTATTTTTTATATTGTTCCTAGATTTATTTTACATTCAATCATTCTTTTAAAATTATTTTAATTAATATTTTTACTAATTAATTCTATTAAACTTTCTTTGTTAAAATATTAAAAAAATGTGAGCATTAATAAACTATAGATTTAATACTTAGCTAAGTATAAAAATTATTGTTTTAAACAGAATTCTTAAATTCTTCAAAAATTATTAATACTTAAATTATTAATATAGTATAGTCAAATTTATTAAAAAACGTATTTATCAATAGATTAAAAACATATATTGATATATAATTAGATATAATTGTTTTTTTTATTAAAGCAACTCTTAATTCTTTTTTTGGTGATTAATTTATATTTTAGATGTATGATATGAGAATCAAGTTTAAAAATAAATAAACACTTATAATAATTGAATCATTAAATTATTAAATTCTTTATGTAAACAATAATTAGAAGTTTTCAATAAAGAATTTAAAATCTATTAATTATGAAATAAGAAATAACTATATTATACTTTAACAAGTTTAAATAAAGAACTTAGATGATTTTATTAAATGAATCTAGAAGTCTATAATAATTACTAATTGATTAATTTTTAGTTAGTATAAATATTATATTTCCCGGAAATATATGTAAATAAACAAATAAAAAAGAGTTGTATCTTGATAGTAATTTTATAAAAATTGATTTGATCATGAATATTAATTTATATTCTCTTAATTTATTTGAAAATCATATTTTAATTTATGATTTTAACATAATAAAATTATGATGGATACAAAGAATATGATATTAATAGAAAGTTGAGAGATGAGGAAAAGTAGACTAGAATGATGAAATAAGAGATTATGAAATAACAACTAATTGAATAGCAATAATTATAAGAATAAAGAAAAAAGGAGTTACAGCTATAAAAATAAAAGGAAGATGAAGAATAGATTCAATTAATTCGTAAAAAGTAAGGAGAAGAAAAGTTTCAATAAATATAGAATAGAGAAGCAACAAAATAAAATCTATAGCATTAGAATTATCTTATTTAGAATCATCAGAAACTATTAATTGATGAAAAAGTAAATATTATTTTATTATAATAGAAACAAGAAACATTAAAGATAGAGAATGATATTATCAATAATGCAATAAATGGATTATCTTTGGAGGAACAAATGAGAAGATAGAAAAGAGAAATGTAAAAATAAATTGTTGAATAATAAATGAAAGAATTACAATAAAGAAAAGAAAAAGAGAAAAAAGATAAAGAATTTGAATAATTAATATACAAAGAATAAACTTAAAATGAATCACATAGAATATAAAAATAAGAAGACTCATACAGAAATGTAACTTAAATCTACAATATTAAATAGTATTACCAGAAGTTATCAGAAAGATAAAATGTATTGTAAGATATCTATCGATAAAAGGTTGATAACCCAAAAATGTAGCTTGATTATATTATTGATTAATAAGTGAAGGATAGGTAAAATAAAGAAGAGAATGAATACTTAACTAAAAGATAATTATAGTAAAAGTAAAAGGAAATGTACTAAAATGGATTGGCAAATTAAATATAAGAGAAAAATGAAAAAAAGAAATTAGAAGATAATATAAAAGAACAAAGGAAATTAGAAATATTACAAGCTTCTATATAATATGAAGAATAATAAAGATAAGATAGATTAAAAAAGAGAGAAGTTTAGTAATAATATCACACATAGTTATCTACTTTAGTATATTATCAAAATGATTAATAATAGAGTTAATCTTAGAGTTATGGTAGTGGAATCATGAATACTGAGATATCTTAATCAAATATCTATAATCCATTAACAAATCCCATTTCTAGTCAGATTTAAAATCCATATATACTTCGATAAATTTAACACAACAATTCAAGTCTCCAATAATCCCCATCAATGAATTAATCGAAGTTAGCATCTTTTGGTAAAAGCAGTTTAATAAATTGATATATATATATTATATAAATATAATAATTATTGTTATTGCTTTCAATAATTAATTCCAAGATAGTTACAAATTAAATAAAGCAAATTGTATAATATTTGGTTTTAAAAAGCAGAATTAATATTAATGCTTATAAATTATATAATAATTCTATAATGTTAAAATATATAGAAATTTTATCTTTTCTAACAATTTTATTTCATAATTATATTCTCTCGTATTTCTTAACATATTCTTAATTCTATTTACTTTGAAACTTTTTATTATTACAGATATATCCTATTTAATGTGTTAAAGAAAATAAATAAAAAAATAAATATTATAGAAATAATGTAAGATTCAAAGCAATAAAGTGGAGATCTTTCAAAATAATAAGTTAGTGGAAACTTATTATCAGAAGGTTCAAATTCAGAATAATTCTTAATTACACGTTCTTATTAAAACTCCAAATAAAACAGCGAAAATTTTCCTTAGAATAAGCATGTATCTGATTAATCAAAAAGTTATAAACTAATGGATCTGAGAGTAACTATCAACTCAAAACTTGAAAAGGCAGATGAATAAGCACTAAAAAATTTCATTGAAAGTTTTTAATATCCTTAAAATTACACAATAGGAGCAGTATTCAATAATTTAATCTATATAGTTCCTTTCAAATTTAAATTATCATCTATAATCTAATGAGAAAATTTAAGATTATAATGTATTAATATAAACTAATCATCTAAATGATTTTTAACCAGATACAAATACTTAGCTAAAGGATCTTACGAAATCTAAAATTAAATAGTATTTTGCAAATGTAAGAATTTTATAGAATTTAGAAAGATAATGTGTTTGAAAGCCCTAAAATTAAAGAATTCTTAAAATAATAATTTGAAGATATTTTCCCTAATAAGAAAGTTGCTTAAACGGATTACATCAGTTTAACAATTAATTTGGTGCTCTTTGAAGAAGAAAATAATGCATGATTCATTATAATAAAAATCATAAAATATATTTAATTATTAATTATTATTATATTAGATATATGTAATAACGATATTAAGTATAAGTAAATGAGTTATAAATAATAATTAAGATAATAACCATTAATTGAGGGAATATTGGATATATTTGTTAGAAAATCTGCTATAAACAATAATATATAGTAAATAATATCAATAACAGAACCAATAAGCAACGATGATCTAATATTGAAGAATAGTAGACATAGATATAAGAAAATTAATTGAAAAATATATTAGTATTGGTGATTCATTTTGGTATAGCATTATTAATTATATGATTATCAACACATTTTAATTTAAGTGAATAGAGATATCATAAATACCATTTATTATTTAGTTTTTGCTTTTACTACATATTTTACATAAAAAATCTGCAAACACTTCCTGAATCAATTCTGCTCAAATTTCGAACATCTATTGCAATCTTTAAAATATTCAATTAATTAACATAAGGCTAGTGAAGATAACTCTGATAAGGATGAAGCTAATCCACTATCAGTAGGAAATTAATTATTTGATTCAACTCTTTATCCCATACTAAATAATATTCAGAATCACTTATCCCAATAGTTTATCTGATAAAGAATTCTTGTACTTATTATATGCAAATCATTTTGATTAGATTAGTTAATAACGGAATATATTGAATAATTTTTTAATCTTCTTACTCTTAGTAAAGTCTTTGCAAATTATTAACAATTAAATCTTATCAAATTTTAGATTAAATATTAAGGTTGTTGTAGTGAATAAATCCTGTTAATTTAGTGTCATATCAATATTTTTTTTATTCATTTACACAAATATTTAATAAGACCTATAATTAATGAAGATGTGAGAATTAGTCTCTTATTTAATTATGTAAACATAAATTTAATAATTAATTAATTTAAATCAAGCATAAGGATTAAGTCCTTAGTTTGTTCTTGCAGGTCTTAACATTCCTCTAATCTGAACTGAATACTTTCTGTAGAATAAACAAATCCCAATAAGCAAGCCTATTTCAACATATATATAGTAGTTCTATACTATATCTGATAAATTTCTAATTTATAAGGTATTTTATTTTGCTTCTGGATTTTTAATGAAAATTTTAGAATCAGTCAAATCAAAATAGAATTCTTTATTTTTCATAAAAGGTTGGCCTAACAAAATAGTTTTTTTAAATTTAGGTTCATAATTCCTTGTATAATCATTAAAAGGTAAACAATATTAATCTTATTAAAGATTAAGTAAATAATCTTTTGCATTCAATTTATATTGATATCCATTTTAAAAATTGAAACTAAACTCAGGAAATGTTTCATAAAAATTGGAAATATACCCATAACGAATTCTATCATAATAATAACATTAAAATCCATAATAGTTAAGTTCTTAAGGACAACCTCTAATATCTTATTAACATTTAGCAAATGATTTTTGAAAAGATTATAGTGTTTCTGAATCCATATTAATTAATGTGCTTCCTGTATCTACAATAATCTCATAGTTTTCAGATTAATTTGGTTAAAAAACTACATTGTTTTCATCATCCTATAATTATTGATAAATTTACTGTGACAGTTGCTAAATCTACTTAATAATATTCAGACTGCTTATCAAAAGGTATAGTAATTTCATCATAGTTTGGATAATCTTGACCAATTGTTAGTTTGCCATTTTCATTTGTTAATAATATTGAAAATATCTTATGTTCACTTTTAAATTAAAATTCATTATATAAGACATCAATAAATTTGTTTTAATTTCCCATTCCTAAAATTTAAGATCCACTATCTAAAATGCATTAAAAATCAAATTTAATATTATTTTCTCCAATCTTAATTATATCTTATGCATAAATTGTTCTAGTCGATTCTCCATCATAAGTAGTCAATAAATTTTGACATTATAAGTCTTTTACTTCATCACATTTTTTCAAAGTCATTGATATCTATATTTAAATTAAAATTATTACATTATTGCACATTAATGAAGTTAAAGGAGCACCTGTGTCGACAATGAGTTAATATTGAATTTATGGAGTACCAATTTCTAACTCAATATAATACTCTGCCTGAGATTGAGTTTTTTTGAGATCAAATATTAATTAAGAACTTGCAATAGAAAATAATAAAATAATCATTGAATATGTGGATTAATCAATTATTAATTTGTTTTCCTTTAATTAATCTTAAATAAAATGTAATAAATGATGAATGTAGAGATGAACAATAACATTCCTGTAAGATATTTTGGGATTTCCTTCTTTGTTATCAACGATTTCGATATCGATATCGTAGGAGCATCAAGACTAGTTTCTAAAGAACAATTTTAATAATTGACAATTAGTTTCTCTTTTCCAAAAATAAACTCTTTATTTCTCATAAATGGTTAGCCTAGGATAGTTTGTCCAACTTTTTAAAATGATAAATAAAATTACTTCCTCTTTTTACAGGAAAACAATAAGTCTTATTATCATGTGTAACTAAATAATCTTATGGATACCAAATAAAGTCTGAACTTTCATTAAATAAAAAGCTTATCTTAGGAAACTTTTCATAAAACTTATCTATATTATTATAATCATTATCATAACATGTTAATCCATCTATATCATTTCTTTAAGGACAGAAAAGTCCTTAACATAAAAATTATTTTATTAATTAGAGATATAAGTTTGGAGGAAAGACAACATATGTATTAGTGAAATCTATTTCTGCATCTGTTTCATAAATATATGGAAATAAGAAATTTTATTTAATTTCTAATGAGATTAAGTTCAATCTATTTTATTAACAATTTGATTCCGAATCGCATTTAGATTTCATATAATCAATTTAAATAGTTTAGTCATCATTTTTAAAATTACCAATTTTCATATAACCCCCATTTTAAGCCAAACATAATTTAAGTTACTATTAGCTATTAAATTTTTGTATTATTCCACCAAGGCCTAAATAATTGTTAATTTCTTAAAAGTAAGTGTACTCTTTTCCACAAAAATTTTAAATTATTAAATCTCCTATCTACATGTGACAAGTATCATTACAAATGTAATTAACATCATCAATTTATCTTATCATATTTCTCTCTAAAGGGATTGCTTTAATTAATATAAATCTTTAAGCTTAGAAATGATGAGATTTTGATTAATTATTTTAACATTCTAATAATAATTCTATTGCACCATCAAAATTCTAATCTAAAATCCATCTTTTATTGTTCAATTCTACATAATAATAATTTTAAGAGAAATTTCCATAAATTGGCATTGAACTCACTATCTATACTAATAATAAAGAGAGCATTTATTATTAAACTTTTAATTTATATAATAAAAAACATCTCTTAAAATTCAAAGAAAAATGATTTATGAAATATTTATATATCATAACTATTCATTTAAAATAATCTCCTAAGTTATAAATTATATATTAATTTAGAAAATGTGATTCTAAAATGGCTATATGGGCTTTCCTTCCTAAAAAGGTATCGAAATCTCTATTAAAAATATTAAATAATATCATTTACCCATCATAGAACTTATAATCAATACTAATTCTTAAGACTTCATTTTAATGCAATTATCTTAAAATATTGGTTGCCATTTCATTATGCTTTTATTCATTTTCAATTCCTTATACTTTCATTAATAAACTACTTTCACTATTTACATAATGATCCTATTAAGAACCAAATAAAATAATATGTTTAAATTTATTCATTCCTGGAAATTAGGATAGCTTTAATAATGTATCATCATAACAATTTAATTAAGATAAACTTTGAGATTTCTTTAGTTTCTAAAAAAACCACATCCCAAATTTAATTAAAGGTCTTTGATTTGTCACATTACCCAAATGAGGCGTTCCTAATGTTAAGAAAGTATGAAACTCAAAATCCAAATAAGGTAATGCTGCTCTTATAATTAATCCTCCTAATGAGTGTCCAATAAATGATATGACTAGTTTATCTGTATAAGACCATGTTGCAATATAGTTTTTAATTTCATCACTAAGATATTTTCCCATTTATAATATATCTCCTTCTGTGTTTTATTGATTACATAATGATACTAATAACATATGCTATGGAAATCTCAAACACATATAATTCTCCAACAATCTCATATCATATGAATGTCCTTAATAACCATGAACTAAAACTATAAGATGCAATTTAGATCTAGACAATTAGAATGTTTATCTTGTAACATAATGTTTTTCAACAATCATTAACTTATCTTTGATTTCATCTATTATTTTTAAATCAGCTATTTTAGATGGACCTTAAAGTAACAATTTTTAATATTCTAATCTTTTACTTTATAAATCTGCCTACTCTTGACTTTATTTCTATTATTAAGGTATCATTGTATATTGATGATCTACTACAGGAATCACTTCTTTTTAAGTAAATGCAGAGTATCTACTTTAAAAATTTGTTAATGATTCTTTCTTCAATTACCTAAGTAATTTTTAATGTCCTAACTTTAATCCAATAATTATTTTATGCCATAATTGATTTATTGTACTTTGTAATACTTTAAATTCGTTAGCCATAACTTTGCTAATTAATTATGTATTTTATTCATTTTTTAATAATGAATCTGCACTAGATAATGGTAAAACTTAAAAGCTTTTGGTTTATCTCAAATGATATTGCATGCCTCCACTGCTGCTTGGTCTTTCCATCTCTAACTCCATATTATAATAAAATGTCTGCATATTTCGATAAGATGTCTTAAGAGGTTCCAACACTTTATTATACAATTATCTCATATTTATATGTTAATGTTGATCTACTGCCATCTTATCCTCACTTTATACTTACTATAGTTAAATATCAAAACTAGTCAATGAACAAAGAACCTAATCTTTTATATATTCAAAAATACCATTATATTCAATAAACTAAAGTGATCTTCTCCTAATATCACAGGAACATATTCATATATCCCATTAGATGAGTTTTCAATTTTAAATTTTGCCATTGATATACTTTAAAATGAAACAATTTTCTAAGCTAAATCATAATACATCAATTCAATCTCCATGAAACATGGTTGCTCCTTCAAATTATGTGGAATTGCACCACTGAACCTACATCCATTTTTTATCTCAAATTTTTCCTTTCCAATTTATATAATTTAATACTTCCTCTGTCCATTATCTCAATAAGAAAGCATCACTCATATAAAAATTATCAATTATGTGTTATGGCAAGTATTGTTATTCATTTCTCTTAAATAACAGAGTTTCTTTCGGAGTGAGAGGAATCTTCAAATTTTGGGACTGCAATACTCAAAATCACTTACACTCTATATATATAAGTTAATCCTTATTTGATACATTCCCTCATCCAATAAAAAGATCCCAATAGTTTTAAGGGAATCCACAAAAACGATAAATTCAATTATTGCTTTAGCTTTCATTTTTATTATTTAATTTGTTATCTTACACACTAATCAATCAATACTTAAATTATTAATAAAAAAATGATATAAATATTGATCATCAAATATAAATAAACATTTATCTTATTTATTTTGTCTAACGTACTAAGAGAATATGTAAATTTTTAGTTAAAAAAATTGTATGTTATAAAAAATCATGTAATAGATCAGCTAATTTTTTAATATCCATCCAAAAAAATTTTATTATCATAAATTTATTATTCTGCTGCTGAAGAATTCATTTTTCTCATTTCAATTATATCAAAATGATGTTCAAAATAAATGGACAAATTAAGGTTTACTTTAATATTTCTAATAAAAACCCTATTAATTGAGTAAAATAAGCAGAACTATAACAAACTTCTCAAGGATTAGTAATAGTTCTTTCTAACATAATACTAAAAGATTTTGATTAAAAATGTGTGATAAAACTAATAGAAAAGAGATGTTAATAGTTCAAGTAGATATTTTTAGAATGCTCTAATATTAAGAGGATTTGAAAAAAATTTGATAAGATTATACAATAACCAATATAGGCCTATTAAATAACAGATGAATGAAAGAGTATTAAGATAAAAAAAATAATATTTCTAATTTTTTATATAATTTAATGCTTTTTGTTATTTTTCTCAGTTTGCTTTATTGTAAACAAGTAAGCTAAGTGACATAATATTTTTTTATTCAACTTTTTTTGGCTAATAAAGTCTTAACTCTTTTTAGATAATTTTAAGCTCTTTATTCTTAAGTTTTTTGTAAACAATCCTAACTTTATAGAAGGACAGAAAGGTATGCCAAACCAATTAGTTCATAAAATTATAGTTACTCTATATATTCTTTGATACAAATCAATCCAAATAAAATTTATTTTACTTTTTTATCATTAAATTTGAAGTATTTTTAATTTTCTCTAATTTATTACAATAATTTAGATGTGCAAGTTAAGGCTGTTTTACTAAGCTTATTTTAATTAATTAATATTACTTGTTTGAATTTGTATAAAGTTTATTTTCTAAAAGTTTAATGAAATTATTTATTTGCTTTAATCTAATTTGCTATTCTGTACTCACAGTATAAGCAATTATATAAAGGTTTAGGAAAGGATAAAATTTAGCAGTTATGAATAGTTTATGAAATTTTATTAGAAATTGAAAAATGATGTTATTGATTTTCTAATTTATACATTAAATAATTAATAATATGAGATTAGGAACACTTTTGAGGCTCTTCAATTAATAAGATGAATAATAAGTTGGATTTATATCGCTAGAGCAGGTAGATAAAATTTTAAATAATATTTATGAATGCAATAAAGAATGTAAAGAATTTTCAATTACTTTTAGACTAGATTTACTTCGATAATCTTTTGCTCAAAGGTTGTAAGGAGTTTTCAATTGAAGATATTATTATGATCATAACAGAAATAGATTATTATGAAGAATTAAGATAATCTGTAATGTAACAATAGCAAGAATAAAGTTTAAATTAAATGTAAAGTGAAATGCTGATAGCTTAAATAGAAGTTAATTAAAGAGATAGAAGAAGAATCGACTATTTAAATAATCCTTACATAAATAATTTAATTACAATGCTCAAAGATTATTATAAAATCTGTTGTAAGAATGGAGATGTAAAGGAAATGCATAGAATAGAAAACAGAATATAGGAAATTAAAGTAAAACAACAAAAACGCTGGAAAAACTATATTAACTAATTACAAAAATATTAGGAAACTCTGATTTAAAAAACAGCATTTGAACATTAATATCATTAATAAAAAAAATGGAATGAGTTTGTAATAGATTTCTAGAATAGTAGATTTTATAAATTTAATATGCTTTTAGTAAAAAATATATATATAATATAAGGAACAACAAAAAAAAACTATTTAAGAGATGAGCAAATAATTTTAAGAAGAGCTTTAACCAAAAGTTTTTAAGGTTTCAAAAAAAGTTCTAGATATGAGATCTAAATAAAAATAACTTTTAAAATTAAAGGAATTTTCATAAGCAGAAAAAGTGAAAGAAGAAGCAGATTTACTTGAATACCTTGAAAAGAAATAATAAGAAATGATTGTAATACAAACTTAATTGTTATATAGTTAAAAACTTAAGTGAAAAGGAAATTAAAAGTCTTAAAAAAAAGATAATCATGTCAGATATCAGCATTTATGTAAAAAGTAGCAAGTGAATAAGCAACTCATCTTTTGCAAAAATAAGCAAATGAGAATAAATGGGTTAATATAAATAAACATTGTGTTTAAGACATTAATGAAAGATTTAACAAAGATAGAATCATAACATTAGCTTCAAGAAGATCATTTGATGCTTGTAGACTTAGAACAAAAAGTGCTAATCCATAAGCTGCTAGAACTAACATATCTCATCAACTGACTTCACAATATGAATGAATATATTCATTATTTTACTTATTATTCTTGTATGATTTCATGATAGAATTTTATTAATATTATTCTTCAATTAATTTTTAAAAATATAACTAGAAAGGAATTGAAATTTCATTTTTATGATTTTGTTTGTCTTTCAACTCTAATTCTTGATACTTCTAGATATTTTTGTTAAGCAAATTTCTTTCTAACTGCTTGAAGATTTGATTTGTCTGAAGATTAAAGAATCAAACACATTTCCTTTGCACAAAATCTTAGTTCCTATTCATTGTATCCTGTTGTACTTTACATCTCTTCATTCCAAGATTAAGGAGTCTTTCTATGAAAATATAGATTTGATACCTTATTTTATGTACTAGATATATAGCAGCAGAGGTTAAGAAAGATGGCTTATAATTCATAAATTTGATGTCAACTATTGAAAGTTCCAATAAATATTGGGCTAAAAATAAATTTTTTGTATCTAATCCAGCAATTCTTCCAAATCTTTATAAAAAACAATAGCTTGATGGTTGTGTAATTGAAAAATCAAGAGCTTATAAAATTTAACCTTCCATATCTAAAACATCATATTTTGTATATGCATTATCAGTAATATAAACAAAGTCTTTTAATTCTGGTGGGTAAATTTCTTCATATTTACAAGCTATAAATAATGAAGCTACTCCTACTAATTATAATTGCTATCTAGTTGTTTTTTAAATATTCAAAAATCTATCAATTAAATATGATGTAACATATAGGGTTTCATCCCTTAATTTAAATTTAAGGTGAACGTCTACTAACCAATCAACTAAAATAGATCTCATTCTTGCATTTAAGTCTGGTTATTGTTGTTCATTCATATAATTATTACTAACTAAGTATTTCTATTCTTAACTTAATAAATATTAAAAAATTTCTTAATTGTATAATGGCGTAAATTATGGATCCTTTATAATTTATTAATCAAATTGGCATAATTAATTAATATTAGGCTCTTCTTCCATCTAATTTTCCTTTTCTCCACACCATAAATTAAGTTTTAAATATCTTGGTTGTACTGTTAAATGCTTTGGTTTATTTCTATCAATGTTTTCCTTTTAAAATTCACCTGAAGAATTGGCTAATTCTTTACCAAAGATCCTATACTGTTCTTGAATCATTTTAATTATACGTTAAAAATTATAATAATCTGTTAAAATATTATAAATCAAATAATTTATAATATTTTTCTGAATATTCACTATCATATAATATTATTTAAGTTTCATTTTGTATTTGAATATTTATTGTAAAATGTAAGTACAATTTTAACGTAAACCTTTCAACAATTAAATATCCAAAAAATTTCCTTATTAATTTTAGGAATATTATATAAAAGACTCTTTTATTATGCATAGCACAGAAAGAATATTAGAAATTTAGTTTAAGTAATTATTAGTAATGGATGACTGAGTTCTATAAAAATAATTTTTTTCCATAAATTATCAAAAAATCTGGCCCATAATTTTTTTATTTTATGGTAGAGATATGTCATCTTAAATAATCCAAAGAATGAATTTCATGTATGATAAAATCTATACAAAAAATTTCTTTTTTAGCCGTAAAATAATTAAATATACCGCTTATTGTGACTTAATTTTCACTACATATCAAGCAAGTAAAAATAATAACTCTTACAAAACTAATCAATGCATGAATTATTCATAGACAATACCATTAAACAACTATGGTAAATTTTATTCAAAACAATTAACATTAAACCATAATAATTTTACAAAAGCATTTTAAATAATAATTGATTTGGAAGGCTGGCATACAATTTTTACTAATTTTGAAAAAATTATTAAATTTTTTATAATAATACTCGATTTAAGATTCTTCATATACTACGACACTCATATTCCCATCCTCCAATTATGGTTTCCTGGTTGTCCTTTTCAGACTTTAATCAGATTTAAAATTCTTAACTGTTCATCTATAAATTAAATTTTGCAGGTAGCCTAATTTAAAATTCAAAGACTTCAGCTGCTGAACACATAGTTTTTTTTTATGAATAAAATTTTTTGCAAATAATCAAACATTATCACAAAACCCAAATGTATCATAAATATCAACCTCCTTTTATCGCCACATTTTTACATGATTTTATCTCATTTTATTCATAAATTCAGTTCAATTTAAATCAATATATTTAGATAGGGTTATTTGAATGACTGCTTTATAAAAAAATTACCAATATATTATATACTTTCTATTACTGATATTTAATAAGAAATTTCTAATTTAATGGCTCTTATTGCTGATCTTAATTAATGATATCTATCAGCAACTAATTTAAAATTTCTGAAATAAAACAATTTCATGAATGATCTCTCAATTTCATATTAACAGTATTTTAACCTGCATCGTTAATTGTCTTGCTAATTAATTTAGAAATGTTTTCATATTCTCAATCGACTTTTTAACTTGGATAACACAATTCATTCTCCTCTAAGAATAATTAAAAAAAATTAATACATATTATAGACATTCTAGTAATACTCTTGAGGTTTATCAATTCTTCTTTTATCATTCTCTTTTGACTCTTCAATTTCAATCCTTGATTCAAAAGGCAGATCTTTGGATTCTCAAATCTCTTAGGCTGTTTTTGAAATCCATTTTAGGAGAATGTTTTCATAAATGCTACTTTATCAAATAAAAATAAATCTGTTATACTTACAACTATTACTTTTTTATTCCTGTCTGATCTCTCTCTAAACTATTTTGATCTAAACATTTCATTTTATAATGCAACCAGATCACTAAAAAAGCTTTGTGCTAGCAAATAGGAATATTAAAATTAGATTTACAAATTCTTTTAGTTTAGGCTCATATTTATTTTCTTTTGCAAAAATTTTTTATTACTTCTACAGGCCCTTTTAAATAATTCTTTCCAATTAGTATATAGATAATATTCATCAATATTATTGAGGTGATATGCAGATAAAAAAAGAGATGAATATAGCGATACATGCCTTTATTAAATGGTATTTTTAATTTTCTTGGTCGAAAATGACATCCCTGATAACTTCAAGACTTTTTGTAATACCTATAATATTTTAGATGTTTATAAAGTAAAATATTTTGGCATGAGAAAATAAAAATAGCCATAAAAAATAATAGACATATATAATTTCATTTAAATTAAAATTTTCCTATTATTATTTTAAATTGTATCATTTACTAATTGATAAAAAAGTGATCAACTAAATTTATTTGAAAAAAATAAATTTTACTTTCATTATTTAAGAGCGTTTAAAACAAATCTTTTGATCTTTATTTTATAAAGATTAAAATCCGTTTCAATACGAATTAACAAAAATTTTCATATTAAAATTTTTCATAAATATTACTTTAATTTAAAAAATTGGATCTTTCATTTTAATATAGATTCAAATAATTCTTTTGATAAATTTACCTAAGAAGCAACCATAGCCAAATCATATAAGATTCGATTTCTAAACTCAGATGCCCTTGCTTAATTGTAAGAATATTTTAAATCTCCTTAAAAAGTGTGTAATAATGATAATAAGATAAAGATACCGCAATCATATCTAATATAATATAAATTTTTACCCATTATATTATTTATTCCATTTAGTCTCAAATCTAAAAATGTTGCTGTTAAAATCTAAGCTTTTTAAAATTATATATATGCCTTCTCTCACATCTTCTTCGACCTATTCATAGTAAGAGTCGAAATAATAAATTATTTTGTCTCTCAAATTAACAACAACACTTATCCAATGTGCTTGACTTAGATTAATAGGAAAATATAAAAAATCTTAATTTTTTAAATCATCTTTAGAGGATAATCCATTCATTTAGGCTACTTAATGTAGTAAGTCAGGTAATTTGTTAATCTAAAATTTTTATTTTTTTACAGGTTCTTCAATACTCATATTAATTATTTTAAATGTAAATGTTTTTTATGGAGGTTATGCATTAATTTGATTTTAAGGTTATACAAATGTTTGTTAAATCTGTTATTATTAAGCTTATTGCATGTGTTGTTAATTAAAATTTTGATATTTGTTAACATCATTGTATTTTGAATCGTGGATTTATAATTTTTAAGATGCTTAATTAAAATTAGTTTGTTCTTTAATATCATCATTATATTATGAATCTGTACCTTTAATGATTGAAGAATGCTGGTTTTCATCAATTTATTTCTTGATTTCATCATTCTATTATGAATTGGTGCCTTAAATATTTGAAGAATGTTTGTTTTCATCAGTTTATTTCTTAATTTCATCAATTTATTATGAATCGGTGCCTTAAATATTTGAAGAATGTTTGTTTTCATCAGTTTATTTCTTATTTTCATCAATTTATTATGAATCGGAGCCTTAAATATTTGAAGAATGTTAGTTTTCATCAGTTTATTTCTTAATTTCATCAATTTATTATGAATCGGTGCCTTAAATATTTGAAGAATGTTTGTTTTCATCAGTTTATTTCTTATTTTCATCAATTTATTATGAATCGGTGCCTTAAATATTTGAAGAATGTTTGTTTTCATCAGTTTATTTCTTAATTTCATCAATTTATTATGAATCGGTGCCTTAAATATTTGAAGAATGTTTGTTTTCATCAGTTTATTTCTTATTTTCATCAATTTATTATGAATTGGTGCCTTAAATATTTGAAGAATGTTTGTTTTCATCAGTTTATTTCTTAATTTCATCAATTTATTATGAATCGGTGCCTTAAATATTTGAAGAATGTTTGTTTTCATCAGTTTATTTCTTATTTTCATCAATTTATTATGAATTGGTGCCTTAAATATTTGAAGAATGTTTGTTTTCATCAGTTTATTTCTTAATTTCATCAATTTATTATGAATCGGTGCCTTAAATATTTGAAGAATGTTTGTTTTCATCAGTTTATTTCTTATTTTCATCAATTTATTATGAATTGGTGCCTTAAATATTTGAAGAATGTTTGTTTTCATCAGTTTATTTCTTAATTTCATCAATTTATTATGAATCGGTGCCTTAAATATTTGAAGAATGTTTGTTTTCATCAGTTTATTTCTTATTTTCATCAATTTATTATGAATTGGTGCCTTAAATATTTGAAGAATGTTTGTTTTCATCAGTTTATTTCTTAATTTCATCAATTTATTATGAATCGGTGCCTTAAATATTTGAAGAATGTTTGTTTTCATCAGTTTATTTCTTATTTTCATCAATTTATTATGAATTGGTGCCTTAAATATTTGAAGAATGTTTGTTTTCATCAGTTTATTTCTTAATTTCATCAATTTATTATGAATCGGTGCCTTAAATATTTGAAGAATGTTTGTTTTCATCAGTTTATTTCTTATTTTCATCAATTTATTATGAATTGGTGCCTTAAATATTTGAAGAATGTTTGTTTTCATCAGTTTATTTCTTAATTTCATCAATTTATTATGAATCGGTGCCTTAAATATTTGAAGAATGTTTGTTTTCATCAGTTTATTTCTTATTTTCATCAATTTATTATGAATTGGTGCCTTAAATATTTGAAGAATGTTTGTTTTCATCAGTTTATTTCTTAATTTCATCAATTTATTATGAATCGGTGCCTTAAATATTTGAAGAATGTTTGTTTTCATCAGTTTATTTCTTATTTTCATCAATTTATTATGAATTGGTGCCTTAAATATTTGAAGAATGTTTGTTTTCATCAGTTTATTTCTTAATTTCATCAATTTATTATGAATCGGTGCCTTAAATATTTGAAGAATGTTTGTTTTCATCAGTTTATTTCTTATTTTCATCAATTTATTATGAATTGGTGCCTTAAATATTTGAAGAATGTTTGTTTTCATCAGTTTATTTCTTAATTTCATCAATTTATTATGAATCGGTGCCTTAAATATTTGAAGAATGTTTGTTTTCATCAGTTTATTTCTTATTTTCATCAATTTATTATGAATCGGAGCCTTTAATGATTGAAGAATTATTATTTCCATTAGTTTCTTGATTATTATTTAAATTTTATTTTTATTATTTAATTTCACGACTTTCATCATGTTTATTCTTATTTTCATTCATATCATTTTATTTAGAATAAAAGACCTAATTTTATATTTAATAATAATCTTAATTTCTATTTACCTGATATTAATTAAAGTTGGATATTTAAGTATTTCCAGAAAAATTGGGATTAATATTGAATGACAAACTTTCCGTTGATTGTGTCCAAAATTCAGCAAAAAAATGGCAAAAGCCTGCTGCTAACTAAAAATGCAAGTAAATTTTACTTTCACATCTTTATAGACATCCTTGAATATATTCATATAAAATTGTATTTATTGGCTCTCCAAAAAATCAAGTTATTGAATGACCCTTAAAAACCTATAATCGACTGTCACTCCATAGTTTCTTTAATTAAAATTTTTGCCTTTTGACACAAAATGATATGTTTCAATATATTAATATCCCTTGTTTTTTATTTGTTCTTTCCAATCTCTATTTTAGTTTTCTTTAGTTTTCGCTACTTAATCTTCATCAGACTTCATTTCTGAACTCATCTTATCTTATAGAACAAAAAAATTTTATCTTATTTTATTTTCTATTAATTTAGATATTTCCAATTAGCTTTATAATGATGGAAAATATTTCAAAATGAACTTAATAAAAATAAAATTATTTATATTTTGAAACTAATATGATAGTACAAATATGATATGATTTAAGATATCCCAAAAATTAAGTATATTAATTGATCAATCCTTATCATAGTAAAAAAAATTTTTTTTGTAAAAATTAACCATAACTTTGACAATAGAAGTAATTCAAGCAGCTTTTTCTTAATTTTTATTTTACATTTAATAGAAAAATGATTTATTAATAATAAATAATCAAAAATAATAGTTATGAATTTATAAATATATTATCTTTAACTCTTTCATCATAATATAATCAAATTATATGTCTATTTGGAATTGGAATAATTTATGTTGATTTGCTCTAAGAAATTTATGCATTTAGAAGAGAATTATTTTTTTCGTTAGGAACTAACAATCACCTATATCATAAAAACAATTTTTCAAATATCTAAAAATTTTTGATTTCTTTTCCAACCGTCCTACATTCGCATTGATCTTGAGAAATTCAAGGAATAGTGGGTTTTTTATAAAATTCTTCATAATTATTATCGAAATGATTTAATTAATTAATTCATTAGTAAAAAGTAAATATATAAAATAATCTCCCAACTTAATTACTAATAGCGAAAATAGCTGTAAAAAATAGAATAAGGTGATTATTTTTCATTTTTGATGTTGATTATGATAAGATATTGTGTACTTATTACATAAATCTATAATTTCAAAAAATTTATTTTAAGAACTTAAAATTTCTTTTATATATATATTTTATTAATATTATTTCAAATAAACTGCTTTTAGTTTGAATATTTTTAAGCTTTTGTGCTTTTATATTTTATAATTTAAAATAAATATTGAAAATTATTATAATAGAATTTAGTTATCAATATACTTAGATAATGAATGGATAACTAAAGTGAACATTTGAATTCTTAACTTTAATTATGAGCACATTTTTAATTAATTATACTTGTTAATTTTTTACTTGCATTGTAACTAAAAATTAGGAATTGCTTTGAACTGAAAGTTATTAAGGATTAACTATTATTTCACAATTATTTTTATTTAAAATTTCTAATTCTAAAGGTAAGCCAATTCGACTATTGTTTCGAAATTAAATTTTGCAATCCAATTTCTTACCTAATTTAAGGGCCATTTATATTATTGGCACTTTATAAAAATCTATTAATGAATTTATTTAAATTACTATTCATCAATCTTTTTGAACATTCAATTAAAGGCAGTAATACCTAACTTTGTATATTAGTGTTAATTTAGCCTTAGATTTTTTATTGATTCGAATTTATAGCAGTTATTATAATTGTTCCAAATAATCCTTTTTAATCTTTTATATTTGGAACTTTCAAAGCTACTTTCATATTAAATTGTTTTTATGCAGGACAAGCAAGCATAAAACGATCTTTATAATCATATCCATTAAGCTTTCTAGCCGAGTAGACATATTCATCTAAATCATCAAATTCTGTGTTATTGCATACAACTTAAATTCCAATAATAATTGTTTCATTTGAGATGTTTTAGAATTAAATATCATCTTCACATATATTTCCAGGTAAAACGAGACCAAAATTCACTTACTATTTGTTCACATTGATTATATTTTTTAATTCACTATATTCCTATAATTTATTGATGAATCTTACATTTTTCAATTGCCTGTAAATATCATAATTCGATTTTTAGAGAAACTATTACTTTTACAACCCAAATTGTTCTTATCTATTTTCCTTATTAGATGGTGATAAAGGTTAGATAAGTAGTTTTTATTTATGCATTTCTTCATGTTATTCAAAATGTAATTACTACTGTTCATTCAAAATATTTTGGCTCCCTGCTAATTAATTCATTGTTTAACTAAATTATTTATATTTAATGTTTTCAGTTAAATTCATTATAATATATTATAATTTATATGTATATCCATAAATTATATGGCGGGGAGAACTGAAATGGAAAAATTATGAATTCAACAAAAAATTACTTATAGATTTCTTAGAAAATAATATAAAATAAGTTAATAAGTCTATTTTTTTATTGTTAATCAAATATTTTTATTAGTTTAGTTATTAATATACTAGGAGAATTAAGTTCAACTGATATATATATTTTTTTTTATTTTATACAATTAAATTATATAATTCTCATCATTTTTATGTCTCTTAGGGAATTTTAAATATCTATAAGGCAATTATTTCAAATTCTAGCGCATTTGCTAAATGCATCTCGTAGTTACCTATTTTATAATTACTTGTAATAGAGCCGCTATTTAATTAGGATTTACACTATTTAAATGTTGATAAAATATTTAAATCGTTATTTCCAAAATTTAAAAGAAGATCATTATCATTAGCGAGCCAATTTATAGTTAAAGATGTCACACCCAATTTTATCGGGTATATTTCTTTCTTACTTAAAGAAAACAAAAAACTTTTTTAGTTAACTGGTGGAGTAGCTCGATTCATAGGTTGAGGCAGAGGTGTATTAGTAGTTCGAAGATTTCCTGAAGAATTATCTGAAGCTATATATGCTCCAAATGTTTAAGAATTAGAGGATTTAAAAATAAATAACTAGTCTGATTTAACTTCCTCTTTAAGTTTCTATAACATTTTCTTATAATTAAGCCCTTCATGAATGCTTGAATAGATTGGGGTAATTTTTTCAACATTTGAAGTTTCCGAATAAACTTTTGTGTTAATATTTTTTAAGACTTCTGTTATATTGTCGTTTGACAATTCTGATTTAGTAAATAAATTGGGAGAGAATGTTGTTTTCATTTCTTCGATTATTTTTTAAATACTCTCCATTCCTTAGTCAAGTTTATAATAATGAAAACTTTAATTATGATAATTTTTACCATTTTTTCTCAGTAAATTCATTGACCTTCTTTTTAAATTTCTCAAATTGAATTTATAATTTATCCTATTCTTTAGCATGTAATTTTTCAACATATTTATTAAGTTAATCATTTATTTCCTTTTAATCCTTAGGTGAGGGATTAGGTCCTTTCTAAGCATACTTATATAATTCTTTTTTTAAGTCTTCAAAATTAAAAATCTATTATAAAATTTCTTTTTACTTCTCGAAAATGGTTTATGTCTATTTATTCCTTTATTTGATAATAATTATCATAAGATTTTAGAACTTCTTTTTTACATTCTTCAATTTGGTATACAATCTCTTTTTTTAATGTTGCAAATTTCTATTATCAATAAATAAAATTACAAATTCTATGTCATCTTTAGTAACATCTAAATTTAAATAATGATAAAGATTAGAAAATTCTTGGCAAAGGTTCCCCTAAAATTGTGTATTTTTTAAGACGTTGAGGCTGTCACTTAAAATCTAAAGATTAGATAATATTTTTTCTATTACTTCCTTGAGGATAGCAACATCCTATCGAAAATGTGAATAAGGACCATTTATACACTTAATACATTGTAATCTTGATTTTACCACATCATTTTCTCGTGTTAAGTTTATATATTCCACCTTTTAATCACGGTGACCGTATTCTTAACAATAGATTTTAATCTTTGTTTATTTTTTAGTAGGTAGCTACTAATAAGGTAAATGAAGATTTTCATTATATGCTTATACTTATTCCATTTTTTTTAATTTAATTAATGACTTTTATGAAATAAAAAATAAGAGACAGCCTAATTTTAATAGAATTACAAAAAATAATTATTGACAATAAATACTAATTTCATATAAATACAATTACATAATCTTTTTATTATAATATTAATTCTATTATGTCTTAGAATAGAATTACAGAACAAAAATATTACAAAAATTTCTTAGTGATATTTTTTAATGAAAATAAAAATTTTAAGATTAACTAAAAATTATTGACTTTTGGAAAGGTAATTAAATTGACATTTTTATATAATTGTAAAAATAAAAAAGAACTTTATAAATATAGTATTAGAATCAAGAAGAAAATATGATTTATATATTGAATTTAATGTATAGTAGATTTTAAAAAGTTCCCAATATCATTGCTAACGAATAAATGTAAAAGAGAAAATAAATTATAGCTTATGTGGAATTCATGAGGAAAGATATAGATGAGATATAAATCCTAGTATAAATAATATATGTCTAAGTTATTAATTGAAATAAAATCAAATGAGGATATTTATAAGTAATGCAAGAGTTCTAGATGAAATTTATAAATAATATAATAGTTAAATGATTTTTGAGACAGTATAAGAAAAATATAAATAAATTAAACAATGTTAAGCTTTTTGTTTTAAAAGGTTTATTGTCTAAAAATAATTAATATGATAAAAATATTAATAATTTGTTTTTTATATTATGCTATAATTAATACAAAAATAAATCTAAGAACACACTTAAGCAAAAGAAAAAAAGATTGGTATTGATGTTTCTAATTATTTATATAGTTTAATATTTAGATTAAAATTAATTTTCTTTATATGAAGATCTCCTGATATTAGAAAAAATGTTAAACGAAAAATTAACCTATTAACACTTTGAGCAATTATCAGAAAAGTGTCATAAAAAAACACCTGATGAATTAAAACTTAGATATATAAATTGTATAAAGAAATTAACAGAAGATGATTTAAAATCAATAATTGAATTTATTAAAAATAATGGTTTGGAGGGAACCTTAATTTATGATAAAAATGAAATAAAAATTTGTAAAATAAATGAAGAAATCAAAAAGAAAAAGGATGCTATATAAAATAAAAAGGAAATCAAACAATTAGGTGAACCTTTACTAAAGAAAAAAAGGCGAATTTAACCAGAAGTATAACCATAACCTTAAAATTATTATTAACTAACTGATTTATAAAAGTATATTCTATATTGTTCTGCTCCTGTATATTAAGAATAAAGATTTCCTACTAATCCTAATTATCAATAGTCCTAAAGATTAAGATAAGAATAATTTTAAAATTCTTTACATGATTTAAGCTTATGGTATGATATACCATTTGAGAAAATGATCTCTCTACTCAAAGCTTGTTCAGGAAGCTTTAATAATTTAAAATAATTCTTGGAGGATAAAAACTACTTTATTTATTGGAAACCTGAAGAAGATTAAAAATTAAAGTCATAAGAGGAAATATAATCATTATATTTAACGAAAGGAGTTACAGAAGTGGAGAGAAGAAAAAAATGGTTGCAATTAGAATGATATGAATGAAATAAATTTGATTTTAAATTATGACATAAATTGACATTCTATTGAAAAAAAGTTAAAATAAAGTTTATTGTTTATAATCAACAAATTCTAAATTTATCTCCACAATTGTAACATTCAAAGAATTTAGTTGTTGGTTCATCTGATGCTCGAGTTTATTTCTCATCAACAAGATAAACTTTTTTTTGTCCACATCCTTTGCAAGTTTTTCCTTCAATTCCTTCCATTTCTCTTTTGCTTAAATCCTTATAAAAACCAATTTATTCTGCTTCCATTTTCTCTTTAATAATTCTAGCTTATTCTTATTTAGTTTCATCATCAACCCAATCAGCAGCCCTGTTTTATTAATTATATTAATACCTTAATTATGCTGCAGATATAGGATCAAAAGCCTTTGTAAAAATCCTTTAGGTTAGGGAACCATTTTTATCTTTCTTTAAAAAGCCCGCTAAAATTCTCAAATCTTATTCATATGCTTTCCTAGAACTTGGTTCTTATCCTCTTTTATGATATATGGTTTTTTCCATAATTTCTACACATTCTTTAATAGTCTAATAATCTGAATCATTTAAATCATTGTCCATTTTGAAAGTCAAAATATTTGAAATAAACATTTTGCTTATTCCATTTAAATATTTGAGTCTATCAACATATGCTGGATATGGTATTCGATAATTATTAAAAAGATCTATATCAGGTAATGATTTGCTGCTTTAATTGCTCTGTACACTATTTTGCTTTTAGACTTTGATTTCGTTAATGGCTTACTTTTATTGTTCTTAGCATGTTCTTTCAATAGTTTTAGCTTAAGAAAGTCTTTTAAAGCGATCTTGTAAAGCTGAAGCTTTGGCTTTAATCGTTATAATTATAGGATCATATTCATCATCTATGGTTGTAAGAGTATGTAGAGTTTTTTATATTTTTGATTTATTGACATTATCCCAATCAAGTGGAGATTATTCTAACTATTTCAATATACAAATAGTTTCTGTAGGAAACTTTTTCCAATCTAAAAGTTTCTTTCTCAAATCATACAATTCTTAATAATCCATAAATAATTCAATTTACTATATAATATTATTCTTTTTAATTTATAAAAATCCTCAAACTATGGATGATATTTTAATAAAATAATAAGAGAACTACTATTAAAAATAAATTAGATAAAATTCAATATAGTAACAAGAAATGAATTTCAAAATATAAATAATTAATAATTCATCTATTTTTTCCTTTGATAGTGTTCCAAATAGAACCTAAATTGTCTTTGATATCACCAAAATTTTTAGAAATATTTTAAAATCCATTCATAACCTATTGTCCTTTTTATTTAAAATCTTGCTAAACATATTTAATATAAATACAATCTTTTCTTTCATTGATTCTTCAAACTCTCTTTATCGAACAAATGCTTCATAGGCTTCTTTTTCCTATTGTGAATAAAAGGTTTTTCTTTTATTTTCATTATAATATCTTTGGGCAAACTCCTTATATTATTGATCTCTTGCTCTTGCATACATTTCTTCCTATCTGATTCTTTCTTCATACTCTTACTGAGCCCGCATTCTCTCATATTATCTATACTATTATTATTAATTAAGGTGTTCTTATGCTCTTCTTATGGCTTCTTCAAATTGATTTCTAGCATTTGAATTTTAACTAATATATAAAACCAATAAGTTTACTAATAATTCTAACTTTATCTATTCTAAGATGTAGATTAATATTTTCTAGAGTCTTAATACTATTGTTATTAATAGGTTGAACTATAATTATTTTAAGATTATGGTGTTCTAGCAGCATCATATTCTTTTTTTGTGTTTTCATCAGATAAGACCTGAGAATAAAGTGTTCATTACTTCATAAGCTTCATTAACTTCTTTAAATTTATCTTCCTTTCCTTGATTAACATCTGGGTGAAATTTCTTAGCTAATGCATAGTATGCTTTTTTAATTGTTGGTTGATCATTAGTTTTAGATATATTAAGAATAGCATAATAATCTTTGAGTTAGTTGAATTTAGCAATTCTATATAAGGATTTATAGGATAACATATGAAAAATAAAATAAAATTAAAATTGTCATTATTATTAATTATAAACACTTCTAACAATAAGTTCATTATACATCTCTGGTAGTAAATCCTTATTCTTATAGACATAATCATAGAGTAAATCTTTTTCATAAAGTTAACATTCAGCTTTGGTGACATGATTATATAAAAATGTTTTATCTCCTTCTCTTCTGAATTTCATAATAAAATATAACTAAACAGTAGCCTTACCAGTTTCATTAGCATTTAAACCATAATAATGTCCAGTTATTTCTTCTCCAATTTAAAATCCAATCTATCCATAATGATTTTTTAAATCGATTTCAGTCGAGACAACTCCAAATTATGGAAATTTATTTATAGATGCCAAGAAATCTGCCATATTACAAAGATCATCCTTTTTTTTAAGACATTTCTTTTTTTATTCAAATGCTGATAATCTAATAAGTCTTTTAGATTAGGGACGACAAGCAATATCAGTTGATCTTTAAGATTCCATTTTAATAGATGATTTTTCTAATTTCTTAACCCTTTTATTTTATTTGTTAAGTTAATTACCAGGTTCTCCTTTTTAAGGATAAATATATTCTTATTATTTAATTTCATTCAATACTTCATCTCTTCTCTACATATAATCTAATATACATAAGGCTCCTAAATTTTCAAATATATTATCCTTCATTTTATCATTAATATAGGATGAAACAAGTTATTTCTCATCTTCATTTAAAGTCTAAATAAACTTTCTAATTTAATTAAAATAAGCAGGTGACTTGATCTATTCAACTGATTTTTCTTTTCTTACATTTCTTAATCTTGTCTATACTTTTTATTATTATTCTTCTTTATGAGATTATGACTTTTCACTTAAAATTTCTTCATTTTGTTTTTCTTAATCTAGAAGTTATTGACTTTCTTAAGATTTCTATTAGACATGATTTATTTCATCAGTTTCAACTTATTCCTATTTTACAAATTAAGATTTCTTTGGTTAAGTTTAATTAGATTTATCTCCTGAAGTTGGAGATTTCTTTCTTGATTATGAAGATTTGGCCTTAAATTTAGATTTCTTACTCCTTTTACCAAAATCAGAGTCTTTAGAATCAGAATGTGACTCATGATCTTCTTTTCTTTAAATGTATTTTCTACCAGATCGAGTGACCTTTTTTGTAGCATCTTTAGATGTAGATATTGATTTAATATTATCTTAATTAATTGTATCCTTGAGAGTTGTATTCAATTTATCTGTATTAGCTTAATCTATTTGTTCATCTTCTTCTTGAGGGTCTGGTATGACTTTAATTTTTTCAAGTGTATTTTATTTTTAATGCACTCTATATCCTTCTACCTAACCTTCATATATGAACTAATAAAAGAGAAAGTAATCTGCATGTCTTTAATATCTACGAACTGAAGATATGTTATGAACTCCTAGATTCTCAATAGGCTCCCAAGTTCTTTGAGATTTAGGATAATTTTTCCACTTGACACAGTATTGCATTTTGTTATCCAGTATTTAAGAGCCGAATATATATTGTATCTCATATAACTCAGAATTGTCCATTAATATAAATAATGAATAGCTTAAGTAATATTTGAAAGGATTGTCAAATAATGGCTTGTTTTTTTTTGATTATTTTTATGTGTTAACAGCTCATTTAAACCATATCAAATTATTAATAGAACTCTTGATAACTTTCTATCTAGTCATTATTAATCATTGCTATCGAAAAGACAAACACTTTAACTTTTAGGATAGAATTTTATTTTACCAAATCAAACAATGATTATTTTATTATTAATCTTAATACCTACACTATTATCAGATAATATTTAACTAGCAAGAGTATAGTATTGTGGTTGTGGAGTTGCTCTTATTTAATCCTTATGCATCTAATTAGATGATTGTAGATGGCAAAATTTCAAATGTGTTAACATCACAGGTGTCCCATAAACTATTGTTGTCACACCCAACAATACAAATAATAATGACAATTCTACTGATGGTAATTCCACAACTGGCAATAAAACAAACTCTACATAAGAAGAATATGATTTTACTGATCCTGATTTTGATTATGATTCTGTAGTTGTAACACATAAACAATATGATATACCTGAAATCATTGAAGAGGAAGTTAATACAGATGAAGGAGGAAATACTGATGAAGGAGGAAATACAGATGAAGGTATAATATCAATCTTTATAATTTATAATAGGAACTGATCCAGGAACAGATACTGGAACTGGAACAGGCGCAGGTTCTGATACAGGCACAGGAACAGATACAGGCACAGGAACAGATACAGGAACAGATACAGGCACAGGAACAGGAACAGATTCTGGTACAGGAACTGACACAGGAACTGACACAGGAACAGATACTGGAACTGATACAGGAACAGATACTGGCACTGATACTGGAACTGATACTGGAACTGATACAGGAACTGATACAGGAACTGATACAGGAACTGATACAGGAACTGATACAGGAACTGATACAGGAACAGATACAGGAACAGATACAGGTACAGATACAGGTACAGATACNATAAAAGAGAAAGTAATCTGCATGTCTTTAATATCTACGAACTGAAGATATGTTATGAACTCCTAGATTCTCAATAGGCTCCCAAGTTCTTTGAGATTTAGGATAATTTTTCCACTTGACACAGTATTGCATTTTGTTATCCAGTATTTAAGAGCCGAATATATATTGTATCTCATATAACTCAGAATTGTCCATTAATATAAATAATGAATAGCTTAAGTAATATTTGAAAGGATTGTCAAATAATGGCTTGTTTTTTTTTGATTATTTTTATGTGTTAACAGCTCATTTAAACCATATCAAATTATTAATAGAACTCTTGATAACTTTCTATCTAGTCATTATTAATCATTGCTATCGAAAAGACAAACACTTTAACTTTTAGGATAGAATTTTATTTTACCAAATCAAACAATGATTATTTTATTATTAATCTTAATACCTACACTATTATCAGATAATATTTAACTAGCAAGAGTATAGTATTGTGGTTGTGGAGTTGCTCTTATTTAATCCTTATGCATCTAATTAGATGATTGTAGATGGCAAAATTTCAAATGTGTTAACATCACAGGTGTCCCATAAACTATTGTTGTCACACCCAACAATACAAATAATAATGACAATTCTACTGATGGTAATTCCACAACTGGCAATAAAACAAACTCTACATAAGAAGAATATGATTTTACTGATCCTGATTTTGATTATGATTCTGTAGTTGTAACACATAAACAATATGATATACCTGAAATCATTGAAGAGGAAGTTAATACAGATGAAGGAGGAAATACTGATGAAGGAGGAAATACAGATGAAGGTATAATATCAATCTTTATAATTTATAATAGGAACTGATCCAGGAACAGATACTGGAACTGGAACAGGCGCAGGTTCTGATACAGGCACAGGAACAGATACAGGCACAGGAACAGATACAGGAACAGATACAGGCACAGGAACAGGAACAGATTCTGGTACAGGAACTGACACAGGAACTGACACAGGAACAGATACTGGAACTGATACAGGAACAGATACTGGCACTGATACTGGAACTGATACTGGAACTGATACAGGAACTGATACAGGAACTGATACAGGAACTGATACAGGAACTGATACAGGAACTGATACAGGAACAGATACAGGAACAGATACAGGTACAGATACAGGTACAGATACAGGTACAGATACTGGAAATAATAACACAAATACTAATACAACATAAACATTTACTTAATCTACATCCATCACATATACGAAGACATATATTAATAAAACATTTAATGATAAAGTAACATGTAGTTAATAAAGTGACGAAGCTGGATGTAATAGTAAAAGATGGCCTGATTAAATATTTTGTATATGGAAAAACAGTACATGTATTTCAGGATCTTGCAATGATTTAGATTTAATAGAATGTGAAAAAACATTCTTTTGTGTTAATTTTGGTTATTGTTAATCTTGCGTAAGAATATAATAATATTTTAGAAAGCAATAGAGGAATATGCATAAACACTTTTGGTCTAGATATTAATATTAGCATTTCTAATATCCTGAATATTTATCATTTAATGATATCAAATTAATCATATTCTAATTCATCTATAATTTTATCGTTTTTAAATTCTGTCTTCTTTATGATGCTTTTAGGACTTCCTGTATGTTTCAACCATTCCTTCATCTCATTAGTTCTTCTCCCTTATGCTATTCCTATGACTGTGCCTTTTTTTGTGTTTTGCACCCAACCAACCAAATCTAACTCTTAAGCTTTGAGTTAAGTATATTTTCTGAAATAGACTCCTTAGACTTTACCAAAAACTTCAAATTCAAAGGAATACAATTGATTTGCACATTCTTATTGCTCTGATGAACATGCTAAAACAAATGCTGAGCTTAATAATATATATATTATTTAAATCATTATTCAATCTAATCTCTAAATCGCCAAGTTGCTGCAGTACCAGCACTAAAGCCTCTTAATGTTTTAGCTTTGAATAAGGCAAATCCTACTCCGTAACCAATAACTGCAAATAATGCCCCTTAAATAAATCCTTTTGTTATCTTTTAATCTTTTTCAATAAATTCCTTAGTTGTTTTGAATGGTGACCATAAAGCGCTGCCCTCTTTAGACATTTTGATTATATAAATAATAAATATTATCTTAATAATTATATAATATACAATCATCCTACCTTAAAATAGATTTTGTCATTAATGTGCAACTAGATAGGAACAGAATTCTATATAAGAAATGATTGATTTTAATCTGTTGACCACTAAGGAGAGAAATGAAAACCACTTTTCTGGATGTTTTCTAAAAATTAATACACAAAAATACCCCAAGATGCTTCTCTATGCGTATAGTCTCTCAGAATGTAATCCCATTCAAATTAATGATATATTCGAGTATCAAGTATTCTTATTAGAACATCATCAACTCTTAGATAATTTCTAATTAAACCAAAAAAGCAATCTGCCATAACTCTGAATCTGAATTCACAAGTAACTAATCCATTATCTCCTAATTCATCCTCATATAAGGTAATGAAGGATGCCCATTTGATGGGATTTTCCTTTCTTATTTTACATATATACTTAAGTCAAATTGTTCAATGGTATTTCTTCTTCTGTATATTCAGAATAAAATAATAAAGATTTATTTTAAAAGATATGAGTAAGATAATCTAATTCAGTTTTGATTACATTTTCATTTAATTGATTTTCAAAAATAGATTTACCTTTAATTCCTTCAATAGTTTTGAATCTTTGGAATTGATATTTAATTTGATCTCCATCTACAATAGTACCTTTATAGGGAGAGCAATAGAAAGTATCAGAGATTTTATTTAAAATTTTAATATCTTCATTTTATTTTTATTTCCAAATATTTGAATGTTTAAGTTGTGCTTATTCAGGTACAACAGATATGTAATTGATTTTATTAGTTCTAAATTAATTTTTGATGTCTAAATAATTTTGTTATCTTTATTAATAGTTGCATAGATAGAGTGAATCTTTAGGATTAACAAAGAAACCAAAATTGAATTATTTATTATAGATTAAAGCACAATTATTCCCATTAGTAATATCTGGTATACCTTGGAGAGTCAATGCATCTTAAAGCATATCTAGATCAGATGTATTATACATTCCTGCTTTTGTGAATATGAAATTCCATCCATTTTATTCATATTCTTCTACTTTTACATCTGTATAGGTTTTATTAGAAATAATATCCATATTTTTAAATAAATATAGGAGAATTAGTTATAATAAAAAAAGTAATAATTATAATAAGTTAAATATTTCTCCAATATAAAAAATATGAATATAAGTTATTTAATCATCATTTTTAAGTTAGTTCTTTTACTTTCTATTTAACATATGAATCAATCTTGTAATCTAATTTTTCAATAATAGATAAAACATATCCTTTAGTCTTAAATACTTAAACATCTAATTAATCAATTTCTTTTTGCTTATTTTTAAAATCATTCAATTTTATTTTCATTAATCCATTATTATTAATTTAAACATTAACTAATTAATTAGACAAATTTCTTATATCAATTATTTGACAAAAAATATTTCTCTATTTTTTAATAATAGTTTCTTGTTGCTTATCATATTTCCCTTTTATTTATTAAATGATGGATTGTAATGGACTAGTCTCTTTTAATTAATATAGAATTTACCTAATTGATGCTCATTAATTTCAGGATTGGTCAATAAACTATTTTAAATTTCAACTCTATTCAATATTTCCATTATTGGATCAACTTCTTCTTATTCTTTCTAAATAGGTTGATCTCTAACAATAACAATAGATTCATTAGAACCTTATTATAATTTATCAATATCCTGATTCATTTCTTATGTATTTGTTTCTGTCTCATAAAGTATTTGTTCATTATCAAAATTAGCATTAATACTAGCTAATAAAGCTTGAACATCAATATCATTATTTTCTTCTTCTTAACTCATATAATATGTTAGATTATAAAAATATCATTTTTGTTTTGCATCACTATTTGTATTGCTTCCATTTTTTTATTATGTACTTCCAAAAATTGACATTAATCCACCTAAAAGACCATTATTTTTTGGGCTCTATACTTGAGAATGTTACTAATTTATTTAATATTATTAAGCTTTTAATAGAAAGTTTCTTTATAAATGTATATATATATACTTAATTGATTTACAAATCTTCTTTAAATCCTAATTTGGCATAATAATGAATATTTCTTCTTTGCTTCTTGATTTAACAGACAAATAGAATGAAGTTTCATCCTTAATTTTCAAATCTGTAATATCACTTGCCTTATATTAGAATTTCTAAGCTGCTGTTTCTAATTCAAATATGTAATCATTAAATAGATTTTATCTTAAGATAAATAGACAATCAATATCCAAAAATTAATTATGCAAAATAAGTTTATATTACATAAATTTGCCTCTTGTTTCTTCAAGTTCTCCTTATAATTAAGCAATTTTAAATCTAGTATCATCCAATCCTTTATGTAATACTCTTAATTCTTCATCTTTCTATTACATTTCCTTATCTATAATCTTAAATTTCAATTATATTTCCATCTTCTCTGCCTGTAAATCTTTAATTTTATTATATAAATCTCTCTCTATATCTTCAATATTCTTTTTTAGTTGATTATTTAATGTTGTCTTTTCTTCCATATCTTTTACTAATTTCTAATTAGATATCTCTTTATTCTTTAAATCTCTTTCCATTTCCTTATAAGCAGTTTATAAAATAGAAAATCTAGCTTCATAATTTGTAATGGTTTAGTCTAATTCTCTTGCAATATGTAAAATCTTTACTGTTTGAGTTTAGTTTTTAATTTAGATAAATCATTACTATTATTTATAGGTTCTATTAAAAGAGAAGATTGCGTTGAACTAGAATTCTAAATTGAAATAGTTAATGATTACCATAGTTAATTAATTCTATAAATCTCTCATCATAGTATTATGTTTTTCTTTCTAAATTATATATTAAGTCATACTATATCTTCCCTCTCTTTTATTAGTTAATTATTTTTTTGAGTTAATTCTTCAATCTACTTAATTAATTGAGATTTCTCTTCCCTTAAATCTATTACTGCTTTTCTGAGAGTATTTATCTTTTGTTTGTCAGTGATTTTATTAACACTACCATTATCAGATGCACTATCATTCTAAATTTTAGGTGGTTTTAAATTCATCATTTTTATAAAAATAATTTCTTTTTTTATCTCATTATATTTAATATAAATGAACATCAATATTAAATTATATTATTGATAATAATCACTAAAATTCATAACTAATAAAACATATTTAATTATATAAAAAAATAATTTATACTTAAATATTTTATAGAGAATAAATAATAAGAAATTAAACTAACTAATTTTATATTCAATTAAACCTTATTAATTGTTTGTATGTATTTAATGATATTAGACTATTATAAGTTTTCAGATATTTACCAAATATTTCAAATTCTTAATTGATGAAGATCATGAAATTAATAAGTAATGGAGATTGTGTAATCAATTATTATAGATAATATATCCATATTTTGAATACATATTTGAATGTTTGATAATTAAACATTATCTGTATATATTTTTAATACAAAAAAAACCAGTTATTACATTACTATTTATAATAAATTATTTATATTTATGAATTATTATACTACATTAGATGGAGGATCAAAAGTTTAAGATTTAATCGAATAGATTAGAAAAATGGATAACACTATTTCTGAAGCTGTTAATTAAAGAAACATTAAATTATAATCTAATGAATCTGTATAAATGGTATTTTGAAATTACATTTTCTTAGGTGGATAGACAACTGGCAACATAAATTGATGCCTTTAATGATTCAATAAAATAAGCAAGAATTTTATTAAATAAATCATCAAATCTGTATTATATATAGATTTATTAGTTCTCAACATGATATCTAGAAATCAAAGATTTTATTAGATGAATTATAAAATAAATCAGATAAGTTTAAAAAAGCAATAGAAGTCAAATAAGTTTTCAAATTAGTACTTATTCATACATTTTTCATATTAATTATAGGATAATCCAGAAAGAAAAATAGATTTTACTTAAAAATCTAAAGTTGAAATGGTTTAGATGCAAAATTAACTAGTTTCAAAACAAAATGAAATAATAGACAATATGATTGATACAACAGGAAGAATGTAAGTTAATGCGAAACATGTTAATTTGGCATTAGAGGAGGATAAAATTATTTTAAGAAGATTGAATGATAATGTAATAGTAATTGTTACTTTAGGTTGAATAAGCCACTCATGAAATCAAAGTTACTGATTCTAATCTTAAAAGTTTATTATCATACACTAATGATTGTTGTTTATGGACAACCATAATAATAGAATTTATGATTTTTGTTTTTCTTGTTATATATTGATAATGATGATGGTTTATCATAAATTTTATAATGAATCAAATATAAAGCTATTATAAAATTTCAACTATCCAAAAGTTGCTATTAAAATATTTTTATCAATCAAATTCTTTAAATCTCCAAATTGATAAGTTCTATAAATTTATACTCATATTTACACATCATCTAATCTAATTTCTTAATTCTCACATTTAATTTTACACATCTAATTTCGAATAACTTTCATTAATTGTAATTCATTTTCATTAAGTTCTGAAATAAATTCTCTTTATTTTTATATAACAAAATCTGTAAATAATATAATAATTATTATTATACCTTCATATCTTTTATTACTTTATAATGATTATTCATACCAATCATATCTGAAATTATTTTATTTTCCATGTTAATATTACTTAATTTCCATTACATTTATATTATAATCATCTAACATTAAATTAAGTTTCTTTAAATTTTTAGCACTTGCAATAATTGTAGTTTAATTAGATTAATGCAAATTACTTAATATTTAACAAATATAACAATATTTTTTAGTTAATGATAAATCTAAATTATCAATGGCAATTAATGTTGGTTTTAATTTTGTGAATAAAATTAATTCATTCAAATTAGGTGCTTTAAATAATTATAAGGCCTATTCTTATGTTTACACTTCAGATTGAATATCTATATATATGGCTTATTTCTTTTCTTTTAATGATTTATTGATCATAAATTTAAAGAAAGTTGAAATTCCCTCTGAATGCATTCCATAATATAAATGATATGAATGATTTTATAAATTGTTTTTCTATATCAATTCATCTAATTTATATTCAATTGGATATTGTTTTTAAAATGCAATCTACAATTACTCTGCAAAATCATTAAATTTGTAGATTGACTCATCATAAATTATCATTCCTACTAATACTACCAAAAATATATCTATTAAAAAGAACTTTTTGCCAGGATTAAGCTTTGTTAGTTGAATGATAAAACATAATAAGAGTATTATTCCTATTGCAATTATTATATACATTTATTAATATATTTTCTAATAATTAATTAACAAAATCAAATATTTGAGTATTCAAGTAATATAACAATAATGAATAGAGGGATTTATTTAATTGTGAATAAATTTAAATATATTTAAATCTTTTTATTATGGGCAAGAATTATAGAAATAGATCAAAGACTTCAGATACACCAAGAAAGCCTTTTGAAAAGGAACGTCTTGACAATGAGTAATTTTAATAATCATTTAATTTTAGATTGCAAATTATTGGTAAATATGGATTAAAGAACAAAAGAGAAGTGTGGAGAGTCTAACTTACATTAGCTAGAATTAGAAAGGCTGCAAGAGAATTGTTGACTCTTGATCCAAAAGATCCAAGAAGATTATTTGAAGGAGAAGCATTAATCAGAAGAATGGTTAGATTTGGTTTGTTATCTGAATAAGAGAGAAAGTTGGATTATGTACTTGGTTTAACAACATAAAAAATGATGGAAAGAAGACTTTAAACCTTTGTATTCAAAAGTAATCAAGCATCATCAATTCATCATGCTAGAACATTAATTAGATAGCGACACTTTAGGTATTTAATATAATTTATTTATTATTAGAGTAGGAAAGAGATTAGTCAATTCTCCATCCTTTTTAGTAAGAGTAGAATCAGAAAAATTGGTTGATTTTGCTGTCACATCACCATTTGGTTAAGGTAGAGAAGGAAGAAGAAAGAGAAAGAATGCTAAGAGAGTAAAGCCAAACAAAGAAGAATGAAAATAATATTTTAGCATAAAGTACAATATTATAAATCTACTCAGTTTGCATTCTAATATTAAAATCATCATTTTTTTATTATTTTTCATATGATTATAATTCTAAATACTTAATTAATTTTTCTATCTTTACAATTAATTATATATTTTTAAGGTTTAATCCATTATATATATTTAAATGATAAATTTCTTTTAATATAATTCATTTTCTTAAAGGAATTTTTTTATAATTATCGTTAAATGTATTTGTAAACTCTTTCTTTTTTACTAGTCTTTCTTAATTTGCTTCTTATAAATCTGGAACTACATGCTGTACTTTATCTGTCACTTCTACTTTTTTTTATTGTGATTAAAATTGAGTTTTATTGGGTTCATATTTTGAATATATTTATACTTAAGGTTTGACTTGCTGATTATGTGATAAATCATAAGTTGATGTTAATTACCTTGTTTCAAACTATTTATTTAATTCATTTGTTTACATAAGATTATTAACCATGACCAATTAATAAATGATTCTGTAACCCACCATGACTGAAAGTTGTTTATTTATAATATTCTTTCTCTGCTTCAGTTTCTTATTATCTAGGCATATTAAGTAATGTGTTTTATAAACCAAAAGTATCTTTCATTGTACTATTTGGTATTTAATGTGTATTCTAATATTATGTTTAATTTAGATATGTACTTATTTCACATCCATTCCAAAAGTTTCCTCATTATAATTACCAATCTTAACTCCATATCGATATTTATTGACATTGTCTTATATCTTAGTGTAATCTAGGTTCATTTATAATATTAATATTTAATAAAAATATTTGATTAATTCATTAGCATTCATTTAAAATTACAAGATATACATATATTGATTATCACATTTTAGATATACTATATATTAATTAATCAAAATTACAAATTATTATTCAATTTAAAAATGATATACAAAAACATAATGAAAAGAAAATGAAGACATTTAATATAATTAATATAATAAATTGATAGAATATTTTAAAATAACAAAGGATTCAGATTAATTATTAAGTTAAATTGATATTAAAATATTAAAGAATATTGTGTTTATTTATATCCCGATTAACAAGTTTTAATTTCTGAATTAAATGGAACCTCCAAAATATGTTTAAAAAGTAGAAGAAAATTAGGAAGCAATGAATATAGGTATTGATCATCATAAAATAAGTGCTAGGCATTAAAATCAAATAACTTGATTAAGATGAACTAGCCAATACTATTTTATATAAATGTATATGAAAATCCATTCAATCATATTAGAATTTTCATTTGTTTCTAATCATCTAATTAAAGTAATCACAAGAGATGAATAAAGTTATCGTTTCAAAATACACTTGGGATTATGTAAAATGATGGAGTTCAATGAATTAGAATTAGTATATTGGCATTTATTGAATCTACAATTTGACTATGGCAAAAAATTATAACCCAATTATTTACAAGAGATTAAGTAACTTTATTAAATTGAATTAGAATTTGTGCTTTTCATTATTTTAAAGATTTTCTTAAAATATAGGCAGAATTCATTCCAGATATAGCATTATATAAAAGAGAGTTATTGTTTTTAACATTATCAGCATTCTACACTATTAAATTAATGAGAAACATTTAAAAATTTGAGAAAATAGGAGAGTTTATTAAAGAGGATAAATTTTGTGAACTATTTAAAAGAATAGAGCCAGCCTTTATAAATGTATCTCAATTATTGACTCTACAAGTAGTGAACTAAAAATACATTGAATTAACAAAATATGAGTTGTAATTAGATAAATAAGAAATTAATTACAATTTTATTGTTGAATAAATTCTTGAAATGGCACCTGCTTATTAAAAAGATGAAGATTTACCAATTTCTAAAAAAGTAAAAAGATAAAAAAAGTTAATGTCTAAGAAGATCTAGATTAATAAAAAACAAGAGCAAGAATCTTAATAAAAAATAGAAGCCTAATAATCATAACAATTTTAAACATCTTAATATCAAAATTAATAATTATCATAAAATGAATAATAATATATAAATTAACCTATGGGTTCTATTTAATTTTCAAGATAATTCAATTAAAATTTATAATCCTAAGGGCATCAACAAATTTAATAAGATAATTTTTTTTAAAATGAACGATGTTCTTTTTAATTTTAAGATAGACAAAACTCTTTTGGAATGCAATTGAGATCTAATAGATATTTCAATAGTCAAGACAGTCTTGGTTAAATATATTCAAATTAATTCAATTCGACCCCACCAAAAGAGACTTATAATTAAAGAAATTAAATATCATCTTTATGGACAAGTAAGAATGGAAAATGAATTATAAATATCTATATATTATTAAGAAATATAAATTAAATATGTTGTTTAATTGTTAAATATTTGAAAAAAATTCATATTTTAATTCATTTTTAATAGAAAGATAATTAAAATGATTTAGATTTTCCTGTTATTTATTTGTTCATTTGGATGCAAATTATTAGTATATATTAATAAATTATATAATGTATTAATAAAATTGGTAAGGGGACAGATATTAAGATGAAATTTTTCTTGATGATGTAGAGGTTTATTAAAAAGATGAAGAACCATCAATATTTGATATTGTTTATAGAGAAGTGGGGTGTATTCTACTCAAATATACCAACCTAAACCTTATAACTTGTCCAAATACTCTTCATTATATTACATTATAGTTCAATAATGATGAACCCTTCTCATTTCTCTTTCAACCAAACTATATCTTAGTAGAACAATTAGCAGTTAATCCAGCTTTAAAAGATATAGCTGAATAATTGTAAATTGAAGATTTGATTAATCATAATTAGAATGATCCTGAGTATTTTTAAGATTATTATTAACACTTAATTGAGGAAATATTTAAATCTCATTTGAATTAAGCTTAAGAGATATTTTTACGCTAAATAGAATTACTTTAAGAATAGAGAATAAAACCTTAAGTTGATTAAGAGCTTTAATCCATATTTTAAGATAAATAGTTTTAATTTCCATTGAAATTAGATTTTCAAAATTCAGAATTACCTGAAAATTAAATAAAATATAAACTATTTGAATCACTTTAATTATTGTAATCTAATTATTTGAATACTCAATCTAAGGGAAATAAATCTATTAAATTAGAATCTTCAGAGACTGTATAACAATTATCAGGTCAAAAAACTCAATAAGAGAATGTTAATATAACACCATTTGTTTAACCATTAGTTATAAGTTCTTTGAATAAAGAGAAGATTAAAATGATAATAAATTGGTTAATTTAAGAGAAGATTGCTATTCCTGAAATTATATTATGTGCTGAATTAAAGAATAGAGGAAATGGAATGAATTTAACTTTTAATCCTAATTAATAAATGTTAAATAAATGTGCATTTTATTATGATTTATTTTGTGAGGCTTAACAAAATTAATCAGAGACTAAAAATATCAAGGAAGAAAATACAGAAGAAGTAAAGACTTGTTAAGAATTTAATATAGGAAAATAAAAGACTAAAATTACTGAATATCATCTATTAATTAGAATGTTAGATTTAGTAGTTCAATAATAAGAATCTTTAAAAGAAAAAATTATTTAATTAGTTAAATATTCTTAATTAAAAAATTAAATTAAAAGATTATCAAGAGTTTAAGAATCTGATGCTCATTATAAGATTGTTAAACAATTTATATAAAAATTAGAAACAATTCTTTGTATTTATGATGAATATGAAAATGATAAATAGAATCAATTTAAAAATCAAGTAGATAAGAAAAGTCAAATAAATTCAGATAATTTAAGTGAAAATGAAGATGAAAACAAACCTATAAAATGTTAAAAAAAATATTATAGATTACTTAAATTAGTTGTAAAATTAATATTAATTGAATCTTTAGAAAAAGAAATACCAATTCCAGAAATATTGACATGTTTATGGTTTAAAAAACATAAGGAAAAAATAGTTGAAGGTTAAATAATCAATTAAAATTCTGTTTAAATATTACCTTCTAAATAAAGATTGATTCCATCTCTATAATTAGAAAATCGATTAAAACTCAAACAAGAATAAGTTTAATTATAAACTCTTTTGGATTTACCTGATACTGCTACAAAAGAATTAGATGACTTTGAAAATTTTATATCATAATTCACTTATGATATTAAATATGGAAGAGATGTAATTTTAATAGAAAAAATACTTATTGTAGTTAACAATAAGAAGGATAGTATTTAAGATTAATTAATTTAAGTGATGAATGATTATTTGAAAATAGAAAAAGCGAAAGATTAATTGAGAGAGAAATTAATATTATTACCTAAATTAAGAACTAATAAGACATAAATTAATGATGAACCTATATTAGAAAATATTATAAAAATAATAGATAATTTATAATTATACATTAGTTCAATTTAAAAAAGTAAACCTTACATAATTACAAAATAAATAAATAATCGTACTAAAAAGTAATTATAATAATCTTCATAAAATTAATAAATTTAATAGTTTTAAAAATTAGATAAAGAAGAATTAAAAGTATTTATATTATCTGGATTAATTACTTTAATTGATAATGAAGTGTCTTTGCCAGAATTAATTTCATATCTTGGAATAAAAAATAAAACTCAAAAGTTCAGTTTATAAATTAATAAGAATTATAAATTATAAGAATATATAACTATATAAATGTAATTGAATTAAGTAGAAATAACTGATTAAATAGAGAGTAAATTACTTATTAAGAAAATAAAGATTTAAGAAGGAGAAAATATACCAATTATTCATAATAAAGAATAAGTTTCAGAACCATAATTGATAATAAGAGCATTGAGATTACTTTCAAATTGTGACATGACTAAATAATTATCAGATATTTGGTAGAAACCTTCTGTAATTAGTTTAAAAAATTAAGTTTATAAAAATTGTTTAAAAAAAAATAAAAATGATACAACAATAGGATAAATAAAAAATTTATTTTATAAAATTGATAATAAATATGAAATATTTAATAATAATTAATAATGATAATTTCAAAATATGAATGGAATAATCTTGAATTTAGCAATCTAACAATATTCTTACCATAATTTACCATATTTCTCTCTGCAACGTTTATCATCTCTTGTTGCCCTATGTGTCAATAGACAAAATAAACTTAAAGGCAATATATAATTATTAAAAGCTTTGAATTCCCCACACATAGCAATAGATACATAAACTAAAATTTCACCTGTATAATTTAAATGTCTCCCTATACCCCACCATCCACTAATTAATAATTTATTCTATAAAGTCTAAGGTTTTTTATTCCATATTATAGCTTTATCTCCTTATCTTCTATATCTATCTTTTTGCCAATTTGAATCTCTATACATATACAATGAAGTCACATGCAAAAGAATGATAAAAATCAGATAAATATAAGAGCTATTCTAAATAAAGTCACCCAAGTACCAACCTCCAATACAATATAGATATGGTAAATAAACAATATCTCCCCAAACCAACATAAATCCAAAGTTTTCAGCTATTATATCCCAAGTCGATAACATAAAATCTTCTCTTATATAATGTGTGATTAGCCACATAAACCAAAATAATTGAAATAGAATCATGTTTATAGATAATAACTAATAAGTATTATATTAGTATTCAGCAAATGATAATAAGAATATTTGTAATCCGATTAATGATGGTTCATAAAAATACATTTTTAAGTCTACATTCAAAATTTTTGGATTTTATTCTGATCCAAACCACCAATCATTCAATAATTAAGGTGTCCATGATTAAATATGAGGCTTATAATGTGGACTCAATTTTCCTTTTATGAATAAAATCAAAGAAAATACAAATGCCAAAATATTTGAAGCTATAAAAAAAGACCAAAAGTGTTCTATCAATGGAATTAATGTAAAATTAAAAAATACTTTACCAAATATCATGATTATAAGTGTTAGTATGTATGTATTTAATCCATTTATTTTATACATCAATACTTTTCCTTTTGGGTCAGGAAAACCTTTAAATTCTTTACCTGGCAATAACTTTGTAGCTGCAAACATATAAATGAAATATCCTATTTGCCATTTGAGTGCAAAACATATAGAATTCCAATTGGTTTCTTACATTATCCCAAATGTACTATTATCTTTCATTAATATGATATTATTGAGAATATTATTAAAAACTCAAATATTTAAAAAATAGATTGTCATAATTAATTATTATTAGAAAAAGAGGACCTTTTATAATACTGTTAAGTAGAGTTGCATTTAATAGAGAGAAACAGGAAAGCATATATTAGTGATTGTTAGATCAAGAAATAAATATTATATATTATATAAAATTTAAAATGGCTGAAGCTACACCAGAAATAACTCTTTAAGTGTATGTAAAAGCATTAGAAAATTTACAAAATGCTTATGAAATCCTTCATACTCCTTATCCCGATTTTATGGTTGAGAGTACTAAAATGATGGTGTCTCCTGAATATCCAGTGGAAATAAGATTGAAGATTGGAATACTATTGAAGGGTGTTTTGATTGAATAATGGGAATCAATATAGCCATCACGAAAAGTGATACGCGAACTCTTATTAAACGGTCTGGTTATGAATGTTTCAAATATGCCTATTATTGAGTTAATTGTAATTTAATTAAAATATATATGTTAGTCATCCATTATAGTGTAAATAATATGTCTTGATCCAAGTCATATTTGGCCAAATCCATTAATTGAATTGTTAAATTGGATGGATGACTTTAATGCAATAGAATCAAGTTTAGAACTATTTCTACAATTATTTGGAAGACTGAGTGAAACTAATGGTGAATAACAAAGCTTATGTAAAGAGATTGTTCCCTCAGTCCTTGAGAAAGGCTTCAGTATATTTGCTTAACCAGAATTGAATGAGAAGCTAAGAGAGAAAATATTATTATTAGTTTATTTGGTGTTTAGATCAATCTCCTTTGCAGATGGAACTGATAATTCTTTGGTTAACAAATGTCTAGATTCAACATTTTAAATATGGATGGTAAGATCTTATATGCATTATTTAGTCTTTATTTTTATCTGCATTATAAACATCTCCAAAATCACATATATTCATCAAGAAATTAGTGTTAAAGATATTGATTGTTGTCTTTAGAGACTTTGGAGTATATAGTAGAAAATCATTGTCATTATCATTAATTCCAGTCTGGAAATTTTTCAATTCTATTACCTAGTTATATGTTGGTCATATTGTATACTAAATTGATATTGAACATATTGATAGTTTATTTTCAGAAGAATCTAAAGAATTACCTTAAACTAATTACAGAATTATAAATCTTCAAAATGGTATTTCTATATTATATAATTTAGATATTGAATATAAATATTTAAATGAAGATGATGATTATGATAATCACATTGAAGGTCTTTGTGCCTATTCAATTGAATTAATTACTATTTTAGTTACTAAACCTGCTTTATATAATCTAATTAAATTTGGTACATTCCCATTATTGAATACATTGACAACATTTCTAATTGCAACAAAAGATTAGGAAAGATAATGGGTTAAAGATCCTAGTTACTTCATTCTTAATGATGAAGAAGAATTATTATAGAAAAGTGTTAGAACATTAGCTTTGAGATTGATTAATGATATCATTGAAAAATATGGAGATACATTTGTTTAGTAGATATTGATGGTAGGTGAGAAATTAATATTAAATCGTGATGAAAAAGAATTCATAGAATTAGCTTAATAAATAATATCAAAATTGAATTTCTAAGAATTGAAAGGATAATAATCTAAAGAATTTGATTAGGATAGTGTAATGTAATTCATGAAGACCTCTGCTATTTATGTGAGTAATTCATTCTATTAAAAATCTTTTATTTAAAAAAGAAAAGAAACTGGATATCTATTATTAGGAAGTTTTTCAGAAGATATTATTGTTTTCTAATAAAAACATGAAAGTACTTTTGATATTAAAAAATGTATGTAGAATATATTAATTGAATTGGAAAGATAAAGTATTTAACATAACTTATAATATTATAGATTCAAGTAGTTTATAAGCTAGAGCTATTTGGAGTACAACAAAATACTCTGAATTGATTAGTCATTAATTTAAAGAATTATTAGTACCCTTCTTTGAATCAGTACTAAATTATTTAAAATCTGAATATCCAATTACTTTAAAAATAGTATCAGTAAAAGCATTAGGAAAGTAAAAATAAAAAAAAATATTAGTTATGCTACAAAAATTAATAAATATAATATACAATTTCAATATAAAGCAGAAATAATGGATTTAATATTATAAGTGTTACAAGAAGCTAGTCAAGATTAAATTATTTATGTCTTAGAATCAACTATAAATTTAGTTAGATTTTCAAGCATTTTGGCTACTACTTTAGCTAAGAATGGATCCAAAGTTTTATTATCATTCTTTAGTATCTTTCATACTGAATCAGTTGTTATTAAATAGTTTAATGAACTAATTATGAGAATTTGTTAATGTAAAGATGCTTATCCACATATTTTTGATGTATATTTATAATAATATCATAATAGGTTTTTTGTCCATTTATTATGGATTGTTTTTAAGTGTTTTATGAAGATATGAATAAAATTTAAGATAAAAGTAAAATGAAACCAACAGATATTGGATTAATGAGTGCAATAATGCATCTTACATCCATTTTTATTAAATATTGTTCTGATAATAAGGCTTAAGAAGCATTCATTAATTTATTACCTTCTATGGTTAATCTAATTCTAATTAATGAAGATCCATAATTATAAGTTCATACTAGTTAGTGTTTAAAGAACTTTATTATTATAGAAACTGGACAAATACTTAAAATGTAAGAATATATATAAATTTTAAGGAATCTTGTTTAAGATGTAATGAAGGTAAATCTAAAATTATTGGAAGTACCACAGAATTCTGCTAATGAATCAGCTTCATTATTTGCTGGAAATTTAGTTATGATTACAATAAACAACTTATTAGATGGAAATCCAGATATTAATTTATTAAAATCTGTTGTCTTCAAAATATATAGATCTAGAATGCCATCTACTGTTTAATCTTTAGTTTTAGTATATGCTAGAATGATTATTGAAAAACCAAAAGAATCAATTAATTTCCTAACCTCATGGAGTATAGATAATAGAATGGCTCTTAAAGTATTAATTGATAAATGGTTATTGTAATAACCATTATTTAGAGGAAAAGGCACAAAAAATGCTACATTTACTGCTCTAATGAAACTATTTTTATTAAAAGATAAGACCTTAGAGAATTTATTAGTTATAGGTTATAATCCCAGTCATCAAAATATTAATAGTGGTATAATAATTTGATATATTTATTAAGATGTTTATGCTCCTTTCAAGATATTATCTTTATTGATTAGATGTTTAGATAATGAAGTTACACCTCATACTCAAAATAATAATGATATTAAATAAGAAGATGAAAGATTAGAAGTTGAAGATGATGATGATGAAGTGATAAAAAAGGATTAATTTTAAGATTAAGTTGATGTTGAAATTGAAAAGATTAAAGATGATGAAGAATAAGATATAGCAGAAAGATTTGCTGTATTATTATTAAATTTAATATTAAGTCATTGGATCCTAAAGAAAAGAAAGATAAAGGATTAGCAGATCTTGAAACTGGATCAACATTATATATGAGTGAATTCTTAGATTTTAATTAGGAAGTAGGAGAAGAATGTGATGAAACTACTGAAGAAGATTTAACTTATCTTAAAGATCCATGTTTAAATATTAATTTAGTGGTATTTATTATAATAAATTAAATTTAAGGATGCCTTAAAAGAATTTTTCTAAAATTTAGTAAAGAATGATCCAGATTATTTAAAATTCTGTCTTAAAAATTTGCTTAAAGAAGATATCAATCTATTATAGAAATATATCAAGCTTAATTTCTGATTAATTTGAATATTAATAAAAAATTGTTTATATTTACAAACATCATTATTCTTCTGACAAAATTCTCTCTATAAATTATTTAGATTAAGATGATTTTATTTTTTCACTCAAAAGATCAGATTACTTTTCTACTTTATCAATTAAATAAGTGACAAATTTCTTTTTAAATAATCTTTGTTTTTTAAATTTTTCAAATTCTTAATTAGGTTCTCTTTCAAATTAAGGTTTATCCATAGATAAATATTGACCTGCTTTTTCCATTATATTATCAAGAGATCTAAACTTCTCTTTTAAGATATTTTTATCCTTTTTGAAATTATTTTCAATCACATCACATTACTTTAAAAATTTATTAAATTCTATATCTGTTTTTATACTTGTTTAAGTTTTTAATGTTCTACTAACACTAGTCTATGGTCTTGTAGTCCTTGAAACTTTACTTAAATTATCCATGAAATGACTTTTTGGAGATTAATATTATTAGTTTTTCCTTCTAAAATCCTCTTATGTAAAACCATTAACTTAATTTCCATTAGATACAAAAAATTTATGATATTATGAATCTTATGCTTAATTTACTCTTTTCATAGTTGTCATTTTAACTTTACTTTTAAAAAAGTCAGGATCAAATTAATCTATCCTTGTTTCTTTAAAAATCTTGACTAATTCTCTATTTTATTTTAATTCTTCTTCACGCATAATTTCTAATAACTATTCTTATGTAATTCTTTTCTAAACAATATTTCTCCATCTTTCCATTTCATCCCATTAATCTTCTTTATATGTTAATTCTTCTAATATTTAAATATTATATTAAATTTACAATTTTAGATATCTAAAACTGTACAAGCATTAATATTTTGATCTTCACAAAGTTTTTTCATAAAAAAATTAACTTATTCTTAGTCATCTAATTCAATATTCTAATATCCTTTGTGTTTTCCTATGCTTTTACTAGCATCTTTAGAGTTTTTTATAGATGTCTTTACTTCTTTAAGCTAAATTAATTATTATAAATACATTTTGCTTTAAATTTTATCGTTTGTAACTTTAATATAGGTCATCCAATTAAGCTTATTCTATGTTATCATTCATCATCATAGCCAATTTTTGTTATACAGATATAGGTTTTTTCTTCCAATTCTTTGATCTTTTAGGAATCACTTAAAAATTTAATAAGTTCTCTAATTATTCTTTATCAAGAACTCTTTACATAATTTCTACTACTTCAGGTTGTAATTCATAATTTCCTTAATATTCCTTATTACCTTCTTAAGCCTTTAATTTCACTTGCAATTATGTATTAGCTAAAGTTTGTTTTGGTAAAAATTTGACTCCAGTTCTTTCTACAGGAAATTTAAACTTTACTTTTTAGATCTGCATATTTTTTCTAAATATACATAATCATGTTTTTATCTCTATAATCATTGAAATTAGCATCATAATATCGTAAAGGATTTTGTTAGATAGTTTTTGTAACTATAAATCCAGCTATTGCTTCATTACTCATTATTTATTATTTATGACTTTTATATATAATTTAATAAGTTATGGTATTGTATTTGGTGCAATATTCAATCAATTGCCATAAATTTATAAGATATATAAAAGCAAAAGCATTTAAGGCATATCCTTTTCATCTATATATACAGAAGTATCAAAAATACTTAATAGACTCTTATGTTAATTTTTAATGTTGCATATAATATGTATGAAGGAACCAGTTTCTTACTCTATGGAGAAAATGTCATATTGTATATAGAATACATCATTGTTATATTTCAATTTGGATATTACAATTCAATTTAGAGAGATTACATAAGAAAATTGAGTTTTTTAGGAATAATCAGTGTAGTATTTTTATTTTAGATTGTACCTTAAATTATATTCAAACTTAGCATATATATTAACATGATTTTATGTATTAAAGATATCATTATTTTAGTGTTTTTTTCGAAATGGCCATAAATAAAAATGAATTACTAAAGATAATCAACTGGATAACTAGCATTTTTAACACATTTATAGAATTAAGCTGGAGCAATTCCTAGAGCATTATCAATATTTGCAGAATCTAACAATAAATTATTATATGTATGATTATTATTATAATGAATTTAATAGTGTTTAATGATATTAGATAATTCTTTAGTATTAATAATAACATTTCAATTTTTAATTTATTGGAAAGGAAGAGAAATTTAAAAGAAATTGTGAATATTAATCATAAATAATAATATTATTAATTCTGAATTAAAAATAATTAAATAAAGAATTAATTTATGATAAAATTTATTTGATATATTTCATTTTAATGCTTGTAATGTAAATTCTTTATCTCCTTAAACTGCTAAAATAAATTATCCATGTATTTTAGATTGATATGTTGTTGGCATAATATAATAACCATTCTTAGTTGGTTACAAATCAAATTCTTCTTGAATTTCATTAATTGGTAAGAAATTAGGAACTCTCACAATCTATTATGTTGTTATTTTATTCTCTGATTTTTCAATCAAATAGACTCCAATCATACCTCCAACAGTATTCTTTGTTTTTGACTTCCAATTCTTTTCTGCTATACAAAGTGTAATAGTTATATGAATAGGTTCAAAAAACTATAAAGAATATTTAGGATTCATTGTCCATGTTCTTTTACTAGTATCCTTTTCATAAGGATCTTCATACAGATGACAACCTCCATCTGATATATCTTATTCCCATTTTCCTATATGAACTTAATTCTTGGTTTCATCTAATTTTGTTAATTCAACTTCCTAATTAGAATAAACTAGAAAGTTTAAATAATATATTTACTAGTTAATTTATAATTGGCAGAACGATCCTCTTAATCTAATGATGGAATTATAATGAAAGGGCCTTCTGTTGGATTAAAATGGAAATATAAGGCTGCCACATCTTCATTAAAGTATGTAGATTATTTAAATTTTTCATTAGATCCTATTAAAAGTTTTCTTTGAATTCCAATCATTTTAGGAGCTTCTAATTGTTATTAAGTCTATTTTAAAAGCCTTACTAAATCTAATAAGAATAAATAAAATGATATTACTTGTTCCTCCTCCTTTTTATTATTTGATGATATTTAATGAATTTGTAGGTGCCTTATCAAATCTACAAATTGTCATTCCAATCTTAGTACCTTTAGCTCTTTTAACTTATCCTTATCTTCTTAATATAATCTTTAAATGAGTGCTAACAGATAAATTCAAGAAATATTGAGGATTTTTACACCAATTAGGATTTTCTTTACCATTATCATATTTCCTTTTACCACCAGCAGAAGTTTCATTCCAACTACCTTCTTATTGTATTTCTAATGTTTCTGGCATTTCAGCTACATCAATTTTATCAGAACTAAATATTCTTAAGATAAAATTTCTTTTCTCTTCTTTTCTAGTTTCATTTACAATCATATTAGGAACAACCATATAATTACCAAAGGTTTTACCTTCAAAGTTTTTGAGTATTAAATATTAAGTAATTTCTCTTTAAGCTTATATATCTCCTTTTGGATTCATATCAATAACTATATCTTAATTTGGTGGTCTTTCCCAAATTCTACTCAATCTTGCTTTATTAGCTATGACCATTAAATTACAAGCTACATAAGGTTATTATGTTATTTTTTCATCTTCTAACATTAATGATAAATATAATTTAGTCTCTTTATGTACTTTAATTTTATATTAAGGATTATTAAACCATTTTTCATCAGTATCTACTTATACATAATCTGGTAAGCCTTCAGATGGCATTTTTAAAGGACATACTCCTCCTAATGTTTTTGCAAACCAATTTCCTTAGATTGCATATTATTACCAACTTTCTGGGAATACTTTACAAATATAAAATTTATTAAAATGTTAATGCCAATCTTAATATGACATCCACCATGTTCCATCACTTTTTTTTGATTTAAATACTAATTTTAATTCTTCTCTTAAATTTCTATGTTTATCCCATTCTTCAGAATCATCAGAAAATGCTCCATTCCATCCACCTTCTGGTCCCCAAACATTTCTTATTCTCATTAATCTTAACTTTTCTTTTGGAAATTCTCTTACATCTACAATACCATAATGATGATTTTCTAATATTCCATGAGTACCTGTATCAGCATTTTTTGTTCCTTTAGTTTCATTATGATTCATACATCCCATAAAAAATTATAATTTATGTGTTTACAATAATACTTACCATAATTAATCATTTTCTATCATTTTACTTAATTATGGATCTCTTAATGAATTAATTTCAGCTATACCTCCTGTTAAATCAACCAATCCTTCTCCAATATGTCCATCACATATAGTTTCATAATTTCCATGTAATTTACAGTATGCTTTTTCCATTAATGGTAACCAAAATTCAGATGGATTTGCACATTAAGTAAATAATATTTATTTACTATCTTAATCAAAAGGTAAAAGTGTATCAACAATAACTTATTTCCATTCTCCATTTTTAAAGAATTGAAATGCTACAAAACCACAATCATCAAATTAATCATAATCTAAAATTAATTTTTCAAGTTAAGATATTTATTGTTAAGATAACTATTAAGTTTATTTATTTTATTTCTCATTGTATTTTTTCATTTATCCTACTATGACTACTGCTCCTACAAACCAGGATTCTCCAAAAGCTCCTTATTTATAATCTCCTTCAAAATCAATAACGAATTTAGCATCTTTAGAAATTTCATGTGGTCTCACCCATTTAACAGATTTTATATCTTTTGCAAATTCTGGAGGTTTTTAAGGATCCTTATATAGACTACTATTATTAATAGGGAAATCTGGATCTGTATATAGAGTTTTGTTTTTTTAACAATTTTATATGATTTCCATTTTCTTAGATTCAAATATTTATAATGGATTCAATTCAATAGGTTAAATCTCTTATTCTTATTCCTCATCATTTTGTTGTAACATTGGATCAATCTATTTATTTTATGACCTTAATCATAAATGATAACTTACTGAGTTTCAGATTATTCAAATGCTTAAGGATCTTCCTCTTATGTTTATTTCTATTTTAAAAAAGAGTCTTCATTCATTAGTCTTTGTTCTGAATAATTCATATAACTTTGAATAGATTCATTCTTTTCAATATTGTCAGTCATTTTTATTTTATTTATTAATATATTTTATATAATTCAAAAACTAATAAAATTACAACATGAGACTTTTCTCTAATTAAATAATAAACATAATCTCTTAGTTAAATCCATAGCCTTCTTTGATTAAATCATGCCTGCCAAAAATGTCAAGAAAATAATTAAATTTCTGATGATCTTGCAAATAATTTATCAAAATACTAATTCGACTTGAGTTTAAGCAGTATCAGATCTCAAACTATAATCTAATCTTGTTGAAAAACCAACTATAATTATAGTTAACAATCCCAATAGAAAATCAAAAAACATTGCAAAAGTTGTATATTCTTTTCTAAAGTATCTTAAACCTGTATAACGAATGATTAAATCTATCATCCATAATCCTAATCTAAAAGGTAGCAGTATGTATAAGAACCAAATGGCTATTAATTCTTCTTTCAAATCATGTAAAGTTTATCTTAAGTAAAATAGATGTTTCATACTCATCATTTGCAGTAGGCCCTGTTGTATTATCGTATTCAGTCTAAACAGAATCATGCTTCAAAACTAAAAGGTTATATAACATTGAATCTAAACAAACCTATAACAAAAATAAAGTTAACAAAATTAAACTAACAAAGAATGACCAAGTTGGCACTCCTTTTACCATGTTTACAGCTGTATCTATCAAATAATGCTTTCTAAAATCATCTATTTAATTAATTTAAAAACACTTTCAAGATCTAAATTCAAATCAATTATTTATTTGATTATATATCTCTTTGCAAAATCACCATCTATTAAACTTGCTCTATTAATCAATCTAAATCCTCTGATGTTGAAAGGTAAAAGATCATAATAATTTTCTAAATGATCTAATCTTCCCAAAATTCCAGGTTCTACTGTTTTTAATCTAATTTTTCCAGCCAATATAGCTATCAAATTTTTAAAATCATCTTCCCTCTCATCATCAGGTACTCTATCTTGATCAAACTATTGCATTTCAATTTAACTCATTTTTTGTTCTTAATATTATTAAATATTAATGATTATCTCCTTAGGATTAAGTAAATTAATGAAAAATAAATAAACTAAAATTAAATAATCTATATAAATATCATTTAATCGATAAGTAATTCATTTACAAAATAAATCTAAATTTTATCTCTTATTATTATTATTAACAATAATGATTGATATCTAAAACTTAAAATACTCATCTTTTTTGTTGATTATTATTAGCTTTCATATTACTAAGTTATATATAATATATTTATTTTAGTTTTTAACAATTAAATAAAACATTAATGATTTTATATTTTCAAGGTCCTCTTCTTTGGCCTCTTCCTCCTCTACCTCTTCCTCTTTGACCTCCTCTGCCTCTTTGTCCACCTCTTCCTCTACCTCCTCTTTATTGACCTCTTTTGTTTCCATATTTCTAAACCTTCTATTTTTTGGGGAATGTTAACTTAACTTGATGATGAAGTAGTTGTTATTAAGGTAAATCTTTGATTTAGTAATCCTATGGTAATGATTCTGATATCATTTTAATGTATTAATGAACCACATCTTCATTTCCTAAATATAACTTTGGGAATTTCTTCCATTTTTAATTAGCAGACTAAATAATTTATTCAAGTTTTTGTCCTTTTAAAATTTCTTCTCTAACATATTAATGAAATCCTGATGGAACTTTTCTTCCCCATGTTTAAATATGTCTTTTATAATCTAATCCATTAACAATTAAATAAAATGGACATTTTTTAGACATACAACAATTACTACTTAAACCAGATTTAACATTATATGCAATTGTATTTACATCAATACCTTTTTCTTAACATTCTTATTGTAATTATTCAAATGTTAAAGGCTTAACCATCATATGATTTTTTATGAACCAAACTATATATTCTTTTTCTAAAGCAGCTTTTGTGGATTAGGTTCCTTTAGTTAAATCTCCTTTATTTTATTAAATCAATTCTTTTTAGATTTCTTTAATATTTTAGTAATTGACATTTGTTGTGAAAACTTCTTTTTCTGGAGTCTTAATAATATGATAAATTAAGTGAATATATTTCTTTTAGTCAAACTTAACTCCTTTGAATTATTCATAAAAGTTTTCAATGACTTCTAAAGTGAGTTTCATATCTCTATTGTATACTTTATCTTCAAAAAGATCAACAGTAGTATTATCATTTTCAAATCTACTCAATAAGACTTATTCTATCTCTTAAGTTATTGATTATCTAAAATGTTTAATACTAACATGTTTTTCAAAGGTTTATTTTAATTAATTTTATAAACTATCCTCATCTTATTTTTCTAATTTTAATTTTAAATAATATGTTAATTATTATTAATGTTTGAACTATTCTCTAATAAAGTGATATAATATTAATTTTTCAATTTAAGATTCAAAATCTTAAACAATATTTTTGGTCATCATTAAATAGAACAAAGAAATAAAAGGTTTAGAAGTAGCTACATAATCTTCATATTACTCCTCTCTTTCTAAATATGCAGAAGTTGGATTCTCCAAAAGCTTCTTTAAATAATTTTCAAATTTTTCAGTTCCTTAATATACTATAGAAGTTGTTGAATAAATTAAGTTAATAGTATCTTCTTACCATTTTGTTCTTGGTTATTTATAAACAAATATTAAAGCATTGGCCAATAAAGCTAAATAGGTTTCTTCATAAAATGTATCTACATTTTATTAAACCATAAATGTAAGTAATAACTTAATGATTTTAGATCTTAATATAGGTTAAAGATCTTTATCTGATGGAGGAAATAATGGTAAGATACAATTAATTTCTTCTTTTTTTTCACCTCCAGTATTAAGTTCTACTTTAAAATTATTCTTTATAAGATAAGCAGAATCAATAACTTTGTTTTATTAAGCAAAATTCTCTACTTGAACCAACCAAGGATTGACAAAACATCCATCATTTCTTTTAACTTTTAAGCCATGACCAACTAAAGGGAATGTTTCAGCAAAATCATATTAAGATTTAATATACTTTAATCCTTCTATTACAAGTTTTGAATTTGAAACAATATCTCTTTATGTTTCAAGACTAACAACAGATCTTTCCTATCCTTATTCATTTTCTTTTTTAAAATCGCAGTTAATAATGATTTCTTAAAATTCATCTCTCATTTTTCTAAATTCTTCAACAGTAATTCCTTTTAATGCTAAAGCTTTTTATTAATGCTTTCCAGTAATAGTACCAATATTTAATTTTTTGGCTGCTTCAAAATCTCCCAACTATTTGATATCAACTCCCTTAGCTAATTATCTGGCTTCTTCAATGAAGAATAACAATTTATTTCCATATTTATAAACATAATTTCTTTAAGCTCTAACATTAAATGGTTAAGTAGGATCAACAATTTCTGCCTAATCGAAATTCAAAACATTCATATTAAATTTATCACTTAATCTATTAGCCAATCTTTCCATAATAGCTAAGGCATCAGCAGCCTTATCTTTAATTTATTAGGCACCACTCATTGCTCTGATTTATAGATTTTAAACCCATGAACGGAATAGATCAACTATATCATCTACCTATAAATCAGATTCAGCAATTGGATTAAGTATTATTGGATCTTTATCTTCTTAAATAATTGATATTTATTTTTTTTATGTTATAATCCATTATCCTTCATAAACTTCATCAGTTACATCTTCATCATAAGGGAAAAGATTAATCATTCTGTCTAATCTTAATTATTAAGATGGATAAAAGTATTTCTTCATAGTCTCAAATTTGTTGAAAAAAGCTTGAGGAGAAGCATGTTCTATCAAATAAATAGCAGGAATCTATGGATCACCTCTATGATAAAGTTATCTTAAATTCATTGAAATATTAGTTGGAAATCCAGATTCAACTCCTAAACAGATGAAATTGATATTTCGATTTTAAGTGTTACCACTTAATTTCTTCATTCTTTCATCAATTGTTCTTACATTATTGTCTTGTCCATCACTTATAAATATTATAGTAATATTATTTTAGATGGGAACTTTTTATAATTCAGTTTCCATTGTTTAAAAAGCAGGAACTATTTCTGTTCCACCACCTCCATGATCTTTGATTCTTTTTGATAAAACTCCTTCTGCTGAAATCTTTTATCTTGTATCAAAGGTTATAGTAATTAAGTTTTCTTTAGGTATGCTTTGATTCCAAAAATCAGAAAGCCATTCCCAACATCCACTCATCGAACCTGAAGCATCAATTACTCCAATAATTGTTAAGATGGATTTTCCTTGTTTTTCCTTTGTATCTCCTTTTGTTGTTTAAGGATTAAGACCTTACTCAATGAAAGGAATCTTTAATGCGAAGAATTAATTTTGCTCCATTATTTAAATGATCAGAAATTTAATATAAATGTTTAGAATTTACATCTAGTTATTCCCTGATCATAATTAACCAGTATTTAAAAAAAAAACTTTAAATTATCATTCTTTTAATACTTAGCCATTTACTATTCTTGAGCATTTGTATTTTTCTAAAATTTATAAATTTCTAAGACAAATAGAAATCTTTAAATTTTATATCGAATTAATAACAAGATTCTTAACAATTATCAATCATACACACAATCATACACCAACCTTAAACTTTAGAGTGTAAAATACTAATTATATAATATAAATGATAAAATATATTGTTATTTTTTATTTTCCTAAATGACCCTATTTATTAGGTTAGTTGAGTAAGAAGCATAGATACAAAAACATATCTATAAATTTGCTGAGTTATAATTTAATTTTAAGATAAGATTTCATACTTTGAGTTGGATTTAAAACAAACAACTTTGATTCAAAGATAATATATGTAAATTCTTTAAAACTCTTGAGAATTTAATAAAATATTATTTCTTAAATCCAGATAGGTATAAATATATATATTTATTTATTGTATATTTCTTATTTCTATAGAGTAATATTTTATTTATAAATTTAGAATTTATAATTATCATAGATACTTCAATATCAGTTTCTTTGATCAGATCTAATTATATATTAAAGCTGAAGGATGTTCTTACAGAAAATCAATTAGTAACTACTTTAATTATTCTAGTTACAATATTGTAAGAAATATAATATTAAGTAGGATTCAAATTTATTTTAGAAATTGAGTTACTTGTATATACTATAATTCTATTAAAATTCATTCTTAGATTTAAAGTAAACCATTTTAATTACTTAAAATATAATATTCAATTAATTTTTGTTATTTTTTGAAGTAATTTTTTGATTCTAATATCATCCTTTTATATTATAATCTAGAATTGTTAAATATATTTCAAAATCAAATTAAGTTGTTATAATTAAATGTTCAATTGTACCTTATTCTCTAACTTTAGGGAATAATTTTATTCTTAGAAATTTACTAACTTACTCAAACAATGTTATATTGTTTATTAATTTTTGTTTTTCATTTTTTTATTAATTCTTTTGAACATTTTATATATCAATTAGATCCTATACTAATCCTATTCAATACAATTATTTAATGAACTAAGGAAAACTCAATCCAGAATATCAATCAAATACTAACAAATAATCTTAATAATTTTGTATATATCCAATAAAAAATTCATTATTTTTTCTTTTGTAACTTCATCTAATAATTTATACTATTTTATTATTTCAAATTAGTTTAGATTGATATTTTTACTAAAATAATTTAGTTCCTATAGTATTTCTAATTTATAATATCAATATTTAATGGTTTGTTTCAAAGAATTCAGAATTCCTAATTCGAGTTTACTAAATATATTATTGATTATATTTTAGATGAATTCTCTTTAATTAAATGGTTTTAATTTTTAAGAAATTAATTTTGCAGGATTAGTTATATTGATTTATTATCTAAACTTAAAATTTATTGATTCAATTATTTATTGGCTAAATATTTATCTTTATTATCATTGATTAGATAAGAAATTTAGGTGACTTAATATATACATTTTTCTACCTAATCCCTCAAATTTGATTTTGTTTCATTAATTAGTAATTTAAATTTCTGTACATTTTTAATGTGTTAAAATTTTATTACACATTAAGTTGTAACTCTTTAAGGTCAAAGCTTTGATTCAAATCAATAAAAAGAGATGAAAACTCTAAGTAATAAATATCAATACTATATTATCTGAATGAAAGCATTGTTTAATTTAACCAGTGAATTTATATAAAAAAAACAGATAAAATGTGATAATCATTGTTCGGTTTTGAGCCTCCTTGAAATTTTCATGTCATTATAAAAATGACTCTTAGGCTACTCTTATCTTAGTTTTTGAACAATATTTCTTATTTTTTCTTTTGAAGGTTGACTATGTGATTTAATTCCTTGATCCTCTTCTAATTCCTCATGCTTGATTACTTTGAGTTTTTTTATTTAATTGGTGAATGTTAACATTTTGGTCTCCAAACGTGGAGATATTTAAATATAGAAATCCTCTTTAGATGGTTCAGTTTTTATGCTTTTAGGTGAATCAGAAGGAACATTCAAACTATTGTTAACTGATTTTTTCATATTAATGCTTTTCTTCATCATAACTAAATTGGTTGAGTTTCTCATACTATATGACATTAAATATTTTAATCAAGTAAATTTTTTAATTAATTATTCTGTTTAAATAGTCTTATTCTTACTTTTTTAATTTAAGGTTATTTAATAAATATTTAGAAGGATTTGATTTAAATATTTACTACTTTTTATAGTAAGAGAAATTAAATATATATAGATTTAATATCCAATAATTAAATATTATTAATAAAAAATTATACTTACTCTATAATAAATATAATAATTGAGTATATTAATACATAAATACTAAATGTTACATAATATTTAATGAGATAATTCTAATGAATTTTATAAAAATAAATAGATGATATCTAATAAAATTGATACTCATTTTCTTGTAATTGGTTTATTCATAATTCTAGTGACATCACTTCGAATATGTCTAAATTAACCAGGATCAGTATATTTAGAATGCAAAGTATAGACTCCATCTAAATTAAATAATATATTAGAATTACCTGCTAAAGGTAAACTAGTAGCAATATCATATGGATGAACTTAACTAGCATTTTTTTTATAATTATCCATACTACTTTATCTTAAATTATTTTAAGCAGTTGTTAATCCTGCATCTCCAGAATGAATCCATTGTCTTTATACTTGAGTATTTTCTTTTGGATCGATGGCTAAACTTAGATTAAGGATTATTACAGTCTCTGTATTTTTCACCTGTAATAACAGAAGTCATTTTCAAACCTTAATCAAAAGGATCTCTTTCTCTACAACCTGCTGCCAATGGTTTTTACTTTTTATCTGTCAGAATTTCTGCTACATTATTTTCAGGTTATTAAAAGGATTATTAGTATGTAGTAATAGCATAAAATTTATTATGTTATTCAGGATGATTTTTAAAAGTAGAACCAAAATCTGTATAATTTTGATGTACTGCTCTATCAACTAATATTTAATGCATATTTGTTTAGTCTAATTATTTAATTGATTTAGCTCCTGAAGTTTATGCAACTGTTGTATTACATTCTGGGAAGTTAACTTTATCACCATTTGTTTTTATCAAAGATCTACAATCTCCTAATTACATATTCTGAATATTTTTGGCATCAAACTTTGTTTAGAATTCTGTTCTAAATTCTCTCTTTTAAATTGTTTATATAAATAATACATATCCATCATCTGGCACTATAATCTCTTTAGTAATATATGGTGGATTACGATTCACTCTTGGCAAAGGAAGTAAACATCCATTATCTCCTGGGATAGAGATACCTTCTTCAACTCCTCGTAACTGAATTTATATTAAATTTCTATTACTGATTTTGTAGCATTTGGATCTCTTTATAATTATTAAGGAGCCAATCTATCTTCATACCAATTGGCTAGATTATCTTTAAATTATACCCATTAAAGCAGTTTTATTATATTCAACTTCATTTGGCCTTCTCATTTATATTATTAATTTATTTATTTATTCAAATAATATTATAACTTCTTCTTCACACATCACTCAATTTACATTCTTAATATTCTAAACATTTATATGTTTATTTTCGAATATATTTCTCAATAGAAAAATTATTAATATTTCAATTATACAAAAATAAGTTGCAAATTTTTAATTAACAGAAAAATAAATAACTAATTGAATGGATAATTTGCTACCGACTGCCAATCCCATTTTATAAACACCTTTTGAATTTACTAAACCTAAATTTGATTATCCTGGAGAAATTGCGTATAATATGATCTAAATAGTCCCATGCCATTTTTTCATAATCTATTCAAACCTCCCAAAAATGTCCTTAATTTTGAATGTTGTGATATTGATTTCTTTTCTAAAGAACCAACTTACTTTAAAACCCTACATGAATTACATGCCAATTCCCCTTTAATTTATTAAAGATTCATAACTTAATCATCCAAAACTTAGAATTTTGCATCTCCATAATATCAAGGAACTTAATTATTCTCTAAAGGCCCTATTCATTTTAATTCTAATTTTGAATGTGGCAATCTCTATACTGTATATAAAGTTGCTGATAGAAAATATAATTTAATTTTGCATAATGACACTTAAACAAATGGTTGCACAAGATGGTATTTCTTTAGTGTCAGAACTCCAGAAAGAATGATGCTTCAATTGAATATTATTAATTTAACTAAGTAAGCATCACAATTAAATGTCAATCCTTATATATACACATCAAGAACTGGATGGTATAGAGGAGGTGACAATGTTTAATATTACAAAAATCAATATTAAAAGAAAACAGATTATTATTATACATTATCATTTAGTTATCTATTCGAAAAGGATGAAACTATATACTTTGCCCCTTTCCCTCCATATGGAATCACTACACTTTAATCATTTTTAAAACCACTAAGCAATCAGTAAAATTCATATCTATTAATAAGAACTCATCTAAAACTCAAAGCTTTATCAGTTAATTAAGGTAACCAATATCCAGTATTAACAATGGGAAATTCAACCAAACCTTTGATTGTTATAATTGCTAGATAACATCCATCTGAAGTTGTTACATCCTATGTAGCTGAAGGAATAATTGGATTCTTAATGGGTGATGAAGGCAAACAATTAAGAGATAACTTTTATTTTAAAATTTTGCCAATGATGAATCCAGATGGTGTCATTCATGGCAACAGCAAAACCAACCTTTAAGGAATAGATATCAATTAAAAATGGCATAAAGTCAATAAATAAGTTCCTAGTGCTTAACATGTCAAAGCCATTATAAAAAAGACAAATCAATTATATTTAGCTCTTGATTTACATCAAACATATAAAAAGTATTTAAATATAATTATTAATTTAGATATGGAATTTCATTTATAGGAAGATATGATGAGAATCCATAATTTATTACTGCATTTTCTTAAATCTGTAAGTATACTAGTTTAGAACAAAGTAAATTTGGTAAATCTAATAAAATGGAATAAACTCTTCCATTTGCTTTAGGGTATTATGTATTATATAATTAATTAGTGAATTGTTAAATGTTAATTGTATATATTAAGTTAGAATTTCAAATTAGATTGAAAGCTTAAAAGATTTCACAATTTCTATGTTAAAGAACATAGGTGAAAATTTATGTTAAGCAATTCTTTTAACATTAAATAAATAATTGCAACCAATTAGATTTAATTAATGTTAGGATATTTCAGCATCTGAATCTTGTGAATCCAGTGATGAAACTTAACATATCAAAAAGAAATTGAATAAAAAAAAAATGATTACAACAAATTAAGGTAATGAGAATAATTTATCCATTGTTACTACTTCCTTAACAAAAAAATCTATATTACCAACAAAATTAAAACCCTTAAAACCTTTGTGTGATTTATCATAATGTAAATTTGATATAATAATTTTAAGTGAATTAATCATCAAATAAGAAAAGTGTACAATAATCTTAATTCAAAACTAGAATTAGATCATTTTCAACAAGAACCCCAGAATTCAATTTAAAACATTGATTTATATAATTTTATAATATTTTTTAATTTTTAATTTGAAAAAAATAAAAATAATGTTATAAAATTTTATTGATATTCTTATTCAATCATTCACTTTAACTTTATAAAATGATATTTGATTATGACTCTGATTCTGATTATGATTCAGGTACATCTTAATTATTTTAATCATTTCCATATAAAGTTGGGAAACATAATTTAGTATGTCTTTTACAATAATCATGTGTAAATGGAGATACAGGAAATCCATACTTATTCATTCTATCTTCCATTTCACTTAATCTTTGAGTAAATTACCAAAATTATTCAGTTTATTTTGAATTAGGATTCCATAATCTATTTTATATAATAAAAATATTACGTATCACCTAAAATAGAAGATCTTAAAAACATTTTCTAAAAATGAGTATTTTAATTATTTGTTTCACCCCATAAAGGAGCTTCTCCTCCTATAATATTTCCTTTAAATCCTTCTGGTGGTGATGGAGACCATTTATAAAAATCTTTCCATGTTTAGTAAGCATCATATGAATTACCAAATGCATTTCCAACTCCAACATCCAAATATAATGGATGATAATCACTTAAAATAAAATCATTTGTTCTATTTTTTACATCTACCAATTATGATGTTAATCCCCACCAATGAATAATATCATCATCTTCAGCAGGAAGTTAATCATTTTTATTGTACCAATAGGCAATTCTTTTTGTAGATTTGATTTAATTTTTCCATATGTCTTTTTATCTTTATCTATAATAAACCTAAAGATCAAAATAAGTTGCAATTCCATGATCAACCATAAATTATTTTATTGATGGTCTTTAATCAAAACATGAATTACTAGCTTCATCTCCACCAAAATGAATAAATTATACTTTAGCAAACATATCATTTAAATCTTACATCACAGACTTTAAGACTTCATATGTTAAATCTAAAGTTGGATCAAATTATCCATATTATTTTATAGTACTACCACATGTTATTATCATTTCTGCAAGGTCTGAAGATCTTCCCCAAGATTAAGCATGTGCAGGAGAATCTATTTCAGGAATTATCTAAACTCCTCTTATTGATGCATATTCAATAATGTAAGAGACATCAGATTTTGTGAAATAAGCAGTCTCCCAATGTTTAGATGTATTTGTTATTTAACTATAATTAGTTAATAATAGAGGAAAGCTTTCATCATCTGTTATATGCCAATGTAAAACATTCATCTTATTTATAACTAATGCATCAATGGTTCTTTCTAAAATCTTAAGAGGTAAAAAATGTCTTGCAGTATCAACCATCACTCCTCTATATGCAAAAGCTGGTTCATCATAAATTTTTAAAGGAAGCTTTGAAATATTTTATATTAGATTACATTTTCTACTTCATTATTTTCTGTGAGTTGATGGACTGTATCAATAGCTCTTGCTAAAGCCCAATGATTAGGAGCATTAATAATAACATTTAATTTTTCATCTATTTCTACAGTATATGCTTCTTGTTTTGTATCATTGACCCAATATAATTGCTCATCACTTTATAGATTGATATTTAATTTTAATGACCCTTCTATCTAAAGATTTTATTTTTTGAGTGACTCTTCAAATTAACAATTTGAATTCAATGTCATTAATTCATGATAATGACGTAACAATTACATAATATGATCAGGAAATTCTTATTATGAAGAAAACTTAATTGCACATCTCTATTAAATTTTCACTGTCTTTTCTCCCTTTTCAAATTATTTTGGCATTGGCATTATAGTAAAAGCTACCAAAAAGAGCAATTACAAATATAAAAATGATGTCAATTTCATGATAATATTTATTATTTTATAATTGATTATCTATTAAAATATCAATGCTTATCAAGAATACAATTACAAAAATATACTATATATTGATTTTAATAAAATAAAATTTCTGTATGTTAACAGAGATTCCTATATTATTGATTATAAATTTCGATTTTAATTTAAATTTATTATCATCATATGAACCTCAGCGATAACAATTTAAACGATTATAAATTTCCTGTAAATCAATCATCCATGTCAAGTAACACATATCCAATAGCTAGATTCAAGTAGAATATCTGAAATGTGTAATCCATTTCACAATTACTTAATTGCAGGATAAATCATTCCCAAAAATTTATCTCCTTAAGACATACAAGATATTCCTTTTGAAGAATAGAGCAATGAATATATTAATTCTCCTTAAATCGATTCATAAAAACACATCATACCTTCTCTTCATCATAAAGAGTGTACAGTAAATATAAATTATTAAACATAGCCTACATCTGAATAAATAAGAGGAAAATAAGAATTTATTGAATAATCGAGCAATGATTAAAGATAATTACATTAGTTTATTATAATTAAGACTTTAGTTAATTCATTTGTTGATTAACTAAAAAGAAAAGCTTATATTTTTCCAAAGTCCTTTAATAAAGATTTTATGTTGATTAACTAAGAACGATATTTGAAAGACGTAAAACTTCAGTCTTAAGATAGAGAAGATAATAATAGAAGCTTCTTATATAAGCTTCCTATCATCCCACCTTAAGGAACATTTGTTTTAGTTTGGGAGTTAGTGTTATTTCTTCAAATAATGTTAATAACATTTTGGGGACCATTTTTGGTCTCATTTTAACCAGACACAAGCACAATCATTGTGGTTTTTGAGAATTTCTTGAGATATATTGGTATAATAGATATTCTAATCAAAACAAATAAAAGTCTTCTTGTTTAAGGATCAATTTTAGAAAACAGAAAACTAATACTAATATATTATATTAGAACTGATTTAACATTTGATTTAATTTCTATTATTATTCTATTCGTAAATGACTCTAAATATTCAAATACTATTGAATTAATTTCTCTTATTTTGGCTGGAATCTAAGTTTATATAACAATTAAAAGATTAAGACATTTTTTAGAAAAATTATAAGAAACATTTGATGAATATTAAAACTTTTTTGAATTAACTAAAGTGTTATTGATAATATTTATATTTGCTCATATAACAGCTTGTATTTGGTAAAAAATAGCTTTGTTAACTGAAGAAATAGGTTATAATACTTGGATGTCTTTGATGACTATGCATAATGATACTATTTGGATCAGATATAATTATTCATTTTATTGGTCTACTATGACTATGGTTACAGTAGGGTATGGTGATATTACTCCTCAAAATCCTTATGAAATGCTATTTTGTAATTTAACTATGATTGTTTCAAGTGCAATATTTGGTTATTCTCTCAATTCTATTGGAATGATTCTTTAAAATATAAATATAAAGGTTTAAAAATATAAGTAATTTTTAAATTATATATTGATTTTAGAAAATTTTCAGTATAAATGAATAGATATATGAATTAGAATTAAGTTAATTAATAATTGTAGAGCAAAATCAGAAATTATTTAAAATTTTATTTTGAGCAAGATAGTATAAAAAATGATGATGAAGTATAGTAAGATTTTTATGAAATTAGATTTCTTCAATCATTTCAAAATTGACTCCTAATTTAAGATAAGAATTAATTTATGATATTTAGAGTAAACCTTTGTAAAATTGTTATTTTTTTAAATATCATTTATCTTAAGAAGTTTAGAAATAATTAGCATTTTCATTATAATCTCATCATTTGAATCCATAAGAAATAATATATAATAAAAATTGCATAGAAGATGATTTATCATTATATATATTAGTAAAGGGAGAAGTAAGTCTAATAGATTAATAAAGTGGATAAACATTATGTATTTTACATAAAGGAGATTGTTTTGGTGAATATGAATTTTTTACAGGAGAATAAAGAAAATGCACAGCTAAAAGTATGACATTTAGTTAAATCTATAAAATCTCTCGAAAATAAATTTTAGAAATATTAAATTCAAATTAAGAAGACAAAGAAAAGTTTTTTAGCATTAAAGATCATTTATTAATGAAGATCCCTTGTCAATATTCAGGATTAAAATGTAATTGTTGTTTAAAAACTACTCATTTTATAACAGATTGTCCATATGTTAGATATATACCTGATTTAGAGAAATTGATAAAGAAAGAGGGTTTTTTATATTAATAAAGGAAGTATTAGAATAGAACTAAACGTAAGAGTGAAAATTCATTATTTAAATTAAAAGTATATTATTGAGTTAATTAGAAAACAGGAAAATTGTAATTAGTGCGTCAAATTTATTACTGAATCAAAACTATTTGAAAATGATGAATTATCTGAATTATTCCATCCTCCATCCCCTGATTCATCTGAGACAAATCAAGTAGAAGAGAAACCTGAAGAGAGGGAAAGTTCATTAGAAAAGGTTTATACAAGAAATAGATCAAGATTTAAATCAATGTCTTCAGAAAAACCTTAATCATAATAACATTAATAATATTAGGAATAGAAAATATCTTTAAAATATTTAGATAAAACATATAATAGAGCAATATCATAAGAAAAATCTAAATAAAATATTCGTAGTAGTGAAAAAAATGGTCTATAAATATCTGTTACTAAAATAATGCCAGAATATGAAAAAAGTTCTTATGAACCTACAATTAGAACAAAAGGTAAAAAAAGTATAGAGAATACTGATATCCATAGTAATTTATCTATAATTAATAATGAAATATAAAATTAATAAGGAGATCTAAAAATAAATGATATTGTACCTTAATTTTAATGTTGTGATATTGATCGGATGGAATCCTTTAAATATTATTTTAGTCAATTTAATTTTCCTTAAATAATTTTAGATTATTAAAAGTCATAAAGATATGTAAAAATATTATATAGAAAAAATATTGGAAAATATACAATATATTTTAAAGCCAAAAAATTCAAAACTCAATACAAATTAAAAAGATTAAAATAAGTTGCAAGAAGTTCATAAGTAATATAGTTTTTACCAAGAAGAAGCAAATAATAAACTAAAACTAGTATCTTTTATTAACCTCCACCTTTATCACATGAAAAATGATGAAAGTGTTCAATTTGTATTAATAATAGAATTTTAATTGTTTCAATGCCTAAATTTTTAAAACATGTTTAAATCAGATATATTTATGCTTTTACGCATTTTCTTTTACTAATTAGCATCTTTAGTACTAACAAATCGAACTTTAGAGGGAGTTCGTTCATCATCAGTATTTTAATGAGTTCTTTATTTTTCAAGGTTTATTTTAGCTTAATGTATAAAGTTCCAGTCATCTTAAGAATCTTCATCATTTAATTCATTTTAATATTTATCTTATGTATGTTATCTTTTATTTTCTTTTTTCTTAAGAGCACTTTTTAAAGGTGGCTCTTTAATTTAACTATCTCTGAAATTACTACTATATTAACCAATAGAGAATTATAGTTATTTAATGATCTCAGATCTCTTTTATAGATATTCTAAAATATTATATTTGATTTACATTTATCAAGTTCCTCTAATTTTTAGTTAGTTTCTAATCTGATGTTTTGTAATTTTTTATTTAAAATCTCCTATTCTTCAAGTATAATTTATTCCTGTTGAATTATTCTCTAAATTTTAACTGTTTCTTCTTCATTTTCTTTTTATATGCTTAATTATCGAGATCCGTTATTATATTTTCGAGATACATCTTTAACAGAAAAATCAAAGTTGTCTGATAAAAGTGAAAAGCAACTTTTTTATTAATTTTCAATAGGTGATAATTAAGATTAAACTGGTGTATTACAACGAAGGACATCCCCTAAAATAGCTGGTGAGGAGCATTTATATTTTTGGAACATGTAGTAATCTATCAATTATTATATAAACTAACAAACCATCATTAATTGCATGTTTTGTGCTATTTATAGGAATTGCCACATTAAAGTCAGTACTCTATATTAGCCTTTTCATTTCTAATTGTGATGATATACTTATATATTGTTATAATTATTACTAAATTATATTATCTATTTTCATTTCATAAAATATTAATTACAAATCACACTTAAATCACCACCTCAAAAGACATTCATACAGAGCTTTTTTGAGAAGGCTCTTATGTTTTTTGAAATTATTTACTAAATCCATTCATAATTGGTTCATTTAAATGTTATACTCTCTAATTTCTGCTATTATATAAAATTAATAAAGCTTAATCATGAACATTATTTTAATCAATCTTTTTTACATGTTCTTCTAATCTTACTATAATATTTCTTTTAGATTCTTATTTTTTAGATGAACATATTCCCATTCTCTATATTGATTTTACAAATAAATAATAATTTATATTAATTATTTTATTAGACAATAACAAATACATTCTCAATAACTTATTATTAATATATTAATACTTCTATACTAATTAATTATATATCTATATCTAATCTTAAATAATCTTAATATAATAAATTGAAATTGTCTTTTTTAAATATTTAAATTGATAGGTTTCATACAAAAATATTTCTAATATTATCTATAAAAAAAACAATTTTTGAATTTAAAATAATGATTTCTTTTTTTTTAGTAATCTCTAAGATGTTTTTACTTAACTTATTGATTTCAAATAAAATTTATACTTTTACNTATTCTCTAAATTTTAACTGTTTCTTCTTCATTTTCTTTTTATATGCTTAATTATCGAGATCCGTTATTATATTTTCGAGATACATCTTTAACAGAAAAATCAAAGTTGTCTGATAAAAGTGAAAAGCAACTTTTTTATTAATTTTCAATAGGTGATAATTAAGATTAAACTGGTGTATTACAACGAAGGACATCCCCTAAAATAGCTGGTGAGGAGCATTTATATTTTTGGAACATGTAGTAATCTATCAATTATTATATAAACTAACAAACCATCATTAATTGCATGTTTTGTGCTATTTATAGGAATTGCCACATTAAAGTCAGTACTCTATATTAGCCTTTTCATTTCTAATTGTGATGATATACTTATATATTGTTATAATTATTACTAAATTATATTATCTATTTTCATTTCATAAAATATTAATTACAAATCACACTTAAATCACCACCTCAAAAGACATTCATACAGAGCTTTTTTGAGAAGGCTCTTATGTTTTTTGAAATTATTTACTAAATCCATTCATAATTGGTTCATTTAAATGTTATACTCTCTAATTTCTGCTATTATATAAAATTAATAAAGCTTAATCATGAACATTATTTTAATCAATCTTTTTTACATGTTCTTCTAATCTTACTATAATATTTCTTTTAGATTCTTATTTTTTAGATGAACATATTCCCATTCTCTATATTGATTTTACAAATAAATAATAATTTATATTAATTATTTTATTAGACAATAACAAATACATTCTCAATAACTTATTATTAATATATTAATACTTCTATACTAATTAATTATATATCTATATCTAATCTTAAATAATCTTAATATAATAAATTGAAATTGTCTTTTTTAAATATTTAAATTGATAGGTTTCATACAAAAATATTTCTAATATTATCTATAAAAAAAACAATTTTTGAATTTAAAATAATGATTTCTTTTTTTTTAGTAATCTCTAAGATGTTTTTACTTAACTTATTGATTTCAAATAAAATTTATACTTTTACAGGAGAATAATTTTGTTAGATTAAATCAATACTTGATGTAATTTATATTTACTATACAAAAATACATTTAATTATACATAATTCTAAAATTAAATTTCACAAAAACTAAATAAATATGTCAATGTAAATTATAAATAGTGAAAGAGGACACATTTCATCACCTATATTAGGACCTACATTACAAATGAATTATACTTAAATTGAAGCTTATTAAAAAGGTTCAGAAATTAATGTGTCTTAACCATCTGAAATATCATAAAACATTGTTAATGAGAGTAAGAGTTAGTAATTTGATTTACTAAAAGCAGGTTTTCTAAATAAAGCTTCAAAGAGCTTTAGTCGTAGATAACCAAATTAATTAGTAATTAGTAATTCAAATAATATAGAAAGTCAATCAAAAGATTGATAGTTAATCTATAAAAAAATTGGAAAAATCATCATTATTGAAAAACTTTTTTAGGAATACATTAGTTTAAAAATTTAAAAATAATCTGTTATAACAATCATATGTACTTTCATATCATATGAAACATCTCTTATAATCTGAATAGTATTTGTTAGAAGATGCTTTTAAAAAAAAGAGAAGTAATTTTATTTAATAATCATAGAAATTAATAATTAAAGTTCAAATAGATTACTTTTTCTTCCTGGAGACAAAATAATAATAATTTGGGATAAATTATCACTTATAATTAATTTATTTAGTTTATGGTTATGTCCTATCTTGTTTGCTTTTAATGAAAACTTATCAATATTTGAGAATTTTGAAATAATAATAATATTATTTTTGAGTTTTGATATAACAATTAATTTAAATAGGGCAATAATTGATTAAGGAGAAATAATTGAAGAGAGAAGTACAATAATAAAAACATATGTTATTAATCATGTTTATAAAAATTTAAGTAGTATAATTTTATGGGTTTTATGCTATCACTAATTTTATTAAATAAGTGTTGCTAAAGAATTCATTTTTATATTTTAGATTGCAATTCTAATTATTTAAATATAAAATAATTTCTAAAAATATACTGAACAATTATATTTAAAAGAAATAGCAAGTAATGTCAAAGATATAATAAGTTTAATAATATTAATATATTATTTTGCCCATTATATGGCTTGTATTTGGCATTATATTGGATAATATACAGAATCTTTAGGGACAACATGGTTAATTAAATATAATCTTACAAATGAAGGATTTTATGTAAGATATAATTACTCATTTTATTGGGCATCAATGACTATGGTAACAGTTGGATATGGAGATATACTTCCATAAAATTAGGTTGAAATGACTTTTGTAAATATTATGATGCTCATCTCAAGTGTTATGTATGCATATTCTCTTAATTCTATTGGTATAATTTTAAAATCATATAATGATTAAAAATAAAAATAAACGTAATTGCATTTTTTTATTTTCTTAGAAGATCTTTAATATTAATTAATAACTATATGAGAAAATACTAATTAGATGAAACAATATAATCAAGAGTTAGAAATTATATAAAATATCAAATTGATAGAGAATTTCAAGAAAATAGTGAAAGTGTATATTAAATAATAAATGATTTACCACATGGATTATAATCAGAGTTGAATAGAGATTTATAAACTAAAGTTGTATAGAGTATTAAAATATTAAATCAATAATTTTCTAAATAATCCCTCAAAAATCTTACAGATGAATTGAAATTTATCAAATTAACACCTAATGATTTTGTATTTCATAAAGGAGAAAATGAAGATTAAAGTTTGTAATTAAAATTTATTTAATTAGATACTATGTTGATGAAGGAGAAATTGAATTAATAGAAGAAAATAGTAAAAAAGTATTAGCTACAGTTAAAAAAGGAGAAACTTTAGGGGAATATCAATTTTTTACTGGTTTATAACCTAAATTTTCTGCTTTAAGTGTTGGATTTTCATCTTTATATTAAATTAAAAGATCTGAATTTATAAATTTAATAAGATATAATTAGAAGGATTTTGAAAAATTTCATAATATTAAGGATACTATAGTTTTTAATAATTCATTCTCTATCTTATTAAAAAATTGTAAAATTTGTAAATAATATAATCATCTAACAATTGAATGTCCCTTATTAACCTATAAACCTAATTTAGAATAAAGAATTAAAAAATCTTTATATCATACAAATTAAGAAAGAGATATAAATTTTAAAAGACTTAATTAAAAACTAAATGTTAGAATTATGTATAAGGAAATATAAGGATCCATTAAATCTTATTAATAATCTTCAAATTTTACTGAATAAATTGATGGTTCATCAATTAAAATCGATACTCCTGATATTTTGTAAATTAGTAAATAAGCTACTAAAAAGAAATTTACAATCCAACCTAAATTCCAATACAAGGATTCTGATAATAATTAAGATGATGAAATAATTAATTTATAAGAATTTATCAAAACATCTAAAGTAGACAGAAGAAAATCTAATGCTATGACCATATTTGCAAAAAAGTAAGAGTATAAAAAAAAAACATCTTTAGGATAAGTGAATAATTAAAAGGATGTTTAATTAAATTGTTCTATTAATGATATAACAGTGCCTTTTGATTAATAAACTTTCTTAGATGAATTTAAATTAGAATTAAAATTTCATTAAAATGATATTGATAAAATATATTTCTATCAATATTATAAAAAGCATGATAATGCAGACAACATAATAAGAGTTTATGAGAATTTCAGAAAAAAAAAAGGTTCCCGTATATTTTCTAAAACTGATTTAAATGCCTAACTTTATACCTTTAACTAAAATGTAGTTAATAGAATAATGAAATTTAGGTTAAGTAACAGAAAATGATTATGTCAATTAATTTATTATCCTATTATTAATTTCAATTAATTATTATATTCATATGGCTAGAATATTTAGGACTTTCAAATTTTTATAGATATAGTTTATTTTTAATAATAACAACATTTCTATTATCTGACATACTGTTTATAATTTGGAAAGTTAGAAGTACAAAATATTGATCATATTTACAATATGAAGTATCTATTCTAAGTATTATTATATTAATAGATTGAATTTTAAAAAATAAAAATCAAATAAAAAATATAAATTAATAAGATTTATTTATTTGATTTCAAAACAAAGATTTGCAAATTGATATTTAAAATCAACTTTAAATTTAATGTTAAAATTTAATTTTAGATCCTAAATACTATAAATAGTATATTTATTTATAAATTAATCTTTTATTTGATTTGTAATTAATGTAGCTGATAATTAATGATCATAATATTTAAAGATTACATATATATATATATAATTAACATGTTAATTTAAAGTATTTATTATTAATGATAAACTAAACCCTAAATTTAAATATTTATTATAATTCAAAATTATATAATTACTTCCATTTGTGTATCATTTCATGAGAATTTAATAAGAAAAGTATATTATTTAATAAAGGGAATCAAGAGATAAACTCAAATTTAATTATAGTATTTCTATATTAATTATTAATTAATGTTAATATTGATAGTGTTATCATTTGCTTATGCTCAAATATAGGATGAACAATAACTGACAAATGCAGCTTGTGTTATTTTTTCTAGATACTATTTGCAATCAAATTAAGAGTTAGCTGGAAGAGCTGTAGGAGAAATGATTCAATTATAATAACTAACAAAAGAAGATGCAGTGATGTTTGCTGTTGCTTCTTTGGTTGAATCCTGTTTAGAAAGTATCTCTACTTAGGAGACAATGGAGGTAAGGATTATAATATACAATAGATTATTCAATAATTACAATCATAAAAAATAAATTTGGAAGCACATTAACATTTAGTTGAAAAAGCTGATTTAAAGAAGTATGGATCAAAAAAGAAGAGCGCAAAAAAAAATGAAATTCTTAAGATAATTAAATCCATTGATGATATGGTTAATTAATAAAAAAGAGAGCATGAAGGAGGTGATGATGGAAATGATTAATCAGAAACAGGAAGAAAAAGATAAAGAAATAAAGGTAAATAATAAGAATTACCTGATATGTCTATTTTTGAATTGAAAGAATGGTTAGTTCTATCATCATTTGTTTTAGTAGGTGTTTTACTTTCATATATAAGTAAATCATTTCTTAAATTTTTAGTTTGTTGTGTTCCAGAAAGAAAGAAAAAAGAAAAAAAAGATAAGACTAAAGTTAAATCAAAAGATTAAAATGATGATAAATTATCACCTAAAAAGGAAGAAGAAAATTCATAAGAGGAGGATGAAAGTTCTCCTAAAGAAGTTGCAGAAAATAAGGAAAAAAAGAAAGTAGAATGAGTGTATATTTATATTAAGTAAAAAAACAAAAAAAATTAGTTAGTTAACATCATTATTTCTTAGATAAGTCGAATCTAACCTTCTTTTTTATTTGAATTTGCTATTATTACGTATTTGATATATAATGTAATTGATGCTTTAAAATCGTTTTTTTAGTGTTCGTATCGTCTGGACGAGATTCTGAAGATGAACTATCTAGTGATCTAGATGAATGTATAAATATTTGTTCTTCATCTATATCACCAAGTAATTTTTATACAGATTTACATTCACAACTAATTTTCAACACTTGACATGCATAACAAATTTCCATTTATCCTTATATTTTATCCTTACTATTATATAACTCTTTTGATATAGTAGCAGTACCATTTCCAATTTATTAATTATTCTCATCTTACTTAATCATTTTCATATCTAATTCACCTCCTTTTTCAAACTATTCTGTACAACAGACAGCACCCATAGGTTATATTATTATATTTATATTTCATAATATTAATTCACTTTTTACTCAAAAGTAATAATTAGATATCTTATAATTTTTTTTGGCATTGATTTATTTTTGTGTTTATAGATAAATTGTACTTACTTCTTTAATGAAGTATTTATTTTTATAATGCTTAAATTTGTCTTTAATTATAATCAAATTTATCGATGCTCTTATGTAATTATTTTAAATTAATCGAATTTTAGATTAAGACATGCTTGATTTCGTTTAATTAAGTCTAGTCTTTATTTACATTAAAATTCTTATATTTATTATAATTATTCTTACAACTAAAAAGTCTTTAGAAGATGATTAAATAAATGCTTAATCACAATCAATTGATTCAGAATACTCTCTTTTGATTGTTGGTTTATATTAAGATAGATTTGTGCTTTAAGTAATTGTTTTTGCATGTCTAGCCTTTATTTATGTAACTATTCTATTATCAAAAGATTCCTTATTAGAAACAGAAAGTGATATATTTTTATTTGGTGATATCAATGCTCTCCAAGTTGCCATCAATTTAGATGTATAATAATAATTTTATATATATTTATTTTATAAAACTTAAACTTATATTAATTATTATATGTTTATTAGATTCTTATTATCCAAAGCCTATTTTAAAAGATGAAAATATCATTTTAATCTAAATATTATATCATTTTAATAATTGCTCATTTTTTTAAATGGACTTGAAGACCAGTTACAATATAGGTAATGCAACTAATCAAGGATTTTGTGAAAGGTATATGCATGAATTCATTTGGTCCATGTGCATTGGAATTAGGTCCCAAAACTCCAGTCACTATAAATTAAGCAGTTGGATATTATTCTTTAAGTGTATTCATAAGAGGAATGGAACCTCCTTCACCTAATGTTTATGCATCCTTTTTAAAGAACAATTAGGAAGCATTTTAAATAAGTTAATCTAAATATGGTTAATTTTAAGGAGCATTAAATCCTGATCCAGATCCTAATCCAGTAATTTTGACAGTTGCATTATATGGTACATTTGTAGTTAACTATGTTTTATAAAATAATTGATATTACAAGTTTAACAAATGCAGCTTCTGCTTCCTTTGGATTTTTAGTTGGTGGTAATCTTAATGAATATTTTAATGTAGTTTCAGGTCTAAGTACATTACCTGCTGTCTTAGCAGGTGGTAAACCATCAGCTCCTACAACTGAGAGTTAGGCTTTCCAGATTCTATTCAAATATGCTTTGAAATAATCCTAAGTAGTTGGTTAAGTTGAACCATAAAATGGGAATTTGGTTAATGTAGTTTTACCTAATACTTCAGCTGCCTTTTAAGCTTGTAAATATCTTTCACCTGGAATATTGACTTGAAAATCTTCAACAACCTCTCCAGTATTAGGATTATCAATTCTATCTAAAAGAAGTCTTTATATTCTAAATGATGATGGTACAACACCTGATGCATCACCTGAATGAACTCCTTCATCTAAGACTTAAACAGTAACACATGCACCTACCATACCTCTTAATGTTGTTGTAATCCATAATTATTCATAATTACCACATCCTGAATCTAAACATACAACTAAATCAACAGCTCCTATTTTCTCTTTTAATTTTGCCAAATAATGATCTATATGTGCTGATCCACTTTCTTCATCTGCTTCAAATGTCATTACAATTCTTGGATGTTTTAAACCTAATTCTTATAATGTTCTCACTGCTATAACAGCTCCAAAGATTGAATAATGATCATCTGCTCCTCCTCTAGCATATAATTTATCATCCACTATTTTTGGTTCATATGCACCTAATCCTTCTTTCCAACCATTAAATGGTGGTTATTTATCCATATGACCATAGAATAATACTGTTCCATCTGTTTAACCATCAGATCCATCTACTTCAACAAATAAGAATGGAGAATATCCCTCATCTTATAAAAGTTCTACTTTAGCATCTAATTATTATTTATATATAGTTTATACTCTTTAAATTTGATGCTAAAACATAATCTCTGAATTCTTATGCTGTTTTCATCAATAATCCATTTGTTAAGTATTCTGGATCAAATAACCTGGATTAACTAGGAATCTTGAGTATCTCTATGAATTTTGGTAATGCATCTTAGAAATGTTTGTTTACCAATTAGTTGATTTATTCTGCAGGAATTCCCTATTATTAATCCATATCTATAATTATTTAATGATTTAATCACACCTGCAAACTTTGATATTAATTACACTTTTTATACATACTATTCAGAAAGGTGAATCTTTATCTGATAAATTCATAAGCAAATTAGAGAAGATTTGTGAAAATTAATAATGTTTGCATTTACCAAAAGGATTTAATGACAATTGCATTAATTGGTGTGTATCATCTTTATGTTTTCTTAACACTTATGAAGATATTCCAGAAGATGGAGAAACAGATCATAAAAGGTAAACTTTCATTAAACATTTTAGGAATATGTATTTTAAAAATTGTGTAAAGAATATCCTAAAAGATTGTTAAACATCTAAAATTCCATTTGATAATTGCAGAGATAATTTACATATAGATTTTACCAAATAATTATGAATATACATAAAATCACTAATAAAAATCATATTCATCTTCAAATTACTTTTCATCTTCTAAACAATCATCAAAACCCCAAATACCAATCCCATTTGCTTTAGCATCTAACTCACTATTTAAGAATTATTTTAATGGATTATAAGGTTATCTATGATCAATACGTCCTATACTTAAATAATAACTATTAATTATTACCCTCTATCCAGAACAGTTTTATTGATAGTAAATTGTAATTCATCCAATTATCCTTAATGTTATAATGTTACAAAATTCCTATTTGTACTTTTTTCAGTATATCTAACCTTGCAATCAAAAGGTTGATCTAATATTAAATCTCTCAAAATATCAGCTGCTTCTTCTGAAAATTCATGTGTTTAAGGTGGAAATCTTAAATAAGCTAAAGCACACATTCTAGTTTATTAAGGGATACTAGTGAATTAAGAAGGAAGTACTCCCATTTCTTGGTATCCAACTTCATCATTATTACCATAATCAATGAATTTAACCAAAAATCTATCATTTTTAAATGCTTATATGACTTGTGCTCTATAAACTCTATTGTCTTCTGAAAATTTAGCCAAACATAGTGTTCCTTTTTTTACTGGCTTTTTTAAAGGCTTTTTATAATATTAAATGATATATTTACAATTAATTTAGCATTTTCAATTTAATTTTCTAAATCTTCAAATTCAGGATTATTTAATCTTCTGATATAAAATTCATTACAATCATTTACAACAGTAACAATGATTTATTCTATTAATTAATTATCATGTTCTTGTATATGTTCTGTTGTACTTACTTACTTTTTTAATGATTATTTATTATGAATGAAATCTAAAATGAATTGAGCATAAGATTCATTCCAAAATCCTTTTTTATCTTCTTCTGCTTATTTTTATGCTTCTTCATATTTATCATAATAGTCAAAATTGCTTTTTAAAAATGTAAATCCTTCTTATAGTAAATTGATAATAAAATCAGTATCTTTATTATTTTTCTTTAGATAAATTTTGCCATAAAATTAATTTTCTTAAATATTAAAATGTTCAAAATTAACCCAAACATTTCTTTACATCAATAAATTATATGTATAATTTTATCTTTATTCTTGATATTTAATTATAGATGGAAAACTTGTTTCAAATTCATGTAAATTAGTTATACCATTTAATTAAAAGTTTATCATAGAATGATATTTTAAAATAGTCATTTAAATTAATCCATTAAAATGAATTTTATCTATTAATACTTCTAATTAATAATCTTCTTTTATACTAATTCCTGTACTCATTCCAGATTATTTAGCACTTTATTTGTCTCTAGAAATATTTGACCAAATAATTTCATTTACACATTTTCCTTATTTAGAATCAGTTTAATCTTCAACTCTCCAAGTTAATTCTTAACTATATTATCCTAGTTTTTTCTATTTTGCAATTTAATTCAATTATAACAATTATTAATATTTAAATTTTGATAATCCAGGATGATTCTCTTTTGGTGTAGCCCATCCATTTAAAATAAGTTCTTCTTCTATATCAAGATTATTTTCAATTAATTATATAGAATATAAAGGAGTATTATCACCAACTTATAAAACATGTACTTATTTTCCAATCAATAATTTTCTTATAAATTCTTTTGCTTCTAAGCCTTCAATAAATATTCTATCTAATTTAACATTTAATTTTTCTGTTTTAGTTTTTATATAAAATTAATTTGCCTCTACTATTTCAATTACTTATCCTTATAATTAAGAGGTAAAAGAATTTAACATACTCCTATCTAATTCTCCAGTTTTCCACATTCCTAAATTTAATCTTTTTGCTTCTTATTAACATTAATATAATAACTAATATGAATTTTGAGATAAATTTAATTTTCTACATTTATTTACAATAAATACCCCCAATCACTAATATAAGCATAACCTGTTTGAACTAAAGAAGAATAAAATTCATTGCTTAATTCAATATTAGGTTAATTTGTCAAATGTAATTCAGCTCTTAAAATAGGAATATTAATGACATTATCATTTTAAATAATACTCATTATTGATGTTCCTTTAAAAGTGATACTAAACTCTTTGTTTAACCATTCAGTCTACATTAATTTAGTGTATTCTTAATCTTTAATTGCAAAATCTGATTATATATTAAATAAATACCATCTATTACTATAGCATTAGGTACTAGAGATATAATTGTATTATTCTAATAAAGAAAGTTTAAACTATTGGATTCAAAAGATACCATTATTGCTTTAATTGTTTTATTTCTCATTTATCTTATATAATCATCTATAATTGAAGATGCTTTAGGTTCTTTATTTTTTACACCTACTAAATTTAATTATATCTCTTCACTATCATCAATATTTTGAATCAAATCAATACTATTTATTTAGATTTGATTCTATTTAGATATATACAATGCATCTTTATTGACATATTATAATTATTCCAAAAATGTTTATAAGGTTTTCTATTTAACAATTGAATTATCTCTTGTTAAAAAATTAGGAATTCCATCTCCTACAATTAATATTTTTGATTATTGTGTTTAGATCATAAATTGATTTGGAGAAATGATTGATAAAATTTTGCAGGGTTATAAAGCCATTTAAATATATTTAATATTAAAAGTAATGTATATATAAATATTATATTGTAATATCTATTCTGAGAATTAATACAATAATCAATTATAACAAATGAATTTATTTATTATTTTATCTAAATAATAACATTCTGATAATGTGCGGACGAATATTTCAGATTCATAATATTGCATAATTATTACAATTTGCTTAAACTAGAAGAGTTAGAAATGCTGCCAATTTTAATCCAACTTATAATATGGGACCAACAAATTATATACCAGCAATTCGACATGTAGAAGATGATGATAATTTTGAAGAATATGAAGAATAAAATAATTAAAATTAAGAACACAATTAATCTTTAGATAATGAACAATTAATTGAAGATCAAAGTTAAGAAGTTATTGAAAAGTAAAAGAATAAAAGAGGACTTGATTTTTTTAAATGGGGATTCTAAACTAAATTCAATCTTATTATAAATGCTAGAATTGAAGAAATGCATGAAAAACATACATTTAAACCATTCTTAGATAAAAAAAGATGTGTTATAATTGCAGATGGATATTATGAATGGAATAAAAAAAAGGAGCCATTTAAATTTTCTACAAATAAACCATTATATTTAGCAGCTATGTATACAGATGATGATGAAATCTTTGTATTAACAAGAGATGCTTTTGGAGAATATGCAAAAGTTCATGATAGAATGCCTGTCTTATTAGAAGATGATGAAATTGATCTTTGGATCAATCCAAAAATGTAATTATTATTATTATCTTTAGTGGGTTCTTTGATATTATAGATAAGAAAATTCTGAATTCCCAAAAGAAAATTTGGGGATAAGTATAAGTTACTAAAGTAGCTCCATATGTTAATAATATAAAAGAAAAAAGTGAAAAATGTTTAATTACACTTGAGGAGTATAAAGAATAATAATTTAAAAATGGAATTGGTAAATTCTTTTAAAAGAAATAAACATAAAATACATAAGAAACATAAGAATAATTAGAAAAAACAAAAGAAAAAATAACTAAATCTTTAGATGATTGATTTTATAATATAATAATTAATAATCAATTAAGTTTTGGGAAATTATGATCATCAATTATAATTCCTTAGTCAACTGCTCTAAATTTATTAGAATTTTGTTCTATTTCTTCATAATAAATATCTTCTGACACATCTTCATCAAATTCATACTCTTTCAAATCATCTTTGTATGTTCCCCAATTATTTTTTCCTACTCCATTCTTTCTCATTTCTTTACTATTATTATATTAATTAATTATCATACCCTCTACCTGTTCCAGATTCTCTATCCTTAGGATGTGGTTCACTAGAAATTCCTTTTCTTTTTATTTCTAGATAAATCAGAAAATCATTATACCTTCTTTAATTCTCTAATGTGATTCCTTTTCTACTATATCGACATCCATTAATAAGGGTTCTGATTTCTTGCCTATATTATTTAATTGAAATGTTTACTTCTAGACATTTGCTTTTTGAACTGGTAATTTATTATAAAAATTATTAAATTAAAAGATTCATCATTATAATTTATATAGTCAACTAAACTTTAGTGTAAAATTTAAAGAATTCTCTATAAATCCGAAATTATCAGAATTAATATTAATACTCTTCATAATAAGTTTAGTATATATTTAAATTCAATTGAATATTAGAAATGCAGAAATTTATATATTAAAAAACAACCAATTCTTATGTATAATTATTTATTGAAAATAATACATAAAATATTAATGATGTTTTTTAATATATATATATATATATATATATATGATACAATAGAATTGATATTTACATATATTTTAAAATGTATAATTCTTTTGAATTTTTGTTCTGGAATTAATTTTAACATACATATTAATTATAAAATATAAAATTAATGAGATCAAATTCTCATTAGATAATAGGAGAATTACCTTAAGTGAATGCTGATCCTAATCCTGATATGTAAACAATAGAAATTAAGAAAGAAGAATCAAGTAAATTGAGTTTATTAATGCTAGCATATCGTTTTTCAAATACTAATATTTGTAATATCGAATAACTTATTTTACATTCTATTTATGAAGGTAATATAGATTAATTAAAATCTATGAAAATCCATTTAAGAGATTTAAATTATTTAGAAGAATTTAGTGAAGATTTAATAGATAAATAAATATTTCCATTGGCATTGGCAGTTGCGACAGGTTAGTTAGAAATAGTAAAATTGCTATTATAAAATGAAGCAATAGAAGTGAATATGGTTAGTAAACCATAAGAATTATCAGCATTAAAATTAGCTTGTAGCAATGGATATTATGAAATAGCTGAACTATTAGTTTAATAAGATGCAAATGTAAATTAAGCAGATTCAAAGGGATCTGTGCCTTTATTTTATTGTTTCAGTAGATTAGAAGAAGAAACCAATTATTTTGAGAATAAACAATTATGTTTCAAACTGGCAGAATTGTTGATTGACAATGGAGCTAATATTGATGCAGTAGTAAATGCTGAAAAAGGTTATACATTATTAATGCTTTTTTGTGCTGTCAAAGATAAATTAAATCCAAGAGATTTAAGAGTTAATTTGGATGTTATACGATTTCTACTTTCAAGAGGAGCATCAAAAGATAAATTAAGTACTAAAGGCAAGACAGCATTATAATTATCAAAGCATCATTGTGCTAAAGATGAAGTTTAAAAAATGTTAAAAGATATTAAACCTACTTAATATAAAATATTCTCTCATAGACCATAAATCATTTAATAATAAGTTATTAAATAAGAAGGAATAAAAACATCTGGAAATAATAATGGATTATGTTGTGGTCTATTATCATCTAGTAGAAATAGACCTCAATCAGAAAAGTCATGGTGGTAATTTTTTTGAATAAACATTGAATTTTATATATATATATTCGCTTTAAAATATATGCTCACACTTAATATCATTATTTATACTCTTTTATTAATTTCAGAATAATTATTAAAATTAATCTTCTTTTTTTCATTTACCTAAAGTTAAAACTAGTGAACTTCAACTTTATATAGCTTAATTTCATACTAATTTATCAAATATTCTCATCTATTAATTACTCTCTATTTTATTCTAATTAGAAATTCAATATTTATTATTATCCAAAATCCTTAATAAATCATAAATACTACTTCTATTTTCTCAATAGAATCTATTTAATTCTTAATTAAAACAAAAATCCTTCATATTAATATGATTAAATGAAATTTAAACTTCTAATATTTGTGAATTCGAACTAAAGAATGAATATAAAATTGAAATAAAGTAATAAAAGAGCAATACATAGTAATTTTGATCAAAAAATGATTAAATAAGGTTGTAATTAAAATTGATGACAATTTAGATGGATGACAAGGATTATAAAAAATATAAAGAATTCATAGATAAAATGTAGCTTATATAATAAATTTACAATATATATCAATTTTAAGAGAGCTTATAGTATTTTAATGTAATATCAATAAAATTATTTAGAAATTAAAATTTTAAGAATGTGTTGTTACGATGTATGAAATTGGGAATTGAAAAAAGAATAGTCATGTAAGATAGAAGAGGTTAATATTGAAGATGCTGATTAATAAGTAACTTAGCAAAATTTAAATACTAATTTTTTACATAAAGAATTTTTTAGTAAAAATATGGGATTCCATTTATAAAAAAACATTTTGAACTTAATTATAATAATAAAATTCTGATAATCACAATCTCTTTTTGGAGTTTTAGAGTAATTAGAATTTTATAGAAATTAATAGTTTATTAGAAATTATTTTGTTTATAAGTGTCACTTTTAAAACTAAAAATATATTAGATTAATATTTACAAATTCTCAATTATAAACTATACTTATAAATAAATTATGAGATTCAACAACATTGGATTATCAGAAATTAAAATGAAACTATTAACAAATTTGTTATAGAATTATTCGTTTTTTAACAAATAAAAATAATTGTCTCAATTAAACTGAGTATTCATTTATTAATCATTAATTTTTATCATTAGATTGAATGTGTATATTACTTTTATATGTTATTTAAACATAAAACTTTAGAATATTAATAGTATAATTTAATTTCATAATGAATTTTTAATTTAAAAATATGGAAACCAATTATAAAGTAAGAAATGGGAGATTTAAGTATATTTAGATTAATTAAAGCCTTATCAAAGTGAATCAAACCTTTCATTAATTTAAAATTAATTATTTACAAATTTTACTTAGTAATATAACTGACAATATATTTTACAATATTTACTTTTTAGATAACTTGACTTGAAATACTCTTTTACCTCACTTATTAGATTATATATACATAGAAACCATAAAGAGACTCCTTCTGATAAGTCTCAACTAGAGTAGGCTTTTCAGTTGTGATCACTTTAATAAACTACTAAAATTTTATAAAATTCAATTATTATTTTTTACAAGGAAATAAACCGAAAATTCTTGTTTAAATAGTAAAATGAAATCGATTATATAATAATTAAAAACTAATGTGGAATCAATCCTTTACCACTGCTTACATCCAAACCTAATAACCAATCATCTATCCAATTTATTATGTGCCTGTTGTTTAAGGATATATAGGATAATAAGACCCTTATTTCAATACCTAATATTTACCTTAAGGATAATGCTAATAGGAAAATATTACTATTGCTGAGGTGTCCAAATAACCTACTGAGTACTCCCAAGTTTAAAAATAAGAGAAATAATAAGAAGAAAGTAATTGTTCAATAATGATGACAAATAAACTGAAATCAAAGAAATGTTTATCAGCTTTAAATTTGTCACAAAAGTCAACTAACATATAGAAAAATTATGCAAAAGCAATTGTCTAATTTATGATAAGATAGAGAATTGAAATATTAAAGTACCTTGGTGAAAAATAAGGAATAGAATTTTTAAAAATCTTGACATAATTAAAAAATAATATAAAAAATATTAACCATATCAAGAAGCACTTAAAAGAAGATAATCAATTATGTTTATTTAGAATAATAGCAAATAGATTTTTAAGAAAAGAAGCTATAGGATATGTATATAATTCAAACATAAAATCAACTAGTCATCATGTTAAATAAAGAAATCAAATAAGACTTAATTTATATTAATGCTGAATAAAGATATTATAAAGCAAATGAATTTTTAATATTCATATATTTATACAGATATTGTTGTAAAATAATATAAATCTCTTAAATACTGTTTTCAATTATTTTATAATAACTCTTCTTTATTTCTTATATAATCATCATAATTAATATAGATGCCTTTATTCCCATAATTAATTAGAATCCAAGAAAAAAAAATAATCAAACAGCAATATGATAATTTTACTATCATTAATTATTATCTGTTTTTAAATCAATAGCAAATTTAAATTATTGAATTGTCATTAACTATCCTTTTTTATTGAAAATGTCATAAAGTTTAATTTAGAAGAACAACATCATATTCTCGAAATTGAATTTATTTTAAAATATATTAATGAATTTTTTTTTAATAATAAAATGAGAATTAACATAAAGTTCTATTAATTTTTTATTAAATATGTATTAGTAAAATTTAAATACATTTGAGATAGATTAGGATGATGGTTAAATAGGATATAAGTCATTATTAAATGATGAAAATATTAGAATCCAGTTCATACGTAAAGTAAATATTATTATTTAATTAAGGTTTACTTAATTTTAAGTTTTCAATTACTATTTACAACCATATTTTGTACATTTTCATATTTCTCAACAGGATTTGCCATTTATTAATTATAAAACACATGGCTATTTTATCTTTTGTTAATAGTTGGTTTGATTTGTGAGATTTCTATTATATGTTGTAAGAAGTACTATAATGATTTTATAAATTTTAGTGTTTCTAGAAAAGTTCCAAATAATTATATTATATTAGGAATATTTACATTCTGTGAATCATGGATAGTGAGTTATAGTTGTTCAATAGCATATTTAGTTTATCCAGAAAATGGTGGATAATTGGTTCTTATTGCTGCAGTATTAACATTAGCAATAACAATATCATTAACTTTATATGCTTTTACAACAAAAACAGATATTACAATGGCTGGAGGAAGTCTCTTTATATTTTCATCAGTGTTATTAGTATTGGGATTATTCTGCTTTATATTCAACTCAAAAATTATATATATGATATATGTAGCTGGATTGGCCATTATGTATGGATTTTATTTAATTTATGATACTTAATTGTTGATGGGAAACAAAGTAACAATATATATTATAAATTTTTAGGAATATTCTTATTCTATTGATGATTATGTAGTGGCTGCTTTATAAATATATATTGATATAATAATGTTGTTTTTATAACTATTGTAATTATTATTGGAATTATTTGGGAAAAAGGAATGAAATGATTTATTATATAATATCTTAATGAATATTAATAATACATATTCAATTGCAATCACATTATCCATACTTTGTTAATATGCATCCTTTTTTGCATTATTAACAATTTAGTCCATCTGAACAAACAAGACAATCCCTATTTAAACAATACATACAATAATCTCCTTTTGTTTTAAAGTATCCTGGATTACATCTTTAAGTAATAGCATTAAATTCTTTTAAATCTGTTTCATATTCTAAACATTCTGATTACTTTGGACCAGTACAAGACTTACAATAAGGAGTACATTAATGTATTAATAAGATAACATTTGTCATATATGATTAATCAAATTATGATTATATTTGAATCAATAATTCTGTATTATTATGCTGAATAAATTAATTAAGATAAACAAATGAATCAGAATTATTCTTATATTCTTATTTGTTTTAAATAATCACATTTTATTCATCATTAATAGAGATGATAACATTTAAATCACTTCTGTAATTAATGAATAAAATTTTTGCTTATATTGTAATTCCATAATGTGTCTTCAAATTATTATATCGATAATGTTTGGACATAGAATTACTAAATAAAAATTCATGATTATAAAACCAATATATCTCATTTTAGTAATAATCTTAATTTTTAAATTCATCAAGTTTTAGTAATTCAGTATTCTAAATTTCAGAATCAAAACACATATCATCTTATTTAGGTAATTGTAAAGGGCATTTCTGAATACACTACCCATCTAAAACAATAAATGGAGATTAACATTTAATGCATTTATCATTGTATCCAAATCTTTCTATTTATATACAATGGTTAAAATATGATATCTCATTTTTAGTCATTAAGATATTAATATTTAAATTTACTAATTTCCAATATGTAATTTTTGTATTCTAATCTTAATTAAATGAAGAAGACTTATATTATTACGAATTTAAAAGGGCTTAAAATTAAAGTTTACTTGATTCTATTGATATTATTTTTGATTTAAAATGATAGATTTAACAAAATTATTCAGTTTCACAATCTCTATAAGATATTTCATGCATATTGATAGCATTATTTGGAGAATTTACGTTCAAATAATAAACATAATTACCCTCATTCATTAAAATTTCAAAAACCTATAACATCTATATAAAAATTATTTAAAAACTCTTACATCAAAATTATAAATTTAGATTTCAATATCAATTTCAAATGTTCTGAAGTTTTCTAAATCGAATTCCAATTCTAATTATTCACTTTTTCTATAAATTCTTCTCAGATTTTACTAAAAATTAATGGACTTGATTATTTCTAATTATTATATTAGTTTAAACCTGTTTATTGACATATTTAATAATAATCTGGTGCATATCCATCATAACATTTTTCAACACAAATATCATTTTATTTAAATCCATCGCAAAAACAATTTCCATTATTAATAGATTCAAACCCATCATTACATAAAGTGCAAATTGTCTCTTTATCTAAATAAACACATCGTTTGCAATTTTCAGGACATTATATTTAAAGTATATGTATTTATTTAATAGCTATTTTTTAATCACTTGCCATATTGAATTCATTATTATTATACATACCACCCATCATAATAATATTGAGTTCATCTAATGAATTCCCATATATTTCCTATACAAATGATTACTCTATATATTAATTGTCTCCCACTAAACAATTGTCCATTATTGATCGTTTATAAATATGATTTATTACTTTTGGATCATAAGTCTTATTCTATATCTAGATTTGCACTTCCATTGTCTATGGTCTTAAGTAATCGATCACTACTAAGGAGTGAGCAAAAGCTTTGAAATTTCTTAAAGAAATAGTTTTCTATATGTAAGGATTAGATGTAATGATTTAGATATTAGCTTATTAACACTAAGTGATTAAACCTATATCTTATTGAAATTGATTAAACCCTGAATCTTATCCTTCATGATGAGTCACAACCCATTAAGTGGATTGAGATTAACAACTTTATATAGTCAGCAAAGCTATGGCTAATCGAAATAGTATCATATAAATTTAATTGATTATGCAACAAAACAATTTTCATCACATTCTACAAAGTTCAATTAATTTATAGAGGAAATAATTATTAAAACAATAATGAAACAATGATGTCATTGTGAATCTATTATAATATAATAAATACATTACATTATTGCTTCATATTGTTAATATTATATCTATCAGAAATTAATATACATTTTAATGATCTGAAAATGCGTTACTATTAGAAATATAAAATATCATTGTTATACATCCTATATTTACATAAGAATTTAGTTAATAAAGGAATATTTCATAATTCTAAAAAATTACAATTTTAATTCAATATTATTTAAGTCAAAACTTTATTGATGGATTTACTAATAAATATATTTTTACTAATAATGTTTTAAGACTATAAACAAAAATCATTAACTTATTTTTTACTTCTATTATAATTTCTGATTTATAAATGCAATCAATTAAGAATAAAAAATTAACTAAAATCTTTAAATGATGGTAATAATTTATTCAAACAGAAATTGGTATTTCAAAAGATCAATTTAGTTAAAGATCTATGTGAATTAGTTACTTTACAAAAAAGATATTTTAATAAAAAGGAAAAAAGATTTAGATGTTGGAAGAATAATAGATTATAATGAATTATATTATTGTATGATTAATTGAATGTAATAATTATTTTTTAATTATAAAAGTCAAATCGAATGGCTGATTTTTCAATCTTTGATTAATCTTTAAATAAATATGATTATTTAAATAGTTGGATATTTTAATAACAAAAGCACTATATTTTTAATATATAGATATAATTGATATTTTCATTAGTATAGGTGATTGTTGAGATTTTCTAATATAAAAATTCATATTTTACATTTATTTATGAATCAATAAAGAAGAAAACTATAAAAATTTGAACTAAGATGTTAAAGCTATTTAATTATATAATTTCATATTTGAAATATGTAATTAAAAAACAAAGTATCTTAGATAAATATTATTTATTTATCACAAAATATTTTAAGTTGAAAATATTGTAAATTAATTCGATAAATATTAATAAAAAATTAGAGATTTGATTACAATAAATAATTATAATGATATATTAATATTATCATTGAGTTATTTGGAATAATAATAGAAATTTATATGTCTACAAATAGTTATTGATATTGTAATCATATTAAATGGATGTATTATTTAAAATTATATTCATCTTTTTGATAAATAAGCACCATAAGGAAAATGAGAAAATCTGTTGATGATGACAACATTTTCATGAAAATTAATTTTTTTAAATAAAATTAGGTCATTTTAAAAACTTATTATCTCACAAAGGTTATTAAATGTTCACATTAGTTTATTGATTTAAAATATATTAATTTGGATTCTTTTAAGGAAAAATGTAAAGCAATTAAAATATTGTTGACACTTAAATCATAGGTTTAACGAAATCTTCTAAAATAGCAAAATAAAAGTAAAAAGAATAAAGAAAATATTGCACAATAAAAAAGGAATTTAAAATCATCATTAACATTCCAAAGACATTAGAAATAAGGGAATACTTAAGAACTGAAATAGATATTATTTTCAGCACTGATTATCAGATCAATTCTAATTTAGGAGAATTATGCACAAATATTTTTACAGTAGGGTACAAAATTTTATAGACTGATTACTTTTCAGATAAATAAGCATTTTCATTGTTCCCAAGAAATTTGCAATGTGTGAGCCTAGATGTTATATTTAATTTATTAGAAAAAATGAATTTGTAGAAAAGCAAAGAAGACATAAAATATTTTATGCTTGAACATAAAAAAGGAAATATTTAAATCAGTTAATGTACTGATGTATATTATCTTGACATGTATGCTTCTTAATTTCCATATGAATCTTACTTAATAAGATATGATTCTACAGGATCCAAAGTTTTAAAATATATAAACAATATGAAATATCTTTATTTAATGGGTATAACAAGAGAAATGATGGAATGGAACTTAAATTAAACACATATGTTACCTTGTGCCATTAGAGTTGAATCCTATATGGATGTATGGAGCAAGATGTTTGAAGCAGTTTCTAGAAAATCAAATTTTTTCACAGTTGAATTATAAAATTATAATGGTTAAAGAACATTTGTAAAAATGGAATAAAGATTAATATATATAGTATAAGAAAATGACAACAGCATGTATTGCTATCTCTATTGGATATACCATACAAATCCAAATCCAATAATAGCAGAAAATAACTATTAGAAGGAATTAGATTCTTAAAATCCTAAACCAAAATAGTGTACATATAAATAAATTTGCAATTGATTAACTTAATTTTGTAATAATTTAACATAATAATATCATTCCTATCATTATTGAGCACCTCCTGCCTACTTACCTGCTCTCATAATCTAAATTTATTATATAAATATATACTTCATCAACTAATAATAATTATTAAGCTAATGTAGGTGCAATGTTCAACCATGATCTTTTACAACAATAATTATCAAAAATTCCATTAGCAATAGGAGCAATGAAACCTTATTCATTAACATTAACACCAACTGGTATTTTATTTTAGATATATTCATCAGTAACTTAAATGAGTGTTTCTTAAACATCATATCCACAATTTTCTGCTAAAGCTTTTGGAATAACTAATAATGAATCAGCAAATGCTTAGACTCCTAATTTAGCTTTTCCTGCCACAGAATCTTTAAACTTTTAAAGATGAACACTAGTAGCAATTTCAAAGGCACCAGCACCTGGAATAACACATTTATCTTCAATAGCATTTTTAACAGCTCTTAATCCATCTCTAATAGCATCTTTAATTTAAGCAATAGTATGTTCATTTGGTCCTCTAATTAAAATTGTACATGAAGTTGGATTTTATACTCCTTCAATAAATGTATACTTTTCTTCTCCTAAGGTATATTCTCTTAACTAATTATATATTAAAATTGTTTACCACTTCACAATATCCAAGATCATTTTCTGTCAAATCTTCAACTGCATTAACTGAATTACCACCACATGCTTTTGCAATTCTTTCCATATTTCTTTTTTTAGCTCTTCTAATACCAACAATTCCTTCTTTAGCAAACATTTCTAAACAAACTGGATCAATTCCTTTTTAATTGATAACTGCAAATCCATATCCATTCTTCTCACAAACCTTTCTTTTGAAATCAATAATTTATTAACATTTATCATCTGTCAGTTTTCTTTCAGATCTAGCTAATTTCTCTCTGTCTTCAGCTGAATTATAAAAGAATCCACTATGAACCTATTTATGTATATCTATTTTACTTCAGTCTTTTCATATTCCAATGAAACATTCAAATTTAAGATATAACATTTCTTAACAAATTTTGGCATATCTGGATGTCTTGCACCATGATCCAATACTAATCCTCTAATCAATTCTGTTTCTGCTCCCATCTTATGTTACATATGCATAATTTCAACCATAAATAAATCAATTGGTTTCTCAGGTACATGAACTATTTAAACAGCATCAACTACAATTTCAATAATTCTAAATTATATTTTATTATATTAATTACTGATTAGCAACATCTGGAGTCAATTTACTAATTAATGAAGTTCTAGCCACATTTATTAATACAGCCTTATCAATTTACTAATACTTGAAAGTGTCCAAAAATGATAAGGCTTCCTTTCTAGCTAATTCAAATCCTTCTGTTATTACTCTTGGATGAATTCCTTCAGCCAATAATCTTTCAGCTTATTTCATTAATGCGCCAATCAAAAGAACATTACTTGTTGTACCATCACCAATGATATCATCCTAGGCTGTAGCACTTCTGGCAATCATAGCTGCTGTTGGATGTTGAATTTACATTTCTGATAAAAGAACAGCTCCATCCTTTGTAAGTTTTATTTATCCAGCACCTCCTACTAACATTTTTAAGGTTCCTTTTGGTCCTAGATTTGATTTCATCACTTCCATTAAGCCAGCAGCAGCATTTATATTCATTGCCAAGGCTTAATATTTACGAAGAACTTCAGCTTTGGAATTGACAAATTGAACACTACTCATTTTTTTATTTAAAAAAGAAATTTATTTAATTTTTGCATTTTCATAAGATTTGTAATTAGAAGTCATTTCTCTTAAAAACTAACTCCATTTCCTATTTGTTTCAATGCATCTTATATTGCTGAAGCCTTGCTAATTAAAGACTTATCAACTGAATTTGTAATTCCTTCATTCAATCCCCAAATATTCTTAAAGAAATCTTAAGAATTTGCACTATCATCTAGGTCTTTTTATCTATTTTCAATGTAAGTTTGGATATTTTATATTTCATCAAAAACAGTATTATATTCTTCAATTTTTGAATTGTATAATTCAATTGTTGTATCTTTGTCTTATAAAATAGCTTATCTTCTATCTTCGTAAAGTTATTAATTTCTATTGGCTTGACTTATCAATTCTATTCTGTAATCTATAGTATTCATCCAAAATTGATCTAACAATTATTCAAGATCTTTTAAAACTTTTCTGTCCTTAAAATCAAGTTGTAAAAGTTCTTATAATGAACTAGCTAATGTCAAAAGAGGAGAATCTGTTTTTGCTAATGAAGTTATTTTTGCATGGAATTCTTCTAAAGAAGTTTTGATTTCAACAAATGAATTTCCTCCTGAACCTCCTTGTAATAATTCTTTAACAGTTTTTCTCATCTTAATTATATAAATTATTATATACTGAATCAACAGATTATAAGGCAATACTAACATCATCCATTTCTAATTTTGCTGATTCTTTCATCTTTGTGAAGTCTGCATCATTAATCTTTAAATCTTATTTTTATTAATCTAAAATTCCTGCTCTGTATTTCAAAGCTTCATCCAATTCATTTTTATAAGGAGTCAATTAATCGTTGAGTTTGGTTTTGTGTTTTGCCAAATCAACTTTTATTTAGCTTATTGTTCTATCATGTAAAATAATTAACTATGAATATATATTTAATTGTTACTTTTTAAAGTAATGCTGATTTCTATTAATTTGTGTCACTTTCAATTTATCTTACATTTTGAACATCACACAATAAATCTGATATGGCTTAAGATAAATTGGGCCAGTTAAGTTTTGTTCTATCAGGATCACTTGAGGATAGTTGTGTGAATGCTTCTGCTAAATCTTATTAACCGCAAACAAGCACTATAAAAACGGTGAATATTATTAATTTTTTCATTAAAATTATATATTCTTAATAGTAAAAATTCTTTTGTTAGAAAGTCTTTCTAATTTAGTAATTAATTTTATTAATATTTACATGAGTATTAATTATGCAAGTAAAGTATAATGTATAATAATCAAGAATTAGGAAATCGTAGCAGAAGATAATCATTGAATTCTGATTTCATGCAAATGCATAAGTTATCATAAGTAACATTCAATAAATTGATATTAAAAGAATAATAAAACATTCACTGATTCATTTTCTGTTTCACTTCATTAATCAAAGTCAACTTTTAACAAAAAGAATATTTCAAAATTAGACTTGTAATATAATATTTAAATCAAAAATAGAGATATTCCATTTGGAGATTTAAAAAGCAAAGTAATTAATTCCAAACCAAAAACTGAAGTCACAAGAAAGAAATTTACATTCAATCAAAAAGGTAAAATCAAGAATTTTATCAATGCAATTGATGACTATATAGAATAATTAAATGAGAGTTCAGATTGCTATACAATAACATCAGATTCATAAAGTAAATTAGAGAATATGTTATTCTTTAAATTTAATATTATTCAAAAAAAGTAGGAACAATTAAAAATAAAATACAAAAAATTACAATAATCTAATAAAATTGAAAAATATGAGAATTAGACTCTTAAAAATCAATTATTAGGTTTACATCATCAATTAGAAGAAGAGAAAAGAAAGAATTATATATAATAATTAAATTTAGAAAAGTAAGAATAAAAAAATAAAGAATTAAAATTGAGATATCAATATTTATCAAATTCTTATCTTAGAGAAAAATTAAAATAAGAAAATTAAAAGTTAAAAATACTTTAAAATAGTATCTCAATTTAAGAAAGCAATATTGTATAACTATATTATAATATTAAGCTTTAAGATACAAGTTAATCAAGTTAAAAGTTGGATGACAGTACTGTTAGAAAATTTCTAAAATCATAAATAAGAAAGTTAAAATAAAATAATAGATAAATTGATGATTATTCTAATCTTTATAAAAAATATAGTGAACATAACATTGAAAACTTTTGATTAATTAATTTATGATATAAAAAGTTGTATAATTAGTTCAGAGAAGATCAATTCAAAGATTTTCTAATGTGTTTGTTGCACATAGAAATAGAGATGATAATAGTGATTCAGTACCATTTGATTTTACAGATGAAAATTATAAAAAGATTGAAGGAATCTTAGCTAAATTTCCTACCAATGAAAAAAAATCAGGGACTATTCCATTATTAATGCTTGCATAAAAATAAAATAATAACTTTTTGAGTTTATCTGCAATGAAAAAGGTTAACCTAATTGTTAAATAGATAGATTGCAAAGATATTAGAAATCCCAGAAATGGATGTCTTTGAAACAGCTTCATTTTATTCAATGTTTAATAGAGAAAGAGTGGGTAAATTCCATCTTCAAGTTTGTGGTACAACACCATGTTAATTATGTGGTTCTAAAGACATTATTAAAGCTATTGAATAAAAATTGAATATTAAAAATGGAGAGACATCAGCAGATGGATTATTTACTTTATAAGAGGTTGAATGTTTAGGAGCGTGTGCTAATGCTCCAATGATGTAAGTTAATAATGAATGGGTTTATGAGGATTTAACACCTGATAATACAGTATGATAAATGATATTATAATAGTTAAAATTATTAGAAGATTTAAAGAATGGTACAGATAAAAAAGGGCCTTAGAATGGCAGAAAGAATGCTGAAGGTCCATAAGGTAGAACTACTTTATAAAATATTGCCAATTAATAAGATATTAAATATGATAGAAATTTTGAGGCAGCAAAAAAGGAATGGTTAGATCAAAAAGAGAAAGAAAGACTTGAAGCAGAAAAAAAGAAATAAGCAGCATAACAAGCTAAAAAATGAAAGCATTTTTAATATTAAATATAAAATTATAATAAAATTATGTGTTTATTTACATAATAATTTTATCATGTTAATTTTTGATTTCTGCATCTATCCTAATAAACTTATTAATGATTAGGAAATGGTTTGATTGTAGGTATCATAGGAATAGGTAATCGCTGTCCTTATTCTTATTCCATTAATTATTTCATTTTTTCAATATCTTCAGGTGGATATTTAGATGTGGTTGGAAATTAAACTTATGGAATTTCAAAGGATTCTTTAATTTTACTTTTAATTTCTTAATGTTATTCTCTTTCATCTAAAGTTAAATCAGGTAATGACATTATTTCAATGATTTTCAAAGTTGCTTATTCGATTTCTTTTTAAAAAATCAATAATTTTGCTTCTTCAAGCATATCTTAAATATCATTGTTGTTTTTGTGTATTAATTCCATTTTCCTTATTTAATCAAATATTGTTTTGGCACGCTCCAATAAATTCTTTTGAAATTAAGCATTATAATTTAGTAATTAGAGTCTATATACAGGATCTTGTAATTTTAGAATGTTTTGAATTGATTGACATGCTTGACTATTGGGATCTCTTAACTCATCTTCAACATGAGCATAATTGCAATCAATAATATTTCTACATTTTCCTTGAAGGTAGAAATTACAAATTTTTGTTTTCCAAAAAGGATTTAAAAGTTATCCCTATATTGAGTTTTATTGGATGACAGCCATATTTGTCTATCCTTCATTGTTAATAGAAAAGGCACTAGAGTTATTAGTGTGAGGATGAGTCAAATATTCTTGCGGTATATGACGCAATTCAGTTTCTCCATGGGCATAATTACATTTTTCTTATTTAGCACAATGTCCTTCTACACAAATATAATAAATTATGTTACTTGTTGACCAATGGGTACAAAGTTTTGATTTGTAAAATATACTTGTTTCTTTATTTTAATCTTAAGGAAAATTCATTTATTATAATATAAAAAAATTAAAAAACGGCATGAAGACCCTATTCCTATTACTAGTTATTGGTGTAATGTGTCAAAATGAAGTTGATACTGTAGAGAAATTATTGGCTGACTTAAAAGGGGCATCAGCTGTTGAACTTACAGCCCTTAATACAGATTATACGGTCTCCAAAAATGTACGATTTTAATAAGCATTTTAGCTCAAAGAGAATATAATATTCAATTTAGGTAAGGCCTATTAAGAATAAAACTTTTTATGCGCAAGTAGAGATAAATCTGTCTCTGATAGAGAATCTGATATTGATAAAACAAATAAATACATTGCATATTTATAAAAGAGACTTGTTGATAATTCAAAAAGAATTCAAACTTTAGATGCTAATAGGTATAATATCTCAATTAAAGTAGATGCACTCATTCCTCAAATTATATTGAAAGAGTCAAAAATGATAATATGACTTTAAGATTGATAATATTTTTGAGAAACTCTCTTTAAAATTTAGATAATAATCAATTAAATAGATATGGTTCTTATGTTGAAAAGTTTTTAACTATGTACAAATCAGCTAAAATATCAGAACTTGTTGAATTAGCACATGAATTTGCTGATACCATGTTTATTGATTGGAATCAAGTTACACCTTCTTCATAAGGAAATCTCAATACAGTTAAAGGTTAATTAATTGAAATGCTTAATGATATGGAAAGATATATTAGAGAACAAATAAAAAATGTATAAAATCTTGAAATAGCCACTGGAGTTACTCTGGCTGATTTCAAAGGAGCTATAGATATAGAAAATGAATAAATTAATTATGATCTTTCATCTGAATAAAATAATCTCATAAAATTAGAAGAACAATTAGTTTAGGCAAGATTAGCTGCTGTTAATTGCAGAGAAAAAGGAGTTGCCTTACAATAATAACAATAAAGAGCTATTGAAGTACACAAAAAGTAAAATATTGATAGGACTTAAAAAATGAAGAAATTCAATATAATAAAAATAAAGCAAGATTATAAGAAGAACTTAATTTATTTACTGATGTTTACAGAATCTATTCTACTTAAGTAGGAACTTCTGAAGATAAATTCAAATAAAGAGTTGATGACTATGTTAATGATAGGGTATTTATTAATATTCTATAAAAATATTAGAAAGTTGATTCATATGAGAGATCTTAATATACTTTAAGTGATGCAGTTAGAAAATAAGTTTAAAATGAATGAAATATAAATCCAATTTAATAATATATAGATCATTTACACTCTCTAATAATTATTTTATTATATTAATAATGAGCTTAATCCGTTTTAATATATTGGCATTGACAATTGGAGTTTGCTTATCAGCTATGACTCCATAAGCCTCATTATTGATGAAATCGTTTCATTAAGTATATTCAACCATTAAATACCATAGTTTGGCCAAAGTCCATATAGTGATTAATTGAAGGAATTAGTATAAATTAAATTAGAAACAGGAGGATAAGTAGATGAAGTCTTGAAACTTATTTAAGAATTATTGGATTCATTAAAATAAGATTAAGTAGACGATGATGTAGCACATTCAAGATAGATGGCAGTTTTTGATTAGAATATTAATGAATTAGAAGATGATCTCTCAAGATTAAATACAGATCTAGCTAATGCTAATGTATTAATTTAGACCTTAGCTGAATTATTGGTCATTCTTAGAGAAACTATCTTAACCTATGAAAAACAATTAGCAATTCTTAATGAATAAGAACAATTCATTAGAAATGCAAGAGCTGCTGATATCAAAGCTTATAATAGAAGAGTTGAATAAGCAAATAAAGTTATTAATGCATTAAACCTAATCATTGAAAAATTGAGTAGAGCAGTTGATCAATAGACTTCAGAATAAGATAGATAAGCTATTTTAACATAAATTCATGCTGAATGTCATGAATAATTTGGTCCCAATCACCCTGTTACTATTCTAATAAAACTAACAACTAAATTTGATGTCCCAACTGTCTAAAGAATATTAGAGAAACTCGTATAAATTAGGGATGGTGCCAGTAAGAGTTTAAGCGAAGATATTGCAGCTGAAGAAGTTGCCTCTTAAAATTTTGATACTTCTATGAGTGAAATTGAAACTCTTAGAAAAAGATTGTCAACAGATCTTGAAAACTTAAATTAATAATTTAATGACAAGTTGAATCAATAGGTAGAAGCATTAAATTATTTTATTTTAGAAAATTGTTTTGGCTTAAAAAGAACAATTGCTTATTGATATTCCAATTACAGAAGAACTTTTACAATTAACTAAAGAATAATAAGAGTAATACCATTAAGCATATGTCAGCAGATAAACTTAAAGGTATTATTAATGATCTATTAGATAATCTGAAATTGAAGTTGTATAAAAGGCCTACAATTTAGTGTTTGATCATGTAGATTCTGTCAAAAAATCAGAAGATTTAACAGCAAAATTTAACAGTTGATTAAAATAATAAGAATAATAAGAAAATTTTATATAAATAATTATAATTATAAATTCATTTTTTAGTTTATCTACTAATTTTGCAAAATTATTATTAATATTATTATGAAGTTCTTGAAGTATTATTATTTAAGAATTGCTCATTTCTTTTAGATGTTTTTGGATTTCTAGCCATCATATCGTATTTTCTTAAATATATATATTTTTCCAATAACAAAATTTCCTTATCTGTTAAATTCTTTAAAAAGTGTTCAATTCCTGCTTTTCTTAAGAAATCCTCATTTTCACTTTCATCTTCTGATTCAAAAGTTAAAAAATCTCCTTTTCTGTATCCTTCGAATTCAGTTCTAATATATTAAATATAGTATTTTACTCAGAATCATATGGTATAATTCTTTAAGGCAGAATTGGTTCTGGTATTTTCATCGTCTATTACAGTTCTATAGCAGTGGTTTTATATTCATCCATTACCGATTATGCTCTATTTGATTTTGTAATCATATTTAATTTTGAAGTAACATCCTAATTGGTAGTAAAAATTCTTTTCTTTAGTTCGAAACTACCATTTAAACTCTAGGATTATTTTTCTTAGCAATTTGTTTAATTTGATTTGTGTTGCCTTTATGGCTGTTATGGATTTTTTTTTGTTTATGAGTGAAACTTCATTTGATTCACTATATTACCCACTCTGTTAGAATCAGCCATTATAGTTTTCTATAACTCAAATAATTGTTATTATTAATGAGGCTTTACATATGGAGAATCATTATAACGATGAGTTGTTTATAAACTCTAAGGTTATTAAAATTAAAATCGCGTTTATGTTGGTTTCATTTTGTTCTTAACCTATTATTTGTTAGACACTTTGCCTTTTAGTATTGTGGATTAGTTGGATTTTTCACAAGATTGCGATTACTATTTAAGGGAAGACTTCATATCTATATACTCCCTAAGTTAATTTAAAAGATACTTTTATTAACTATATGGTCTTGTTATCCTCTACCCTGCGCTGCTTTTAACTTCTGTCGGGTAGCCTTTATACATTAATTTATTAAATATTAATATTTATTATAATATATTAATACAATATTATTACAACCGTTTGCCACACTATGAAATAAAAAGAATGGATCACTTAATTAAATTTTACATTCAAAAAAATTCAAATAATTCTATATATAAAAAATGATAATTAATGTTTAATTCAATTTTTAAGTTTCTAAGACTCACAATTAAGTTTAGATTTGTAGTTTTTAATAATTGAACTGATTGTTAATTATATTAAAAAAATAGATTTATCGAAGATAATAAGGGGATATAATGTAATATATTTTGGTAGAGTTTCAAAATTTTATGTTAATTATCAATTTATATTTTTAATTCTACAAAATAAAAATAAAGATTAATCAAATTAATTTTTTATTATGATAAGATATTATATTCAATAAAAGAAGTTAGAATAAATGAATAATTATATACTGAAATTAAAAAATAATATGATATTTTATAATAAAATCTATAAGCAATTCAACTGCTTTGTTGTTTATAAAATAAAAATTAAAGAATGACACTAAATTTATAAGGATTTTAAATTTTAATAATATGATTAAATAAAATGAATTGAAAAAAGGAATACAATTACAATTTAATTGCTTATATTCTACATTAGTGTTTATAAATAAAGTAATAAAGACTTTATATACATCAATTATTAAAATACATTTCATACAACAAAAGTTGTTCTTTAATTTTTCTATTCCATTTCATTTACATTCTCCAATTACAATAATGGCTTGTTTCTTCATCATAATCCTTTTCTATTTTAAGGAATGTTCTAAAATTCTTTTGAAATAATTATTTAATTTCTGTATTTCCTAATTCCATCTATTCTGCTTTTCTTTTAAATTCTAGAGCACATAAACATCCAATTAAATAATGCCCAGTTTCATGTTCTAGTAAATCATCATACTAATTTGATTTAGTCCATGACTTCTCCATAAGTTTACAACAAACTAAGACATTTAATGATTATCTTGGAGATTATTGTTTCATAAGAGCATTATTAGAATTACTTCTAGAAGATTTTTATTTAGGTGTTTAGTTTTTCTATTATGATTATCTTTTGACTCCTTAAAGACTTGCTATTCTAAGAGATGGAGCTGGTATTTAGTTCTATAGTCTACTATTAGTTCTATTTTAATTATTATCTTGTTATAGTGGTCTTTTTGGAGGTAGCTTTGGCGATTATTATTTGACATTAACTCTGTCAGAAGATTATTTAGTGATTTAAGTTTAATTTTTAGGTGACAATTAAAATTTTTAAGGTTATTGATTTAAATTTGCATTAATATTGTTCTGGTTAGTAACTGTTGGCGATTATTTCTAATTTGAAGAAGCTCTACTTATTTCTTTCTTAGGTAATTCATAATGAATATTCCAATAACTATGAGCAATCCAAGGTGAATCTTTATTTGGTTCACCTGTAAAGTCATCCCATTCAAGTCTCTTAATTTCAAAGTTTTAAATTTTAATAGGCAATATATCTCTAACATATGAATCATAATTAGGATCTAACAGATGATTGATATCATATTTTGGTTTTTTTATGTCTTCTATTGAAATAAAACCAGTAAAAGAAGCTTGTGACATTTATATATTAATATTATTAATTCATAAAATATAAACATTTCTGAATTTATGTAGAGAATAAATAAACCATCTGAGGAATTCGTTTAACTCATCTAAGTATATTTCAGATAAATTTATACTTACATTATCCTATTTATATACATAAACATTTAAAATAAGTATGATTGATTAATATTTATTTAATATTTCTGATTATTATTTCTATTGAATTACATTTAATATAAAGTTTCAATCCTTCATAAACTAAAAGTTGTCTTATAATATTTATTTTTCCTGAATCTCATTAATTATTTTCTTCTCAATTTATAATATTTATTTGAATACTCTATTAATTAGATAAAAATTTTAATCAACTTATATCTCTTTATCAATCATTATCAATCAATTAAAAATGTAATTTAAAGATTTAGTTATTGATTATTTAAATGAAAATTTCTTATAGATATATTTTCTTGTCATTAAATCATTTAAAATATATCATTTTACTTTACCTCATATTATCTAACCTTTTTTATTAATTAATGTCTAATATTTATATGATTTTCTTTATCTTCTAAGAAGGGGGTACACTTATAATGTATTATGTAATTATTAAAATTTACAGTATCGATTCCTTAAATATCTAATATTTCTCTTTTAGAGAAGATATGACTTATTTATATATTTTTATTTTTATATTGTTCTAATGTATATTATTTTTTTTATCATTATTGATTTAAAATGAGTTAAAACGAAAATAAAATGAAGAAAATGTTACTTATGGGTTAACATAAAGTGGGTAAAACTTCAATGCATTCAATTATTTTTGCAAATACCCCTCCAAATTAAGTTATGTAGATTGGATTGACTGTAGATGTAAATCAAAATTCATTTAAATTTATGGGAAATCTTAAGATAAATTTATGGGATTGTGGTGGATAAGTAATAATATTTAGTTTATTTTGAGGATAAACTATTATAAGAGTATTTCACTACATAGAAATCTACAATATTTTCTAATGTTGAAGTTTTGATATATGTGTTTGATGTTGATAAAGAAGGAGATCTATTCATTAAGGAATTGAATGATTTTAAAACTACAGTAACAAGTTTATCAGAATGTTCTCCTGGAGCTATTGTATTTGTTTTGATTCACAAATTTGATAAAATAAAAGAATCAGAAAGAAAAATTGTATTTGAAGTATTATCACATTTTATATTCTTAGCGAAAATACAAAGAGATTATTCAAAGAGCAGATGGCTTAAATATTGAAATTAAAGATGTGTTTTCAACCTCTATTTGGGATGAAACTCTATATAAGGCTTGGTCTTAGATTGTTCAGAATTTGATACCTAATATAAATGTTATAAAGGAGAGTTTGAAAGCCTTTTGCCAAACTTGTAGTTGTGAGGAAGTTGTTTTATTTGAAAAATCAACTTTCTTGATTATTGATTTTTAGGAAACAACTGAGAAAAAAGGTTTTAATCAGATTTAATATATAGATATCTAAAAATATGAGAGATTATCTAATATAATAAAGCAATTTAAGTTGACTTGTATGAAAACATAAGCAAATATATAAGCAATAACAGTAAAATCAGAGAAATTTACTGTCTATATAGATGAATTTACAGAAAACACATTTATAATGTTGGCTTACACTGATCCATCAATTTATCCAGCTGCTATTTCACACAACGTTCATCATGTATAATTTAAATTTATTAAAGGCTTAAAAATTATTTGAAAGTATTCAAGGATCTGATACAGATAAATTGAAATATTTAATTTAAAGAAGACCATGAATTATTCAATTAGTAGAAGTCATAAAAATACATTTATTTATTATAATTATTTAAAATTCTTAATTTACATTTGATATTTTAGAATCATATTTCATGATAGTTCAAATAATCGGATATGTAATTTTTTTTATTTTATCTAGGCAATTAGCATCCCCATTTTTTTACACTGAAAAGTAACCACTCATTCCCCATTTTTGTCCCCATGAATTTTTTGCAAACCATGTTTAAGTATCATATGCTATAAATGAAACAACATGTTAGTAATTAGAAACTTTTGGATATCCACAAGTATTAATAATTCCAGATGTATATCTTAGCCAGGATTCATCTGCATACATAAGAGCTGTAACTGGACCTGTTTACATTGCAGTTTCAATTTCATTATTAGTGAATTTGCTTAACCCTACCACAGATTTAAATTGTTTATATCCAATTGATCCTTTTGGTTTTGAACATTCACCTTCTTTCTGATCATATTCTCTATAGTCTTTTTCATAAACAGTTCCATATTTGTTGATAAAATCAAATGCATCACTGACTGAACCTCCATCACATCCTGCTGTATTTCCATCAGCACAATCAATTAAATGTGTCTTTGATAATTAATCAAGTTTGTTTTTATTATTAATAGCCAATCTACTTATTACAACATCTTAAACTGCGAATGCCCAACAACTACCACATCTTCCTTATTATTAAACTTCTGTAACCTAAGAATTAATAAAAAGAAAATTACTTATTTTAACCAGTCTAAGCTAGGAGGATTCTTTGGTGTTGCTTTCTATGCTTTAGAAGTTGTAGATGATTTTTTCACTACTTTTTTAACAACCTTCACCGTTTTATCAGCTTATAAAAAAGAATTATGAGATAAAGCATCACTTTTAATTGCATTGATATCATCTTCATTAAATGTCTCATAATGTTCATCGAAATCTTTCTTCATAAAGAGCTTATCCATCAACTCTTCAGATGTTTCATCTGCGAAGATATTTAATCCCCATACATCTTTTGGTAATTATTCATTATGATGCTAAAATTACAATTAACCTGTTAAATACCTTCATTAATCTATAGTTCTGCACAAAAACTTCCATTCTATAAATCATTTCGAATTCATTGTTATATGTTTTTTGATATTCTTACACCCAATTTTTGAATAGTTTTTATTCATCTTCTCTCCATCCATAGATTGATCCATTTTCATGCAAAGTATCACTTAGACTTGTACTTGAGAAGGTTGCACATAAAGCATAAGTCAACAAATTCAATATCTAAATTATTTTCATTTAATTAATTATTTATTATGCATCTACCTGCAAAGATTGCTTGAATTAATGATAAAAACTATTAACTATAAAATCAAATGATTAATCTCTTTTTTTATTAACAACATTAATCAGTTTTATGATTAAAGTAACAAATTTATAATTTTTTCTGGTTATTGAATAATTTACCGAACATTTTCAAGAAAATTGAAAGTAAAATCAAATATATAGATTAAATTATGTTTATATAATAATCCTAGTATATATTTAAAGTCTATTATTGATTTGCTAAATTTAATAAGTTAAAAAAATAGAGCGATAAAAATTTTAATCCTTATCTCTATTTTTTAATCTAACTACNAGTCTTTTTCATAAACAGTTCCATATTTGTTGATAAAATCAAATGCATCACTGACTGAACCTCCATCACATCCTGCTGTATTTCCATCAGCACAATCAATTAAATGTGTCTTTGATAATTAATCAAGTTTGTTTTTATTATTAATAGCCAATCTACTTATTACAACATCTTAAACTGCGAATGCCCAACAACTACCACATCTTCCTTATTATTAAACTTCTGTAACCTAAGAATTAATAAAAAGAAAATTACTTATTTTAACCAGTCTAAGCTAGGAGGATTCTTTGGTGTTGCTTTCTATGCTTTAGAAGTTGTAGATGATTTTTTCACTACTTTTTTAACAACCTTCACCGTTTTATCAGCTTATAAAAAAGAATTATGAGATAAAGCATCACTTTTAATTGCATTGATATCATCTTCATTAAATGTCTCATAATGTTCATCGAAATCTTTCTTCATAAAGAGCTTATCCATCAACTCTTCAGATGTTTCATCTGCGAAGATATTTAATCCCCATACATCTTTTGGTAATTATTCATTATGATGCTAAAATTACAATTAACCTGTTAAATACCTTCATTAATCTATAGTTCTGCACAAAAACTTCCATTCTATAAATCATTTCGAATTCATTGTTATATGTTTTTTGATATTCTTACACCCAATTTTTGAATAGTTTTTATTCATCTTCTCTCCATCCATAGATTGATCCATTTTCATGCAAAGTATCACTTAGACTTGTACTTGAGAAGGTTGCACATAAAGCATAAGTCAACAAATTCAATATCTAAATTATTTTCATTTAATTAATTATTTATTATGCATCTACCTGCAAAGATTGCTTGAATTAATGATAAAAACTATTAACTATAAAATCAAATGATTAATCTCTTTTTTTATTAACAACATTAATCAGTTTTATGATTAAAGTAACAAATTTATAATTTTTTCTGGTTATTGAATAATTTACCGAACATTTTCAAGAAAATTGAAAGTAAAATCAAATATATAGATTAAATTATGTTTATATAATAATCCTAGTATATATTTAAAGTCTATTATTGATTTGCTAAATTTAATAAGTTAAAAAAATAGAGCGATAAAAATTTTAATCCTTATCTCTATTTTTTAATCTAACTACAATAATATAGAGAAGTTTAAACAATACTTCGATATAATTTAGTATTTCAGTAGAATTTTTCATAGATTTAGAAAAAAGAACTAAAGTATTAAATTTATTAGATAAATCAAATAACAATGATATGGATTCCCCAGCTCACCTTAAATTTCCATTAAAATATTTAATTGTACCTTACATATTTCTCATTTTAAAAAATATGATTATTTCCATATAATTATTTTCATAATGTTCTCAAATTTTTAATATATATAAAATTTGTTATAAAGAAATAATTTTCTCCACTGTAATCTCTTCATACCCTTATTCATTAATAAACAAAAAATACCCAAGAAACGTATTTGCAAAGGCACTTTGAAATTTGATACATCGGATAGCTAAAATGATAAAATTTTTAGTTGGAAATATGAATAAATTTCAACAAAAGCGATCAGCATTAGAAGAAAAATTTGATAAAGAAATTGGATATATCAACTTCAACATATCCTTTATAATTTCAAAAGTTAAAATTCAAAAGTAAGATAAAAATAATATTAGAAGAATCTTTTGAATTATTATTATTATTCATTTTAACACAAATTAACTCTCAAAATCACAAGGTACTTTTAAAATAATGTAGTTCCAAAAAAAAAAAATCGATATTA